TTTCGATAATTTTCTGATGTCTTAATAATATAATTAAAATTATTGAAAATTGTTCAAACCTTCGAATTTAATTGTATTTTCCGAGTATATCAAATTTCTCAATTATTTATAATACTTTTTTAATATTCATTCGTAATACTTTTAATTAAATTTATATATATATATATATATATATATATATAATATATATATATATATATATATATATCTCACAAAATTAAGCAATATTATAATTGAGCAATTCTTTTTATGACTGCTGTTTTTATGTAGTTGTACAAGAATAATACAATTTTAAGTCTTAATCGTATAAACATAATTAAACAAATATTTATTTATATATAATTTTATTTTTAATTATTAAAATAATTGAATATTAATAAAATTTAATATTGATTTACACATCACGCTAAGTCGAAGAAGGATATTTGAAAAACACTTATTGCTTAGACAAGTCCTAAATTTGAAATTTATTAATTACAATATAAACAAAATGTGTAAAAGTGTATTGTATTATAAGTGAGATGATGAACGATCGTCAACAAGTATTACATTGTTTAACACTTCGTTTTATCTCTAATGCGATCTACGTAAATCTGTCGATAAATTTTCGTTACATTGCTTGTTCACTCAAAATCAAATATATTACTTAAGACAAATTTCTTTGATAAAATTTTAATTTTCTCTGGAAAATACGTGTACAACTTGAAATTTGAGAAAGCAAGAGATATTAATGAGAAGAAATTAATAATGAGTTGTTTATCTCATTACAAAGTTTAACGAATATATAGCAGTTTTTTATACTTAATTAATTGACATAGATATATTGCATTATTTTATTATAAATATATACGTACATTCAAACGCAATGCCTATATATTATTCCAATATATAATTTCACACAAATTCCATGTTGAAAGAGAAAAAACCAAAGTGTTTGACGTTTTTTCTTATATTCAGAATGCTCAAGAATTGTCTATTGTAAAAATAATTTTATTAATTTGATGTGAAAATAGTTGTATTTTCACTGGGATAGCAGATTTCGCTAGATGACTCATCTTTCTTCAAATATCTAATGCTTCAACAAAGATGTATTATAGCAGTGTTGTCTATAAGATGAAGAAACACTATAACTATAACTATAACACACCATGAAATGTGTGAAACGAAAACGAGAATCGATAAGAGAAACATTTTATGCCATAAATAAATAATTATTTCAGACGTAGGACGGAATTCTAAATGTCTACAAAACTCTTGGAATTTTAATATTAATTGTTCATTTTTTTATCACTTTTTATTATAATATTGTCAAGTCAACTTTTAACTGTCGAAAATAATATCATAAGTCTATTTGTTAAGCATCTCATCGAAACGATTATGTGATGTGATGATCTCGCATGTTGATACTTTATAAACGTAACGTGACTAATATATATTTAAAAGAAATAATAAAAGTACGCATGCATAAGAAACATTTTAGAAAATGAAGAAAGCACGTATTCGTTGGGGAATTTGCTTGATCGAAATGATAATAATTAATAAGTGCTTATTAATGCAGCAATATACACTGTTATTAAATATATTATATGCACTATTGCTTTTTTCAAAGCGATTATTTAATTGCTTTACACACATATATATTCAGTTAACTCTTGGAGCAGGATTTGTATTAACAGAATTGCTGAATATTTATTAGTAATAATTTCCTTAAAAGGCATGCGAATTGAGCGTAAATCGTTGTATAGTTTTAAAGAGGAATGGAAGTAACACATATTTAGAACGGAATGAATCTTATTTTTTTTCAAATGAAAGAACTTGTTTTGTTATTTTTTAATTTGTTTAATGAAACATAATTATCTTTATTATTGGATTTACTGCCGCATCATGATCTTGTATAATCCTTTAGTTTTCTTTTGTGTGATATCGAGTCCGTTCACCTCTTTAACTATACAACAACATAATATAATAAAATAACAAATAAACAATATAATATAATAATATAATATAATATAAAAAGCATGAAATAAGAATGAGATCTATCCGGACAAAGTCATATAAATGACAAATTTACATATAGATCTTTACATCGTATATTATAATGCATGTGATTGAAACCAAGAGCATATTTGAATGACAGGATATTGAAACAATAAAGTATAATAAAAATGAAAGCTGAACAGTATAGGGATCAATGATATGTTTCAGAAGTTGGGGTGGTGAATTTTTCTCTTATTCTCAATCAGGCGATTCCGGATTTTAATATCGACCGTCCATTCTTCTATGGCATCATAATGTCAAAACCGGAAGAAGAAGCCTATATACCGTTGTTCGGCGGAGTCGTCACTAACGTGTGACATCCGAATTAAGAAAAGAAATTATCGATAAAAGAGATTTGTGAATGATTGTAGTAGTTGACGATAACACTTATTATTACTGTTGTATCCAATTGCGAAATAATTATATCGTATCGTTTATGTAATAATGTCATACGATCATTCAGTTTTTATAACAATTTTTTATTGGGTTCTTGAAATTTATATGTTAATATTTTTTGTCAAAATCAATAAAGAGTTATTTTAAAAATTATAATTTCTAATATCTGTCATGTGCGTAATAATTATATAAGAGAATATTTTATATAAAATACAAATAATATGAAATTTTTCTTTCTTTGTGTGCGTCTTGAAAATTTAAAACATTAGTCAAGAAAAGCAAATAATTATAATTTATAATATTCCTATAAATTTTTCTGTGATCTTCTTCATATTAAAACTCAACATTATTTGATTTTATCATTAATCACGTTAATGTTTAGACGTAGTTTCTTAAATACATACGCAAAATGACAAACCGCAAATCCAAGAATGCACAATGATCGCAATAATTATTTTAAAGAGAGAGAGAGAGAGAGAGAGAGAGAGAGAGAGAGAGAGAGAGAGAGAGAGATTGCCTTTTTTTATTTTACTTTGGATTTTATATAATTAATGATTTGTTTCAAATATTGGTATCGCCTTTACTTAGATTTGACGTGTTGCATCAGAACGATTACGATTAGAATAATTACTTAATATGTATGAAAATTCCATATATTTTTCTTTTAAAGAAAAAAAAAGCACATCTTTTAAGTGTAAAATCATCGATTGATGATTAATCTAACAAATGTCAATACAACTTTCGATATGAGGCTAGCAGAAAGATTATTTCATCACTTTTCGTATAATAACATACTGTATTTCATTATATTAAATTCTAATTAATGTATTGTGCTTCCTATATGTTATATGTATCCTGTATGTTTATGCTTGCCACAGGAAATATTAAAATATTGTGTTAATATCCACAACATATTTAAAATTGTATTAATTATTAAAAGATATATTCATATATATTAGACATCTATATATTATGTATTGTGTATTGTGTATGTGTGTATTAATTGCATGAAAGAGAGATAATATCTAATATATAATATTAAATATATTGAGACGAAAGAAATATCGATTTGCACGTAAGTAGATTCGCAACGCGATATTTAATGAGATTCTTGATATCATATAATGATTATTTTACAGGTATTATGATGATGAAATACGCCCGACGTCGTGAAGAGGAATTCAAAATAAATCATCCATTCGTATATACTATAGGAAAAGTTTCTTCAACAAATGAAGAAACAGGCGTTCGTGAAATGATACCGCTCTTTGTTGGTCATGTTACTAATCCTGAATATTAAGTCTTCTTTGAGAAATACTATTACAATTACCTCAATGAAGTGAAAGTAACGAAAAATGAAAAATAAGATTATACTTACATATATCATATTAATTTTATATAATGTAACTTTTGTATATAACTTTTGATGTCTCATATACTCACATATATAATATTTATCACATATATTACTTACAAATGTTTATTGATATGTAATAAAATAGAGAGAAATTAATATAATTCAATGTGTGAAAATATAAAATTGTACACACATATGGATATTTATCTCTCCTTTAATCTTGTGATAAAGTATCAGTTCTTATTGTTATATAATCTAATTGTTAAAATTAATGTCACTATTATCTTATCTCATAAGAGAAAATATTTTCCTACATATAATTATTTCGCCAGTACGATAAATATTTTACATATCCTTAGTTACTGATGGTTACCTAAGTTATATAGAAATTTCAAGAGAGTTAATTAAAAATATAATACAATATAAATACAATTTTTAATTAAATTTATTAATAATAAGGCACTTGTTTACAAATTAAATTTGCACATCACTAATTTGGAGAAGCGATGACTTTATCTGTTATATATAATTATATGATAAATATATATCGCAGAATAAAAAAATTCGTACATAATTGTCATAATGTAAAAATGCAAAATTGCTCCTATAAAAATGTTTTATTCTTATTGAAAGATATATGAAAGAATAAGTATTCTCTCTCGAATCTTGTGCGGTACTTAATTATCGAATTGCTTAATCGTTAAAAAATTTGCACATAATAATATCATATTATATGATGACAATCATGTTATATGAAAATATATGGGTAAACTATGTGTGTGTGTATATAATAGAAGTGATATATAATAAGATCTTAACAATAAAAACAATTGATAAAGATGTCTCAACAGATATGATTGCACTGTATGCTTGATTTAAATCATTAGTATGTATAATATATTTCTATGGAATGTATTATTCTACGAAGATAATATAATGATAGAATACCACTAAGTTGCATTAATATAGCAATTAATAATATAAAGATAGCAGTATATTAATAAGATTTATATTAATGGTTAAATATTTGCAATTTTCCACAAATGATTTATCTCTCTTGTAACTTTCTTATGACTTTCTTATAAAACACTTTCTTATAAAACAAGAAATATGAAAAAAATTAACATGTTTTTGCTTGTATTATTAAATTTTTTGAATTTTAAAAATATAATATTAAATTTGCTTGGAGAAAAGAGATAATTAATATTGCTAATATTTATTTATAATTTTCTATAAGCGAGTATTTGAGGTTTAATAAGAGTCATGTGTATTAGCTCAGTTTAAATATTAGATTAATTTAAATTTTAATCTTCATAGAATTTTAAAGCGATTTCATGATGATCATAATGATCAGACAATAACATTGATAGAAAAATAATATGTGTTTCATGAAATAACAAGTGATGAGGAACTGACGCACACAGTTGAGCAATTATTAGGAAGACATGAGTCGCGCAAATTAAAAATAAAAATATAAAATATCATATATATTTGAGATTCTTTCTTTCTCTTTAACTTATTCTGCAGTTAGCTGCCGTTTTACCGAGCTTTAACGAATTAGCTGTCTCCGTGGATGCTGTACCATTCGATGTCAGCGAGCCTCTACGTGCCACGCATGTCGGATGCATACTAGTGGTAGTATCGAGAAACTCATCATCGTTGTCTGAATCTGTATCCTTGTCCTTGATCGATTTCTTCAGATCGCTCACGTAACGCTCTATCATATTGAGATTCTGTATGCTCATCACGCCATTATTATCTGTAAAGGGCAATATTTCTGATTTTTGAGCGGCTTGACGTTCGATATACATTCGTTGTAATTCAGCCAGCGCCTCATCCATAAAACGAACGTTGTTTTTGCGATCGTTCAATGGGTTCTCACTGAATCTTAATGATTTAACCGCTCTGCCATTTGTTTGTCTTGGTAAAGTGGTGCTTTTCTGATCATTAATGGTTAACATAGTGGTGGTAAATCCTATTGGAAATTTGGATTGACCACATAAATCATTTTTCAGTGGTCCAGCATCAGATGTTGCTTCATTATGATTGCCTTGTTTTTGTTGCGTTACATCATAACCCTTCATGAAACCTTGTTCTTCGGGAACTGGCGGAGGTGCATTCGCCTTCGGAGCAGTGAAAGTCGCATTGTATTCGATATCAGTGTTTTGGTTTACCGGTCGAATTGCAGCTGCGGAATGAACTTTGTTTTGCTGCTGACTCTGTAGTGCAGTATCTCGCCATCTCGCGCTGTTCATCACAAGTCGCGCCAATTGTTGGATAGTCTGTTTTGGCTCTGTAGTGTCATTATTGGTGATATTATTGAATGGTAATTTCGCTGGAGTCGATGTATCGTACGGTTCGCAGTCCGGATAATTGTGTCGAGTTGCCACATTTAATTGACGCAAACACTCGTAACTTTCGCCCTGTCCAGCCAGAAGATCATCCTTCTGCGTGTACTTAAACATCTTCTTCCGCGATTCCCAGGTGTCGCAATAAGGCGGATCTTGTTCGCAAGCGCGACACTCGGCGTCTAAGAAAGCTGCAGTGAGTATTATAATAGGAGTGGGTTCTCGTTGCGTGAATAGCTTTCTGCGTGCAGTTAAAATTTGATTCATATTCATTTCCAATCGTGCGTTTTCTATTCTCGCCTCGAGCTCACGTTCCATCTCCAGCAACTTAGCCGTCTCGTATATTAAACTTTGCTTATCCATATGCAGTTTACCCGTTTCTTTCGCGATGCGTCTTTCCGCTGAGGATTGCGTACGAGCATCATTATTATACATAAGCTGAAGACCGAGCCGTTGTTGAGCTTTCACAAACGGTGACGTGGATACCGGACCTAATTTTGACCATATCGCGCCGAGTTTTCTGCCTGCTGGACTGACAGCGATCGGCGATATTACACCGGGTCTAGTCAAAATAGGGTTCTGATTAACTAGCTCGATATTTGAATTCGGTATTGTGCAAGGAACACGACAAGGCTTTGGCGGAACTAAGTCCAACTTGGGCGGGATCATTCCAGGCTTCGGTGGCGGAAGCAAGGAAGTAATCGCAGGTTCCGGCAATGGTGGCGATGACGAGGACGTATCGTTTTTATTAAGTACTGTAGCATGGACAACGTTCAGTAAATGATCCAATCTATTCTCGAGCCTATTCTGTCGATCTCTGTCTACATCGAGAAATCGTGTCACCATATCGTTTTGTACGGCTAAAATCTAAAAAAATTGAAATAATATAAGCATTACATTTTGTATAAATACAAAAAAATATAAGAGAAAAAGAGAAAGATAAAAAAATAAGATATATCAAGAAAATATATAAGGGAAAAAAAGATAATAAAATATCAGAAATTTACTTATTAAATTACCTTATTGACGACTTCATTTTGAGAATTAATCGCGTTAAGCACAAGCTGTTCTAATTTTTGTGCTTTCTTTTTTCTAAACGGTGCACTCGGCATTTCATCGGTATTCACGGCGCTATCCCGTGACTTTCCACCATTCTCCGATGGAATGGGCGAATCCAACAAAAATTCCAATAACATACTGTCGTCGTTACAAGTCGCATTATTCGTCATGACAGTCGCGTCCACTACATTGGGATTGTCCAAATTAGCGGGTTGATTATACGTCTCGTTCAAATTATGTGTTTTCTCATCGCTTTTCGACAAGCAGAAACCATCATTCAAGTTCTGCGACACATCCGGTGAATAGTCTGGCGACAGTAATCCGTTTTGTTTGACATTCGTTGTACAAGTCAGGCGAGTATCTTGATATTGTCTATAGGCCGTCGCCAAGTTTTGCCTGTACGCGACTTTACACGGTTCTTGCGGCATTGCCCGATTATCTGCATACAGTGCTCCTTGCTGCAACTGATTTTGTTGACGCGCTGTATTTTCCACATTAAAATTCTGCATTACGTTCTGCTGCGTTATTCCATTTGGCAAGGATTGCTGATTCACATTGTGTTGGTAACCGAACTGATTGTTCGCCGGCACATTCCGTTGCGGCAATTGATTCCATCCGATTCCACAATTTTGCTGCTGGATATTTTGATATTGTTGCATGTTTTCTTGAATAATCTGATTTTGAACATTTTGCACTGTATTCTGATAAGGAATTTCTCCATATGGATAAGAAGTCAGTAAGTTTGGCTGATAGTTCTCTCGCATTGGTTTCTCTATTGGATTTGTTTGTACGGCTCGATTGCCAATTTGAACAAAACGCTCGCCAGTATTTATAGCAACATCTCTTGTAGGGGAGAACACTCTATATGGCTTGGCTATTATGGTCTCATTGGATTCGGGTGAATCTGGATAATCATTTTCACCTGCAGGAAAAAAAACATGAAATCTGATACTAAAAAGAATATTCTTTATAAGAAAACAAAATGCCTTACATCCTATTGTCCATGTAGGGGATAGAGCCTCCGTTCGAAAGAGAGATTGCACAGGCTCCTGAACTTTCAATCTCATCTGCAAATTCTTGTTAGTCTTCACATCCTTTGGAGGTGATTTCACATAATTGGCGGTTGCATCTAGTGACAGATTACAGAAGTATATAAGTACATAAAAATTATAATTAATATACTTTCATAACATTAATGTTTTGTAGATATAAAGGCAATATAAATGTTGAAAGAATCTTTCTAAAAATATCTAAACGCATGCCCAATCTATATCAGATATTCTTTAAACATCTTGAATATCCTTTCGTAGATAGATATTTCTTTAGAAACTCTTGCATGTTAAACTGATGTCTTACAATCAGCAGTCCTATTTACTGACCTACTGTGTCCACGCCAACATTGATATTGGTCTGCTCCAATCGCTTATTCTTTAACACTAGATCAATGGTCTCATAGTATTGTTCCACACCAGCACGAGTGCCCGCTCGTTTGGCCTCACGATAGCACACGAGCACCTGCTTCATGCGCGATCGACACTGCTTGCCTACGACATTGTAGCCTTTCTTTCTCATGTAACGTGCTACGCTTTCCCAAATTATCTGTGGCCGGGGAGCATATTCGAGCTGCTTCTGTACTTGTCGATCGGACCACACTGAGACGAGAAGCGCGGTGCTCTCGGGCGTCCACTTGTACTTGGCGTTGTCCCCGCTCGAATCCGACATCCTTACGTCTGCGTTCGCGCTATAACAAAATTAAAGGTCACAAGGATTTCATCGGACTTCCTTTATCTATTCTCTATACTTTATACTATTATTACTCCAACTGGTTCACGTCGCAGATCCTCGTCCAATTCCTCGTCCACTGGATTCAGCACGACATTCAACAGGTCGCCACTTGTCGCAACCTGCAATCCCGAGTAATTTATGTGAAATTGCCCAACACACAATGCGCACTCGCGCCATTTGCGTGCACTGACGCATAAGTACTTACCTCTCGCCGAGTGCGGTTGCGATGGACTTTGTAACCGACAGCAATTCAAATTTTAAAGGGACCAGTGCACCGAGACTACGTGAGTACGTGGTGGGAAGAGATGCATCCATAGCATGCAAAATACATAGAGGAGAATATCACTTCGATGCAATGTCGGAGGAGCAAATCTCGCGCATGCGTATTCGCACAGATTGCTGTTACGTCTTCTTTATATCTAGTTTACAGCAATTAATACGCGTAATAAATAAAAAATAATTAATGATTAATAATAAGTAATTAATCAAATAAATTGGTTTAATCAATTGGCTAAAATGCATTATTTAATACGATCAAACGATTAATGTAAATTGGACCTAATATAATTTTCTATTGGTCACAGCTTTTATCGGCATTAACGCTCGTCTATGTATTTTATATGTCTATGGATCCACCGCAGTAAAAGCGGATTTATATAGAAGAAAATCGGAAGCGAGAAATATCGTCCTTTTTTTAAGAAAAAGATGAGTTGCGAATTTTGTACAATTTTCCTTTCGATCTCTATTTGGATTATTTAAACAGGACATAGGTGATCTTTAAAATTTTTAAAGCATAAAAGTGATTTCGGTCTTTTTCGAAATTCAAAATGACGGTGCAAGAATCGCGTTGTTTATATATCATTGTTTATATTGTCAGAAATATATAATATAAACAATATTTATAATAAAATAAAATTTTCAATATTTATATTGTATTATATTATAACATAATGATATAATTATTTTATAGCATAGATGTTATTTTACGTTCGATTCTTCTAACGGATTTGAAAAGCGATGACGTCGACCAATCAGCGCAGAGATCAGTGTGTTCGAGATTGTCGAGCGGGTCGAGCGATAGGACGCCGAGAGAGAAAAAAAAGAAAGCTTATCGCCAATTGTTGCCTGGCGGGAACGTACAGGCGCATGCAGGATAGGACGTAGTGCAAGAATTTCACACGTGAATCTGGATGTTTAACGAAGGAAATCATCTCGATACGCTTGATACAGCTTGATAAAACGTTTTTCTATTTTGTTCATTAACGACGTTCAATGTGATTAGAGAAATTAACATTAGCAACCTCGAAATTCCGATCGGAATATGACGAAAATTTATATTCAGTTGCAATGATAAAATTTAAACGCTAATTGCGTTTGTCACTTCTTGTTTAAATACATCAAGGATTAACATTACAACAGCTCGAAAGATGGAAAGTACTGTGAATGGTCGAAAGAAGAAAGCCACGGAGAAGCCCGATAATGAGCAGGCTAAACGTGTCAAACATACTGAGAATAACAATATCCCTGTGGAGGTATTTTCGATAAAATATACTTTATTAAAACTACATTGATTATATCGATAAAAACTATCCAATCACGAGCAAACAAAAAAAATAAAATATATTAAAATCTTGAAAAAGCACTAATTAATTTAAGTAGATTTTTGCACATACAATTTTTGAAAATTATATCAACTATTTATTAAACATATTCTCATTGTATAATCATTTCATTATTTGTATGTTGTAGCATACAGCTGGAAAGGTGAAGAGCATTCGTGTTCGTAACTTCATGTGTCATGAAGCCTTGGAGATAGTACTAAATGAGAATGTTAACTTTATTGTGGGACGTAATGGCAGTGGCAAAAGTGCCATATTAACAGCATTGACTGTTGGACTTGGCGCAAGAGCAAATGTTACAAGTAGAGGAACCTCTGTCAAAGGTATATTTTAAGTTGTTTTTTTATTTCACATAGAATATTGAAAAAAGAATTTAGAACTTAAAAGCTAAATAGTACTCATTAGAGCACTAGAAAATAGTTACTGAATATGTCGAAAAATCAATCTCATTGAAACTAGAATATTTGGTTTTTAGTAAAACAAGTGATTTGTTCGTTTTTATTTATGCAATGCGAAATCAATTATTTTACATGCTTATTTTGTACATTTTTGTTAATGTCTTCAATATTCTTTTAATATTCTTTTGATTTTTTTTTTATGTATAAAAATGAATACTATCAATTCTGTAAATATTAAGTATTTCTTTAATATTTTTTATTAATAGAGCAATATAATGAGTTGTGCTCACTGTGATATTACAGAATTTATAAAGAAAGGCAAGAACTCAGCTATTATTGAAATTACATTAATTAATAAAGGAGATACTGCATTTAAACATGATATTTATGGCGATACAATAACAGTTCAACGTACTATTGGAAATACCTCATCATATAAGATTAAAAACTGGAGAGGTACTTGGAATATAAATTTTGCTTTTAATAATTCAAACACATAATTGTGGTTTTTTTTTATATATACTCATCAAAAACAAATATATTTTGCAGGCGATATCATTTCTACAAAACGGGATGAATTAGACAATATTATAGAAACAATGAACATACAAATCGATAATCCAATTTCTGTTTTAAATCAGGATGTTTCAAGAACATTCTTAGTTTCTTCTAAGGCTGATGAAAAGTATAATTTATTTATGAAAGCTACTCTTTTAGACACTATCAAAAATAATTACGAAGAAGCTTTAGAAATTTGCGAAGGCGAATATGACAAATTAAAGGTACACTCTGAAGCCTTGTTGCAAGTAAAAACAGAGATACAGAAATTGAAGGAAAATATACATAGAGTAGAAGAAATAGACGAATCACGAACGGAACTAAATAATCTTGAAATGGAGCTTCAGTGGGCTACAGCTATTGTGGAGGAATCTAAACTTAATAAAATACAGGAAACTTTAAAAATGTATGAAAATAATCTGAAAGAACTTCAGAATGTGGAATTATCTATATCAACAAAAGATGAAGAAATTGATGCAAAAATCAAAGAAGTAAAACAAGAAATTCAAAAAGCAGAACAAGAAGTAATAGACAGTAGTGAAGCATACAATAGTGCAAAGGAAAAATATACTGCCGCGAGTGAAGCGCACTCTAATAAACAACGCGAATGGTATTCTGTAACAGCTAATAAAAAACGATTAGAAAATGATATTAATCTGTTGAAAAAGGAAGTTCAAAAGTTAGAAAGCTGTAACAGTGAAGAACATAATAAGAGAAGAGAAATGACAGAGCGTCTATCAAAATTTCAAGAGAAATTGGATGAATTGGAAGCTTCATTACGTACAAAGCAAACCGAATTAATGCATTTAGAAGCTGATAAAGTGCGACTTTTACAAGAAGTACAGTCTTCTAAAATTGAAGTAGAAAATTTCGATAGACACATAAATAAGATCAAGAAAGACTTAAGTGCATTTGAACAACAATCTGATAATGCATTAAGTGTGTTTGGGCCAAACATACCACGTTTGTTAAGAAGAATTGACGAAGAATATAAGAAGAAACGATTCAAAGAGAAACCACGTGGTCCTATTGGTGCTTATATAAAAGTGAAGGATGCATCTTGGACACCAGCAATAGAAAGTTATCTAAATTCTCGTATGCTTAGCTCGTTTTGTGTGGATAACACTCAAGATGCTAAATTATTGAATAGTATCATGAAGGAAATTTTCTATAATCAGAATATTCCTCAAATTATATGTAGCAAGTTTTTTAACCAGGTACATGATGTTAGACGACACTGTACGCAGTCATCACAATATTCTAATCTTTTTGAAGCAATGGTTATAGAAGATCCTATTGTGGCTAACTGTTTGATCGATCAGTGCCAGATTGAGTGCGTACTTCTTATACCGACAAACAGCGAAGCCTGTGAGATAATGTCGGATGCTACAAAAGTGCCAAAGAATTGCAAAAGAGCTTTTACCAAAGGAAGTGACTTATTCTATCCTGATCCAAATTATAGGACTTATGGTGGAAAATGTGGTACACGTGCTAAGTTTCTGCAAGTTTCTACTATGGAAGCGATGCAGTAAGTATAAAGATTTATTTATCTACAATAGTTTATTTATAACATGTGATAGAAAATTTAATATAATTGTTATTTAGCATTTATATTAATTCCTTTTTACATTAAGAACACTGAGAGAAGAACTTCAGGTAATAGAAAATAAAAAGCGAGAAGCTGTTGCAGCATATAATGCTGTAAATGAAAAAGTAAAGCGCACTATTTCCGAGTTAAATAATGTAAGTGTAACGGTTCGCAAGCTAAGAACCACGCAAGGTGAATGTATTGATTTGATCAATGAATTGAAAGATAAAATCGACTCAAATGAAGCTACATCTGCTGATGTTTTTGTGAGTAGTCAGAAATCACTTCTCTTAATTATACATACATATATATATTTTTTTTTTGTTCTAAAACATTGCAAAACATATATATTACATAATTTGTTTTATTATTTACAGCGAAACGAAGCTGCTGAATTGGAGAAAAAATTAGTATTAGAAAGTAATACAGAAAAGCTGTTAGCTGAAAACGTGCAAGAACTTCAGAAAAATGTAAAATCTCTTCATGCAGAAGTCAAGCATTTTAGAGACTTAAGAGACAATTTACACACAGTGATTGATCCTCTCAATGTATGTCTTTTTTCTTCTCATTATCTATTAATTTATAATTAAAATAATTATTATTTATTAATAACTAACATTCTATATGTACATATTTGTGCAGGATAAAATAAAGGAGTTTAAGCAGAAAAAGGAAAGACATCGACTTGAGTGTCTGCGCGCTACTCGAAAATTACCAGAAATTCGTCAAGCTGTACAATGTGCAACGGGAGAATTTGAAATACAAGAAAGAGCTACAAAGAAAGCAATTTCTAATGCCACTGCAAAATGTGCCAGAATAAATACGACAAGGTTAGTATTATAAAGTGACAATATAACATTGTTATTTATTAGTTCAAAAATTTTAATTTTTTATTTATAGAATTTTGTACATATATTGATGTATATTGTTATTGATTTCTCTTATAGATCAGTAAATGAAATCAAAGCTATATTGTCTGATTTACGGGACAAAATTCGCGAAGTAGAACATCAATTTGGCACTGTGGATGATTTGCGCCAACAATTGAAAGAAAATGAACAGAAATATGGAGCAAACATCGAATTTGCATCTCAATTAAAACAAAGTTGGGAAGTGAGTACATAATCTGTATAATTTTTATTGATTATCCAATCATTATTTTATTGAAGATCACAAAATATTTTATAATAATATATTCATATATTGTAGAAACATATGAATCGAGTGAAACATCGACAGAATATATTTATGAAGTTGAGAGATTTGTACAGTACTCTTATACAAAAATCTTTCACTGACATGCTTTCTCTAAGACAATATAAGGTAGCTAGAAAAATATTTCTTAATTATATTATATTGATTCCTACTTTTCAAACATATTTTTGCTCTTTTACTTTATTAGGGCACTATAGTCATTGATCATGAAAATAAAATACTTGATTTGAAAGTGAGTGCACGGGACGATAAAAAAGCCAATAACGATACTAGATCGCTCTCGGGAGGCGAACGATCTTACTCGACTGTCGCGTTTATTTTGGCTTTATGGGAATGCATTCAATTACCATTCTATTTTCTTGATGAATTCGATGTATTCATGGTAAACGACTTTCCATATACATGAGATATTTCTAATATTCTTTCACATGAAATAGTTATCTTTCATATGTTTATTTGTACAGGACAAAGTAAATCGGCGGGTGATAATGGACATTCTTTTAGATCACACTAGATCACATCCAGAGAGTCAATTTGTTTTTCTCACACCTCTAGATACGTCGCACATTATTTCCGACGATTACATAACAATTCATCAGTAAGTAGATAATTTTACAATTTGCTATTGAGAAAAATAATTAGATATTTTCTATTTTCAAATGTATTAATGAAATATTTTTTTTCTCTCTTTTAAATATTGTAAAATTTCTATAAAATACTGCGAGATAAAGTTAATAATTCTCTAAAAACATATTACAACAAAATACAATACTCTTTTTAGGCTACAACCACCAGAAAGGAGAGGTCTGAGTCAATAAATACTTTAATATTACTTTTTTCTTGTTCAATATTTCTTGTCGATTGTATGAGATAAGAAAAGGTATTTATTTTTTGCTCAAGAAAAATATGAAATTTGTTACCTAGCAATAAGTAAAAATAACATATTTTCATAATATGTTTTCATATTGTTGAAGAATAACTTAAATATTTATATATATCCAAGATAGTTTTCTCTTAATTTCATAAACACATTTTTATGAAAGTAAGAAAAAATTATACAAATTTTATTTTTATACATGTATAAGAAATTATATGTAGGGAATTATTCGATATGGTATTCACGATAGAATTTTCTTTATTCGAGCTACGATACACATAAAAGAATAAGAACTTTGCAACGAAAATGTTAAAAGTGCCTTTAATTGTACTAATTATGTAATTTATTATATAGCTCTTTCTTTTTTAATAATAAAACTATCAAATAACTCAAATATATTATAATTATACCATATAGGTACATAAAACATATATAGTTATATTATATAACTATACTATAAACTACATTCATTAAAATATTCATTAAAATCTAGTGATATCCATTGGGGGAAATTCTTTATCTATCTAATATTCATTAAATAGGATGAAATAATTTAATTTCATATTTGGATAAATATATTTTAACGTTCATTCGATACATATTAAATCTAATTTTTATTCTAAGTTATAGCAAAAATTCTTGCAGTCAGCATTCTTCTCGCGAATACTTGAATAGATTCGCGAGAATTTTCTTCGAATTTGATTCATTGCCAACAAGCACGAGATCCAGAGTGAAGTGGGCGATGGAGGGACGTGCATACATACATACATCGCGCAAACCGTGCCGGACTGGTAAGTGGATCAAGGTTCGCACGGCATTGCGCGGATCTGGTCCGGTCGGGGGTTCCCGGCTTATAACGCAACACGCCTTTACGCATTACGCGCGTATTACATGCGATGCGCATGCTGTGCGTGTGTATTGGCCGGCTGGACGGGGCGTGGTAACGGCGTTACGTAATCCGCGCGTGAGCACGCTGGCCACCGTCCCGGAGAAAGTGCTCGACGAACGCTCGTGAATCGGTAATGTCTCGGAAAGGCAGGATAACAAACAACAGCGGGGGCAGGTAATGTCTGACTGACCTAATTTCAGTAATTGGATCCACTGAAATTTTCACGTTTCCTCGGTAACTTTCGTGCGATTTTTTGTGCCTTTTTTTTTACTTAAAAAATAACGTTATCCAACGATAATGATTACCGTGTTTCTCAACATTTGAAGACTTGTATGTATATACCTTAAATTATGTAATTTTATGTTATGATGATATGAAAATAATATAACTATGAATTATTCGTCAAACAATACAATTTTTATTGAGCTTAATGAATAGTTTATTTTGACAAAGAGGAAACATAATAATTGTAACATTCCGCATCTTCAACAATTTTGCTCAATTGAGATCTTGACTCGCGTCGATCAGTAATTATGACGAGAGATTAGGAAAGAGCTCTAAATATGAATAAGCTATTCCGTATAAAAATTATAATTATTCTAAAATTTAAGACGCAATTATTTTAAGTCATTCAAATATCCTATACTACACTCTCACAAAAAAAAAATACAAATTCTTTTTTAGAAACGCAATAACTATAATCTTAATCAAATTACTTTTCTCCAGAGTTCAATTTAATTACTGAACAAAGCATATTGAAAATGGGCGAAGGTAATCTATAACTCTCTTACACGACTTATATATACTTGCTGAAAAAAACAAAATTTCTTCGACAAGTATATCCTTCCTAAATGGCGATCAGGTCACAGTTCAATGGAGGTAGGCAGCAGGGGCGCCGTAGGAGAAAGCGGGCGCCGCGGCGAACTTGGCGATGGGCGCACTGTAAGCAAAAGCTGGTGCGGCGGCGATCTTAGCTACGGGGGCGGCATAGGCGAAGGGAGCAGCGTGCGCGATTTTGGCGACGGGAGCCGCGGCGTAGGCGTAGGGTGCAGCAGCGACCGGAGCAACAGCCTTGACAGCAACAGCAGCGGGTTCCTTGCGCACGACAGCGTTAAATCCGTTGACCGAGTCAGCGGTGTAGTCGACTATACGCCTGGTGCCATCGGCCTCCAGAAGGGAGTAGCTGCCCTGAACGAGATCGCCGTCACGGGTCTCCTGCTGGCTCTTGTCGTCGCCGGTCAGACTATCGTGCACGTCGTACGCGTAGCTGTATTGGGGATGCGCGTCGTAATCAGCATCGACGGTCTTGGCGACGACAGCAGGAGCTGCGGCGTAGGCCAAGCGTGCGGCAGGAGCCGCGGCGTAAGCCAGGGGTGCAGCAGGAGCCGCGGCGTAGGCCAGGTGTGCAGCAGGAGCCGCGGCGTAGGCCAGGGGGGCGGCGGGTCCGATTATGCCGGCATTAGCGGCGGCGATCAGGATGGAGAAAGCGACGAACTGAGAAAGAAGGAAACATAAGTATAAAAAATTGATAGAAATAAATACATAATGAAATTTAATTATATGAAAATATAGAGTAAACAAATAATATAATACTATAAAATAAAATGTTATGTAATTGTAAGAGAGGTAATATAAGATGTGTATATTGAATTAACAAAAATAATACGATGAATTTTTATGATTGTTTACATTTTGCATTTAAATATCTTGTTTTTATACTAAAATTTTAATTTAAAATGTGTATTACGGCAATTTTGTTCGATTCGTATACATATCCGAAATAATTTGCGAGTGAAAGCGTGGTATTAATGGAAAATGTATATGCATGAAAATTTATCAGTATTACGTTAAACCCTCTATTTTTGTAATAATCTCGTAAATGTTACTAATTACATATATTTTCTTGATCGATTAATGAAATAATATCACAGGAAAGGACGGTATCCGTAAGAAAACGCGACGAATGCACTGTCCTGTAATTATTCTTGAATTATTATAATTCGTAATTATGGAGAATCCAACCGGTAAATTGTCATACTACGAAAAATTCACCAAAATTATGGAGAAGCGATTGGATCTACTTTCTCGACATACGTGTTAGCTTACGTCAAGCGGACTTGAAAAATTGGGCGCAATACCTTGAAGGCCATTGTTGCTCGGTTGATCGGGTACTTCGTTCGATCTTGTGAGTTTGTAATGCGAATGATACTAAAGGATGGATGGTTTTCGGCTTTTATACCTCTCTGTTCAGGAACCGCGAGAGGCCCACCATACTCCACGCTACTCAACGATATACATATACATATATAAAACAGGGCATATTCACTGATGTAACTGGGTGACGGTTCCTTCGCCAGTTACCCGATTCGCAAAATGAGCAACGAAATTGTGCAAGAAATCGAACCACACCCAACAAAAGCGAGCAATATCGAGATCGGATCGGGCCTCTGCTCTTGTAACCCGTCAGATCTGAAGAGTGCATCGGTCATCATCTTCATCGTCGTCGGGGACTAGGCCACGTCCTTGCCGACGATTTAGCTAATCCTCCTTCGCATAGTTTGTTCAGAGTTATGAAGTATTTTTTTTAGTCTTTTTTCCTTTCTTTCTCTCTTTCATCTACCGAATTTTTTATTTCTTTTCTTTTCTTTTTCCCATATGTGACAATCCTACATCTCAGTCCATTTTGTGGATTTACAATTCTGATATATTGCGAGAATTTGTATAATTTACAGTTCGTAAAAGTTCAATATAGAATGAAAATTAACATAATAATTAAGAAACCTTAAAATAATAATCCTGTCCATGATCACTAAGAACTTGTAATATTTATATTTCTTGCTATAATTCTCAAGGCTTTATATAAAAAAAGATTATCTATATGATTATCTATCTTTGCTATAATTAAAAAATTATTTTTTTCCAAGAACAATTGTATATGTTTTACTTAAGATAATATTCTTTATCAAAAATTGTGCAGAAATTATTTTAAATTTAATATGAATTTTAGGTTCTTAATATTTTAGATTTGACTTGTCTTTCTTTTACGTAGTTATATAATTTCTGAGTATGATCAAGTGCTCTTCTCATATTCTTTATATTGAGTTTATGCTTGCACATCTCTTTGCTTATAATAAATAGCATGACTTTCTTTTTTCTTCTCTTTATGGAGATTCTTTTGGCTATGTCATCAAGTTATTCATCTATAAATTCATAGACTTTCGTAGAGCTCATCTGTCATTCTATTCTCTTTTATTAGATACGTTTTAGCTCTTTGATTGGCGATTTTAATGCCTGCACGTTTGTTAATTTTGTACTATTTGATCTAGGCATTCTAATCTATAATATATTGAAAAGCCCTTTATCGCGGAACTATTTTTCATAGCTGTCATGATTGCTTAAAAATGACGTTAGCGGATATTATAATATTCTTGCGAGATAACTTTTTTTTAATTGATGATTAGAGTCCATAACGAATGATTTCGACAACTGAGGTGTTCGAGATGACACATTCAAAATCTTATAAGCATATTTTTTTAACTGAATTATTTATCACAAATATTAATAAATCTCTATAGCACTGAACATTATTAGCATTACATATGTATAATAGAAAGTTATACATATTTTTTACATCACACACACACACACACACACACACACACACACATATATATATATATATATATATATATAAAATAAGTTTTTAAATTAATTTATTTAATTTATCTGATGCTATAAATTTCATATAAATTATTTAATATACCTAATATTGATCTAAAATTATATTTAAACTAGAATTTTTTTCATCTTATATTATATTTAATATAATTATATCTTATTATTGTTAATCAATTACTATATCTAGCCCAACTTTTTATCTTTTTAATTTCAGATCTTCTTAATTACCAGACATTATCATCCTAACGCGAAATGCAATTTATTTAATGTGACACATTGCATAGCACTGTGCAATAAAGAATTATTACTACTTGCGATGAGCGACGACAGTATATTGATCGACATTTGAACAGAACTTAATGAGTATGTAGGCTGTCTGCGTGAATATTCCAAACCCAGATAATTATATGAACTGTTTCGAAACTTATCCCATGTAATTTTGATGCCTGACGGATGTATCTCGTGGATCTCGAAATATATCACCTGTCGCGCGAACGTAACGAGTAAGCAAACTTTGCTCAAAATTGATAAAAATTAAAAAAGAAATTTAATTATAAACATGAAAAAAAGTTCGCAGAAGTTTATATATATATATATATATATATATATATATATAAACTTCTGCGAATTTTTTCATGTTATATACATTATATATATATATATATATATATATATATATATATATAATTATTATTATTATTTTCATATTTATAAACTTATAATTATTTTTAATTTAAAACATTACATACTTATAAATAGATAAGAAGTCAGAAATAGTAGAAATATATAGAAGTTTACAAGCTATAATTTTTTATTGATGTAAAATATTTATACACGATTAGCAATATACATATAAAATATAGAAACATATTTACATATCAAATAAAACGAAAAGAGAGAGATTCAATTACATATTTTAATTTACTTTATGTGATGTCATGTATTATATTAAAACTGTGTATTTGTAGCGATACTTTTATTTTGTTTTTTAATATTAGAGCAAATAAAAAATACATAAAGCTTTTAAATCTTTATATTAAGAGAAGCGAAGGTCGTTAATTTTAATACATAAATAAAATGTATAAATATATATCCCATCATAGTAATATACGCGAGACATACGAATCGATTTCAAAAGAGAGTTACAACAAGACTTGTCTCGATAATTGACATAGACTGTGGAGATTCGGATTAAAGTGTTTTCCTCGGCCAAGAAGGTGAACAGTTTCAATGTCCAGGATGTAATTTACTGCCAATTAATGCCATACGTACGAACTTCCTGCCACGACCTTCAATCCTTCTCATAATTGACTGAATCAAAGTCAACGGGTCTCTTTTTTTTGTGCGTTGAACGTGAGAAGAAAGGTGGCGAAGAGATCTCCATTTGTGTGTTTGTACTTCATAAACTGTTCCCCTATATGGAAAACGTCGAATGAGCGCGTTGTTTCGTGACATTAAAAAAGTACAAGAGAGCGATATCATTATAATATATACTCGAATTATTAAATGCGTGTTTTTTTACGAATGCACGACGATAAATTATATGAATTTATGACGATAAAGAAAGATCCAATTATATCGGTATTAATTAAATTCTTTAATATAAACATCTTTCTCTGCGAATAATAAACTAAAGTATGATGAATAAATAATTAAAATTGATAAATAAATAATTAAAGAAATTATTTACACAATTGAAATCTAATTCTATATATATATATATATATCTGTTTCCATATTTTATATGTATATTGCCAATGGTGTATAAATATTTTATATAAATAAAAAATTATAGCTTGTAGACTTGTATGAATTACAAGTATGCAATGTTTTAAATTAAAAATAATTGTAAGTATATAAATATAAAAACAGTAATAAATAAATATATATATATATATATATATATATATGTATATATTAACTTCTGCGAATGTTTTTATGTTTAATAATTAAATTCTTTTTTTAATTATATATATATATATATATATATATATATATATATATAAATAATTAAATATATATATAAATAAAAAATTAAAAAAGAATTTAATTATTAAACATAAAAAAATTCGCAGAAGTTAATATATATATTTATTACTGTTTTCATATTTATATACTTACAATTATATATATATATATATATATATATATATATATATATATATATATAATTGACATAAATTAAAATCTGTCTAGAAATATGTATTGTATACGTTTTTCTCAAGTAGAATGGATAAAAGCCATTCGTCTTCCGGATGTCACGTGCGAAACATATCTAAAGTTTCCAAAATCATTTCCTCGATAATTACATAATTGCGTTACACGTGTGTAACGCTCGAACAATAGGCGTTTCGTTAGCTTTTAGATTGCCGACGTATCGGCAATTTGTCGCGTTAAATTGAAACAATCTGATCGATTGATCGGCATAATGTTTTCACGCAGATCTCATGGACAAGAACGTGATCCAGAGGATAGAGCGGATGAGAAAAATCGAACGCGACGGTGATGAGCGAAATCTCGAGCCTCGATCGACACGAGGTTGCTCGATTATACCCGCGGGCTCGCAATCGATCGGGGCGGACCCCGATATTCGAGCGACCTACCTATTTCTTCTTTATGAAAGTGCTCCACTTCTCTCTCTTTCTTTCTCTCTCTCTCCTTCCTTGTTCGGCCGTCGCACGGGACCCGATGATGTTAGATGATATGACGTAACAACGCGTATCCCGTCTGTCGCGACACATTCGGCAAAGACACGTATGGAATGCCTGGAAAGTTTCGCGATGATGACGACAACGAAGAGGAGGTGGTATTACTTGCGTTTCTTTGACTATGTGGGTGCTCTACTTGATAGACACCACTTATCAGGTGAGAGGTATCTGTTAATTATTCTGAACATTCCATTAATTTCGAAAAAAGCCACATTATGTGTCATGCATTTTTATAAATAATCCTCTCTTTGCATACAAGGGTTCAGAACTCTTCAAGAACCCTTTTTAATCTTAATTTTAAATGACAGAATCCTTATATCTATTTAGCTAATCATTTTTCATAGAAAATTTCATAAGACGATGATTTTCTTATTAAAACTATTATAATATAAATATTTATTATTAAAACCTATTTATATGTATATAGAATATTTTTAAGAATTTATAATTAGAATTATGAATAATCATAAATTTATAATTTTAAAAACAAAATTTAAAAATATTAATGTGTAAAAATATCAATTTCTTAAGTAAAATAAATTTATATTATACTATGTTTCAGAATTATTTTAAGAATCATTAAAATCGCATTCTTAAAATAAATATGTAACAGTCCATCACATATTTAGACATGTTTGTATAAAGATCAACTCCTGTCATGATTGCCTGGAATTCTTGCACTTTATTATATCTTTAGCCGAATTCAATAGTGCAAACTCTCTTAGGTAATCATATAATAAAAGTCTATACTATAATTTTCTAATTTATTCTTGATTAACGCCTCATAAGAAATCATCGAACCTTCAAGGATTATATATGAGAAGTGACATTTGGCATGGTCAGTAATATACAGCCAAACATATATTGCACAATAACACAAGACACCAATAGATGGAAAAAAATGAAGAAATTATGACATGCTCTAAGAGATAATGAATTATTATCAATATTCACGCACTGACAACTAGCCCTTGTTATTGTAATTTTCGAAGATCCTTTTGTATTCACTTTTTAAAAAATAAAAGAGATAAATCAATCAAAAACGCAAAAATTGCAAAGTCACAGTACTCACTCTTTTTATTTTACTATTTGAGAATAAGTTTTTATATTACATTCTAATAATATAAAAATAATATTTAAATTTTTATGTAAGGAATAGAAAGAGAGGAATCTAATTTTTTTCTTAAACATTCCATTCATTAACATTGTTTATTATTATATTGTTTATTATACGTAAAATTGAAATTTATATTTTAATATATTTTATGTTAATATATGACCCTCATCATTTTTTACTCAAATAATACCTTATTTTTTAAAATAAAAAAGCTGATATCACATACACATATTGTACAGTTTTATTACTATATTAAAGTCAAATTATTTCCAGATATTGTTTCCGCTGAAAAAATTGCGCATTACGCTAGATTGCTCCAAGTTTGCGATATATATGGATCGGGAGCGAGGGTGTGCCGTCGCAAGTGCCGGCCAAGTTCAAGTGCGATCGACCGTCGACGAACTTTCAAAGTCTGGCACGGGAACCATACGGTGGGGGACCATACGATGGTGGTTGAGGCCATCGGGTATATAAAGCGGCTGTGATCAACACTGCACATCATCAGTCTCGCTTTGGTCGATCCAAACCAACCAAATCCACGAACAATGGCATTCAAGGTAGGTAGAGGATTGCGAACGCGAAGAATCTTCCGAGTTTATTAGCTCTATATATTTGAAGTCTATTGGACTCGGATCATACACTCGCGTCAAGTGTTAGAAAGAAGTTCACCATTGAAATTGTCTTTCGAAAAGTAAAACTCGTGAGTGAAAAACTCGATTGAAATTAAGTCTAGCGCAAATATCTATTTTTCGAAATCTAAATCGGAATCGATTATTGATATGATTAATAAAACCCCATCGATTACGTTTCTTTCGCAGAAGCTGCACTTGTGTTTCAAGAATACACCGCAAGTTGTCATTGAAATAAATAAAAAATTCACGGATAATAATATTTGCGATAAATAATTTTGAGGCAACTCAATTAAAAAGAACTCGAATTACGTAAAACTAAAGCTAACTCTGTAATCTTTTGCAGTTTGTCGCTTTCGCCGCCCTTGTGGCCGTTGCTAATGCCGGTCTCATCGCTCCTGCTGCTCCCGTCGCTTATGCCGCAGCCCCCGCAGTTGCCAAAGCTGTGGATGCTGATTTCGACCCTCATCCCCAGTACAGCTACGCGTACGACGTGCACGATAGTCTGACCGGCGACGCCAAGAGCCAGCAAGAGACCCGCGACGGCGACATCGTCCAGGGCAGCTACTCCCTTCTGGAGGCCGATGGCACCAAGCGCACCGTCGACTACACCGCTGACCCAGTCAACGGTTTCAACGCCGTAGTCCGCAAGGAACCCGCCGCGGTCGCCGTCAAGGCTGTCGCCCCAGTTGCCGCTGCTCCCATCGCGCACGCTGCACCGATCGCTTACGCCGCTCCTGTTGCCAAAATCGCGACCCCCATTGCACACGCCGCTCCCTTGGCCTACGCTGCCCCCGTAGCCAAATATGCAGCCCCCCTGGCGCATGCCGCTCCCCTCGCCTACGCCGCCCCCATAGCCAAATATGCCGCCCCTATCTCCTACGCCGCCCCCGTAGCTAAGTACGCTGCCCCCGCTTACGCTCACGTCGCGCACGCTGCCCCCGTCGCCTACGCCGCATCCGCCGCACCCTTCGCCTATGCCGCACCCGCCGCACCCTTCGCCTACGCGCCAGCGGCTCCCATCGCCAAATTCGCCGCAGCACCCGCTGCTTTCTCTTATGCCGCCCCCGCCTCCTACATCCACTGATCGCGTTGATCGCGCCAGCTCACGTTGTCGACTTAGGCCGAACTTATTTATTTTTATACCATGTATGTCTTTTTCTGTGTGACTGATTAAAAGAAATTATATATATGTATTTGAGCCTGTAATCACTTACGCAAGATCTCATCAACCCGCTGTCCTGATACTATAATATCTCAATATGTGTATGTAATACACATATAGCATGTGTATATAGTATAATATATATATAATATTTGACATTTATATAGAATACAACGCACACTCACGGATATATATATCTGATTATGCAATACATTGCGAATTAACATGCGGACAGAAACATAATCTATCGATTCACTTTTAATATGAACAGGAGGCAATATTAAATTGTACTTTATATATACAATATATATATTATTATCAGCAATTAAAATAAAAACAAAGAAATTAAAACAAAGACAGAAAACAATAATAAAACAAAAATATTATATTATTTGTTAAAAAAATTGATTTCCATTATATATAAAAGTGACAAACGTCACTTTAGATGTTGATATGATTTGTGTAAGATTTAATCGAAATATTATAGTAAATGTGTAGAGATAAATGATGTTTAATTAAAAATAGGATAAATGAATTTTTTTGAAGGTATATGTATTATAAATTGATACAAATATATTAAACACTTTGATCTGATACTCGTTTATTTACATTTCTCAAAGACTTAAATAATTTTAGTTTATTAATGAAATTTTTATCAAATTTGCCTGATTTATTAAATCTCTCTTTAATCATCTCATAATGCTAATTTTTGAAGGATTATATAATTTATCTCAATATATTATAAATTACACACACATACATATGTAGTAATTAAATATAATATTCTAGAAAAATTATAAAAAAATTAAAAATTTAATATTTTTACGTGAAACGTTCTGTGACTCATTTGTCAAGAAAATTAAATGATCATATCAAAGAAATTTAACGTAAACATTCTTATTCAAGCACATTTTTTTCTTTAACATAAATATATTCTAAATTTCTAGGAAAATAAAAATAAGCACACACAAAAGGAATGATTATAGCAATCGAAACTAGATATCGAGCGATTACCACACATGATGTGCTAATCATGTGCGTCATATATGCGACATTCTAATTCGCGATTGCAACTATTGTTCTGTGTCGCCATACTAATATAAATTCACGACACGCGATGTCGAAACTCCTTACTATTTGTGCCGAATCTATTTCATTATTTCTACGTGTATGTCGCACATTCGCACAATTTGCAATTATTACCAGAAAATCGAGATTATATACCTTGTTTCTTGGAGCAATTTACGTCTTGTAGATGGAGTTTTTAATCGAAAAAGTAAAAAAAAATCAGTCAAACATATAACGAGATACATACTCACAGAGAAGATCCTATTGTAATTATACATATATTTGTACTCTAATCTTCAATTATAAAACGTTATTCAATCTTAATGCAAGATTACATTTTTGTAAATTATTTTCCAAGTATTTTTAAGCATTTTATTTGCCAGATTTTCTCGTACGATTTTTATGACATTTAGTGTTGTATAACATGCAGTGTAAATTTCATGATTCCGGACGGTTCCCGCACGTATGCCCTTCATGTATGGGGTAAACTTTCGTGTGTAATATCACGACGTTTCGCGTAATGTTATTTCTGGCGTTCGCCAGAATTGACCCACTTTCTCTGCTTTTTGCTCGTCCTTTCCCGAACACCTCCCCGCAACCGCGCAAGGATCACGACGAAGCTTCACTTGTGTTCACTGGTCTCGATTGACCGATTGCACCATTGTATCGCTTAACAATCGTAGATACGACAATGAGAGAACATCGATTTTACGGACGCAATGTCGCGTTTTTGACGGATAACTTGCGCACAGTGCATAGCATGAATCGGATTAATTCGGCTCATTCTGATACAATTGGAGCAAATAGTCTGCCGAATAATTCTTTCACATTACACTCGCTCTGTTTATTCGCATAATTAGTATTATATTGATTAATATTCAACTTTATTTTGGATACTTTATCATAAATGTCTGGAAACTAGATTTATTCGTTCTTATTAAAATTAAAAATTAAAATTATAATTCCTTTTTTTTCATATACTTATATATTATTTATGGTATATATGTGTAATTACATTTTACTAAAAAACCTTTTGTTATTAAAATATTTATTATTTTAGTAATACAAATATAATGCAATATATATAAGATTTTTATGTACATATAATATTTATAGTTATATATTTCAAAAGATATTTATTTTGTTTTATTAATTTTGTATGTTTAATTCTTTCTTCTCTTTTATTATTGATATATATTGATTGTATTCTTTTTTGTCTTAATTAAATCAAGAAAAAATCAATTATTGATTCTTAAAATTACATGCTAAATATAAAATCCTGTTTTAAAATAAAGTCTTAAATATTATACGACTTAGATGATTTAATATCAATTATGCATTGCTAAATCGCGCCGGAACAGCATCTCGCAAGACTCGCGCGCATGGCACGTGAGAAAAAAGAACGTATAGAGGAAGAAGAATTACATGTGCGCGAGCCACCGAATTCGAGTTCACTCGTTTGCACGCAGCCCATTTGCCATGGGAGAAAGGCGTCCAAATTCCAGACCTCGATTTAAATTGCGTTATTACATAATAGGGCGGACCGCTCACACTTTTCGGGAAGCACGTGCACGCGCCACACATACACGCGTTATATTCGACTAACGATTTCACACAAATAATCGATACCGCGAAATAATATCATCCAATAACGGCCTTGATGGCAAGGTCGCTTTACGCTTTCTATTATTACTATACCATTGCTCTGCTATTAGTATTTATTAATAATATTGGAGTCGCTTTGTGTGTTAGGCACTGTAGGTACAGGTTCATTAATTTTTCAAGGCTGAAACTTGAACTCTTGAGAGAATTGAAATCTCATTGCTTCTCTTCTTTTTCTATCTATATTATTGTCTCTGATTTATTACAATAAATATTCAGAGTTGAATGTTAAAGAAATTATATTATGGAGAAGGAGAGCGAGAGATAACAGTTCCGGAGACACAGTTTCGGAGAAAAGATTTATTAATTGCTTTCTTTGCTGTTGAAATCAGAGATACGAAATCAATTAAACTTAACTAAAGGTAAACGTCAATGTCGACTGCGAAACTGGCAATTAGAAATGCAAATTCGAGGGTTCCATCAGCATGTTACGTATTATATCGTGTAAAAACTTTCCTTCATGGCGATATATTACAGTTCCTAATTAATACTTATTGGACCGATTTATGTATTTGTGTGCTCTCACTTTATATCTCATATAATATTCACTCTTCGTTAGCACAATAGTCTCTTGTCTCGTATACGAGGATAAATCCGTTATTAATCGATCCGAACGATTTACGCGTGCGGAAAGAGTATAACGTACGCATTAAAACGCGTGGAAAACAAAGCAATTAAAAAAAAAAATACGTGCGACAATGACAAAACATTGTATGCAAATCAAACAACGTGATACATAACGTAATGTGATTTCTCATGAATAAAATATATATTAGTTTTGTGTGCCACCTTGATATAAAATTAATCACTTAAACCTCATGAAACGTTATTCCATTTTTACAATAATAATTTATCAACGATAATGTATTTTCTTTTTTTATAAATACGTGGCATACTTTCTTTAATTCTCTCTCCTCTCTCATTTTTCATCATTTTTACCCGACAGGGAACATAAACGATGGATGGACTACCTTGACAGGCATTTGGTTCATTTACATTTGTTTCGTTTATATACTTTTAACTTCGCGGGATGCATCGATGAAAAATGATAAAGGCAAAAAAAATTTTTAACGTTAAATGTGTTACTCGCAAAGAGCTCGCACGCAAATCGGCTTTTCGACGATGATTTATGGAAAGTAAGAAGATCGACTGACAGATAATTTTACAATGTATTTGGGGAGCATTCGATATGCATTAAATGCATGCAATATTCACGCGACCCCTTTTTACTTTCATCAGTAGCCTTGATTTACATAAGCGTAAATAAATGATAAAAAAATGCATAACCTTAATCGGCAAGTGTATATCTCGTCGAGGGACGTTCATATACAGGACTCTCATTCATCGAGAATATCTGCTTAAAGTAGACAGTATATTACATCCGCTTCGATTTGACTTTATGACTCATTGCAGATAAATCACTTCAGACGTAAATTTTTAATTAATTGTAATGAGTTGCAATCAAAATCTCATATTTTAAGACAGAGACATTGCAAGAAAATAATTTTTCTACATTTAATCATTAAAAATATGCTCTTTTTAAATTTAATTAGAAATAAGATCATTGATTTCTTTTAATAAAATAATTTATTAATATACAGTAAATTGGTAATTGTTAATATATAGAAAATTTTCTTAAAAATTAAAAGACTAATGAATTGAAACAAATACTAAGTGAATGTGATATGCTCTGCTTATTTAATTTATCAAATTGAATGTACTCCAGTCACGATGTAGTTGCAGTTAGCACAAATACTACGTGCATGCTTTATAAAGTGATAGTCACTAATAACAACGTAATTTTACGATTTTATAATCATACACATACATGATTACGTCTTACAATAAATTTGTAATCTAAAGTTTGATAATCTAGAGTTGAAAGAAAAAGACAAGACAAATTTCCTACAAGAGTTTTTCTATTTTTTTCCACAAAGATTTAAGATTTTTCACTTGAATTATTATTAGAAAAATACAAATAAAAATAAAATAATAATAATATAAATATTATATTAATAAAAATAAAAATAAAATAATAAAATAATATATAATAATATATAATATATAAAAATAAAATAATATATAATTCAACAAAATATAATATAATTCAACAAAATCTAAGAAAAACATTTTATCCGTCAGTTTTCCGCTAAAATGCTCCACCGGAAAGCGATCATATACAATCAAATCGATAAAAAAAACTGTGTGTCCAATTCGCAACGATTTTGCTCACTGGAATTCCGGACCGGTCTCTTTCTCTCTCTCTCTCTCTCTCTCTCTCTTTTTCTCTTTCTCTGTCTGCCAAAAGTGAACCGGTCTTTCGTGTACACGTAATACGGACGCAATTACGAGGTGCCGCATAGTGACATTGGGCGTGATTCTTTGACGGCCGCGGCTGCAGTCGCGTTTTCTGTTCGGTGAAAGTCGATTCGCGCGCACGAAACACTCTCGTCCTCGTCTCCTTTCTTTGTTCCGCCGACGGCGATCTTTTCGTTAACTGCATTCCACTTTAACATGCCCCGAGACAGAGAACAACGTCGCGCTTTTCTCGCAGGTATAATTCGAAATTATGTATGCGTCGCTCTTTTCTACAAGAGAGAGTTTGCCTTCGCACGCGAATAATAGCTTACGTAATCTCTCGCGTTAAACGACATTTGAGTTTCAATTAATTTGCATCGATTAAATTTACTTTTAAATTACTAATCATTTTTTGCCACATATGTGTAAGTGTAATTTTAAAAAAGATCAAAATAAAAAATATAAAGAAGTTCAAAGAATATCCTATTATTTAAAAAGAAAATCTTTTTCATATGGAGTGAATTCTGATGTAATTTTGAATTGATAACTGATTGTCCTCTTCTTTCACAATTAATTATATATTATATATTATATTATATATTATATTAATTATATATTATAAAATTTTCAATTATATAAATTATATATTATAAAATAAAATAAATTATTATAAAATAATTGCAAATTATATATTATAAAATTTTTTGCTATGACAAGCGTGCACGAAATGGATAAAGGATAATGAATTCTAATTTTTCTATTTTTATCCTATTTTTATATATAACAAAGTGCAGATTAATTACTTGTAGACAAAATGTTAAGTAGATAGTATACATAATTAAAGATTGTCTAAAGTATTTTGTTTTTTAATTTATTATATTAAACTTTATTCGAGAAACCTTTGCAGTAGTACATGTCACTCACTGATCAGACGCCCGAACGTACAATGATTGCAACTACTTGCGCGTCTGACTCACATAGACCTCTACTACTTTCTCGATAGAAAAAATGGATTATTCGAAAAATATCCTTTTTTTTATGTTATTTGATAAAGAATTCTATGCATCAGTCTGCAAATTTTTTAAATATAGAACATACAATCGAGTTCTTTTACGGTATCACAATAATTTGCACTTTAACTCAAAACCTGTAAGTATTGCGTGAAATTTAATTTTACTTTTTATTTAATTTGAAACGTTTTCGTTTAATGATTAATATTATTTTGATATATCTTGATTGCATATAAGGATATTCCAAAGAAAGCTGGCATACAAGTGCATTAAAAAAATCAGAGATTTTATGATACGAGATACTCATCAAGAGAGATACAGTAAAGGTATCCAATAAAAACATCAATAAATGTCACCATTTATGATGGCTATTAAATGGTTAACGATTATAACACTCAGTTTTTTTTCGGTACTAGAAGTTAAATGCGTTGCACGTAATCGAAGGTCGCGTTACGTGTCTCCGTATGTTTCTTGCGTAAACACACCGGCAGAAATCCGGGATCTGGCGCGCGTAACAACGAATTCGGGGCCCATTGCTTACATAACTGGTATGCGCGATGGATCGAACCTCGCACGAACGTCGATGTGACAGCCCAACGACCGGTTAGCGATCAATCCGCGACATCGATGACATTGATCAACGCACGTCCAGAGTGCGTCAACTTTTATTTGTTACGCGCACCCACGCGAGTAATGATGTAATCGAACAGAGTCGACTGCGACCAGACTGGCTTATTTTTTATCTTTATTATTATCTGGCGCACTTTCCAAAATAAAAACAGACATCATGAATCTCTATTGTATCGAAGAAACAATAAAAAAAATCAGTGCATTTATAAGTAACTCATGGTAAACAATTTTTATTTCAGTTTCATCGTATATAATTGGGGTAAAAACAACGAGATGCGGACTGGTTGCAATTCGAGATACACACAAATAAAATTTATGCTAATGAGAGGTTCTAAGCGAGACCAGTGAGGGGTGCAGCGTAAGCGACCGGCGAGGAATACGCGATGCTGTAGGGATACGTCGGATAAGTGGCTACCGCCCTGGCCGGGAGACCGATGAATCGAGCATTCGCCGTTGGCTGTTGCTCCTGACCGGCCCGTAAAGATGCGGCCTGTTGTCGGCGGTCCTGCTGCTGCTCCTGTTGCTGGAGCTGCAATCTCGACGATCGCCTTTGCTGCTCCTGCAATTGCTGCTCCTGCTGTTGACGTTGTTCTTGCAGCCGCTGGAACTGCTGACGCTGACTCTCCTGCTCGCGCCTCGCCGGTGTCGAGATACCCGACGATCGGGCCTCGACCACCTCGACGTCGGAGTCGGGTCCGCTGGCGGGAATTGACGGGGCGACCGGGGCGATGGGAGCAACCGGGGCGATCGGCGCCAACGCGGCCGGTCTAAGCGGCGCCGCGATGGCGGCGATCACCGGTTCCCTGCTGACGACCGCGTTGAAACCATTGATCGGATCCGCGGTATACTCGACGATACGACGCGTACCATCAGCCTCGATCAGGCTGTAACTACCCCTCACGATGTCACCGTTCCGGGTCTCATATTGGGCCTTGGAGTCGCCGGTCACCGCATCTTGCACATCATACGCGAAGCTGTACTGTGGCACCGCGTCGAATTCCTCCAGCTTCGCCAAGGGCGCCGCTGCTGGTAGCACAGCGGGCACCAAAGCTCCGCGAGCGAGCGCCGTCAATCCCAAGAAGAAGAGGAGCTGTAAATTCATCGATAATCATCAGTGATATTTTGATTGCTTTTTCAAAATTGGAGTTTTCCATTAACTTCTAAAAATTGGGGGTTGTAACTTTAATATGATGTAATGAACTAAATGTCTTTTTATATACGATTGTGATATTTCAATCAACAATTAGACATATTGATAAAGATAAGAATCGATATAAAGATAAGAATTTTAGAAATAAAATTCTAATTCTGTAGTCTCTTCAGCTTCCCTTACCGTGCCGGCCATGTTTGTTTGCGAGAAGATTGTCAGAAGACTGATGCTCCGGGATAAGATTGTTCGTACTTTTATACGCTGTCATCGACGTTCATGTCATCGGCGACGACGACGATGCTCCTTGTAGCCAAACTTGCGCCAATGCCACCCGCGCCCCACCTAATCGCTCTCTGTCTCCGTTTCTCTCGTTCTTTTTTTCTATGTCTTCTTCTCGGGGGCCGTGCGGTGACCTCCGTGACAATCATTGCGATGTACAAGGAGTCCGTAATGTTGTACCAATGTTTGACCCGTTGTGTATGTACGAAACTTATGCGTTTCTTCATATCGCCCGTGCATACACGCGACTTGGATGCCAATATGTGCCGACGACGCGAGGTCGTTCGACGAAATCGTATGTTTGAGTACATTGAATGCTTTTATCCTAACTGACAATGAAATGCACGAAATTCAAAGACATATCTGTAAAAGAAGTAATGAAGATTTAGAATGAAAATGAAATAAGCGTGATGGGAAACATTTCGATAGAAAACATCACTGTAATTTGAAGATATAATAAAGAGTTATAATATTAAATTTTTCTATGTAATATAGAATATTAAAACTAATTGTTCTATTATATTAATATTAAATTTAATTATTCTATTATAATTAATATTAAATTAATATTCTATTATCATATAATATTAAAAACTTCTATATATTTATATAATATATTTAGAAAACTAATATTTACATATATTAAAAAATATTAATAATTACATTAAAATTTAAAATTGTCAACTTTTCGATGTTTAAAGGAGAATGCATTGGCTTAATGCCAATCTGTCCATTGCAGACAGACGATTGATAACCGAAATAGGCGCGTAATCGTACGCTACGCACGCATTCACGCGTGTCGTGTACCAATACATGTCGAATATAGGTGATCAATCAAGGTCGTTCGACGAAAGCGCATTCTATACAATCGGACGAATTCTATTATACATTCACAGCGGGAACGACAATGAATCTGCCAACATCAATCGGCGCGTACTATTGCGTTAATGATCAGAGACGTAATCGTTAACCGTTATTGCTCTGCTATTTTTTCCGTAGCAATACATATATCCGTATATGGCATATAAAAAACATTTCGATTTAAAATTTAGTAGATATAAATGTGAATATTTTTTTAATTTTTGCAAGTTCCAAATTTTTTCATTAATTCTAGTGTTATTCGAAAAATGTGATACCGGAAAAAATATCATTGAAGTCTTATATCTGGTTTAATGTTAGTTTATATTTGCTATATTCAATTCTGAAATGAACAGGTACATTCTATTTAATTAATCGATTTAAAATGATTAATATTATTTAAAAAATTACATGTAAAATATAGAAATTATTTATACTTTTTTCACATAAGTTTCTTTCATATTTTAATATCGTCTATCAAAACAAATTAACGATATATATGTATAATATAAGTTTAATCAAACTTTAAAAAACATAAATGCTATCAATTTTATCGTAAATATTATTTTAATAAGGAAATAATAAAAATTAAAAAATAATATCAAAGAATCTATCGCGTGGAAATCAAGAAATTAAAGTGCATTATAAAATTTTTTTTAAACAATCTAGGATATTTTTTTACATCTTTTATGATTTAGAAAATATACATATACATATATTATCGTATCAAATCAAATATGAGTTAACTTTAAACAATTGTTTAAATCTTTAAATTTTATATACAATAATTGTTTAAATCCTTAATTTTATATAAAAACATGTATAAAAAACATTTTTTACATATATTCTTAAAAATTTTTGTGGATAAGTATATAAAAAACAAACTATTTTAATATATCATACATAATATATAAGCTTTTATTAAATTTTTTCAAATTTTATATTTAACATACAATTGCTATATAAATGCTCTTCATAATATTTACGCAAGTTTATTCGTAACTCTAATTCACACATGAAGTTTATGTGTCCAACATAATTTAATGGCATTATTGTACATGTTTGCGTAATAATTTATGAATTTTTAACAAATTCACACTAAACAAAAAAGAATCTATTGTGAAGAAAAAAATCTATTATATAAAAAACGAAAATGTGTACAAATAATATGAGAAAATAAACACATAAGATGGGGATCACAGTTATTCACAGAACAAAATTAATTCTCTCGCATACAGGTTGTAAAATATTTTTAATAAGAATCAGCTAAAAATTTTTAGCAATACATAATATGACTAGTGGCTGTCCGATATTATAATATTATACAAGTATCCATCAAGGTTGATAAACTAATGGCCGTGCAGCAACGTTGACGATGGGTTTCGCCACCACTAGAGGTTCTCGACGAACTACGGCGTTGAATCCGTTCACCGGGTCGGCAGTATATTCGACAATGCGTCTTGTACCATCAGCTTCCAGAAGGGAGTAGCTACCGCTGACGACGTCACCGTTCCTGCTTTCATACTGGCTCTTTGCGTCACCAGTCAGCGTATCTTGGACATCGTAGGCATAAGAGTACTGAGGATAAGGATCGAAACCTGTGTTGTCGATCCCAAGCTTGGCGATTGGAACAGCTGCAGCTGGGACAGCTGGAATGGCCGGTAGAGCTGGTGATGGAACAACTGCACTTTTACATACCGCTAGCACCGCTGCACTTAGGACGATTACTGACTATAATTTAATACAATATATATGTAATATGTGTAACGTCATGGTGATAGATATATTAAAAAAAGAATAGAGATCATTATCTTAAAAAATAGTTCAATGTAAATTTCTATTATTTTATTATATATTTTTTTTCTTTCTTTTAAATATTACACTTGAACATTTTACATCGCTGATTACATGCATTACATCGAAGTGAAATTAAAAGATTGCATAATTTTGCGTTTTATAATGAAGTTAATGTGTTTCTCAAAAATTGATTTAAAGATACACTAAACTTGAATTGACCAAATAAAAATTTATATCACTATGTATAATTTTTAGCGTACCTTGCAAGTCATTTTTTTGCTCGTGATTCTATAGATGAATAAACGTGTCGTGAACAAGACTGACGTTAAGTCGAGCAATGACAAACGTATTTATAGGAGCATCAGGGTGATCATCGGTATCCCTCGTTGCATCGCAAACAGCCTACGAAGTAGTTTAGTACGTGATGTGATGACAGAAATTTCGCTCTCGATTTTACGACTTTCTGTTATGCGCATCAACGACGAAGAAAGTCGCGAACACCAAAATATATTGATCGGTTTATTCCTCATACGATTGTTTAATCGTGATTATCACGTTTGCGGGATCCGAAATTATCACGTATCAGACATTACTATGGAATCATGATAGCATAAACGCTCTATTAGCAGATATATCTTCCTCGCCAGTCTTTGTCCCACGAAATTGCCTTTCGAAATTTATAATGATACAGAAATAAACATACGTATCTTAAAAATTATACGTAAGAGAAACCAGTTTTAAATTTTAACGCGATATGATTACAAGTGCTGCGGCGAGATCAACTTGAGCGAGGCTTTCGAAAATTAATTTTAAAAGTAAAAAAAAACGACATGTATGATTTAACAGTAACTGATATTTTTTCAAGACTGCAAAAAAATACGTAATACAAGGCGTAAAGAAACAAATAATTCTCCTCTAAAGTACCGATGCTTTCACTCTTGCGTAATTCCAGTGGTTTTGGTATCGGCCATAAATATAACGCTTCCGTCGTAGGAATGTGACGAACTGAGAATATCAAATGTGTAAGGATGATTCACTCCTTTTTTGTGAAACAGTCGCATATTTCGCTTTCAGGTGTAAAAAAACGTGATATAATTATCATAATCATTTTTATTCGATATTGATAAAACTAGAAATCTTTCTTTTGTGCAAAATGTGTCAAAATTATTTTACGATACGCAAGTTTGATAAAAATGCATGCTAAAGTTCGCGGTGCAAGATCTTTTCTTTTTCTTTTTTAATTTAGTTTTCTTTTTCATTAATTCACTCTCTATACGAATCATCTTTCTTTCTTCTTTATTAATTTTTTTCTTTCTTTTTTATTAATTCGCTTTCTTTCTGTACAAATCATATAAACAAAGATTCAAAAAAAAAAAATTTTATAAACTTCATTTATTTCAAAATTTTCATAAATTCTTAAAAGAAAGAATTTCTCTTCCTCCTTTAAATTGTTTCCTTGTATCACAGATAATATAAAATATCGAATTGTTCCCAACGAGACATGATAAATTGTCGATTCATGAAGAGTGTGAATCATCTCTGTCTCGTCTCTTCTTCTTTCATATACAGAGATGAGTCATTCGGTATGTATAATTAACAGAGACCGAGCGCTGATCATGACCGTGAAACTCGCTTGCTTATGCAACATTGTTATATTGTGTAGTGCCTCTTCTTTCATTCCTCCTGCCGTATCTCGCGGAAAAAGATATTTTACGCGTACATTTACATAACTATTGATGATATATACATGTACATTGTACAAAAATAATAGTCACATAGAAACATATAATACAAAGTATCATTTCTATAGATCGTTTTTAAGTAATTTTAATGTACTGTTTATTGATATAAATGGGATACATTCATGCATTATTCGCATAGAAATATCACATACAGATTTGCATCGCACAATCAATCGATTCAATAATAAATTTTGCATTTACAAATGACAATGTTTTCATCATAATAAAAACACTATACATGATGTGTTTAAGCGATCAATCTTATGTATTACAAATATTTTTATAAGATTATTATTTAATTATTATAATGTATTATTTTTAAATAACGCATTATTTATCTATATTGCAAGAAAATAAAATTACCTTAAGTAAAATATCTCTGTCAATTTGTTTATCTCGAAATACTATTGATTTAATGTTTAAATCGAAATTTGTATAGTATATGTACAATTTGTCTAATTGCTCGAGTAAGAAGTATTACATATCAATGATACAAATACATATATTAAACATGATAATAAAGTTTATTATTATCAGCTGCCAAATCTAATAATTCCATAATTTGTCGTAAAAAGTAAATTTCCTTGATAAAATTTGTATAAACATAAAATGTCTAAGTTTCACAAATGTGAAACACAGAAAAATCAAGCCACTAATAACCACTAATAGCCACTATTTGTTCATGTGTATTATTTGTCTGAATGTGTGCGTATATTATATGCATATATGCATAATGTCAAACTTTGCACAGAATCACAACAGTGTCATTAATATATCATTAAAATATTAAGTAATTATGTGATAAAATTATCAATAACCTCAATATCTCTATCAACTCATTCAATCACATTACCACATGAATCAACATGTTAAGTAAGATATTCTTTACAAGAATATTTTATAAATAACACATTTGTCATCATTCATATACTTTCCTCATACATTCCTCATTTGTAGAATTCTACTACTGATATTTAAAATTTAATTTCTAGTAACAAATAAAAAGAAACAGATTATTATCTATGGCCATGTAATCTTCTGACGTTTTTTCATTATTGATTCCTGAAAGATTTCAGTACATCCATTGTTATACTTACATATTTAAATTATAACTTATATATTTAAATTATGAAATCTTATATTGAATAAATTATGATCTCTTGGTGCAAAAAGGTAAAATTAAAATTGAAATTATAACATCTAGAAATTTATATATTTTAAATTATAGAGAATCATGATATACCTCATTTTGTTCGTTGCATCTACGTTTGTTAATCCCATTGTAAGTAGTTTCTACTTTTGACGCAGAATACAACTGATTTTTCTTATGCACTGATTTTGGATCATTAACAGAAAGCTTTCTGTCTGTCTGAGATAACATCCTTTTAGTTCCTTTGTTTAAGTCTGCAGCTAAGCTATGCATATCATTACTACTGAAAGAAATTAGAAATTGATATAAACAAGTGTATACTTTGTTAGCAATCAGATTTTCTTTTTACTTAGAACCTACCTTTTAACTGTAGATTTATCCGATATTACATTTACCTCTGTATTTAAGATCTTAGCATTTCTTTGTCGTTGAGGTAAAGGCATTGCAACTCGTCTATACATTTCTAATAATTCACTTTTACATAATTTCTCAAAATTGAGAATCTCAATGCAATTCTGTGAAGAAAGAAGATGTGTGTGCAATTAAGAGACATACCTAAAATTCAAATATACCAATGATAAAAATCCAAATATATCAATGATACAAACATTCCTTTATATAAATACAATCGCAATATATAAATTATGATGAAAAATTAATTGCTAATGTAAATTATGACGAAAAATTAATTGTAGCTAATACAAATTCAACTGCATTATTTTTTTTTGTTTAAAAAGCTATTTATCTTATTTTTCTAATAATTAATATATAAAGACTGTAACTATATAAATTTATAATCATCTTCTCTGGATTAACCTATATTCATCATTTGCCAAAATATTGATTGAATAATTTGAGAAGTTTCTTTGTGTTAGCTTCAACAAAAGCGGATGAAATGGATATCAAACCAGGAACAGATAAGTATTTTACGGAGTAGAGTTTGTAAACACTTAACCTATGCGACGAGACTTACATTCTTCAAGATCTCGCGGAGTTGATGCTCTGACAACGACTCCGGATGCGTGAGCTCGTACGTGCCCAATTTCGACATGCTCGTGAACGCTTCCTCGCCGTGCCAGAAGAAAAAGTCGCGAACATCTCACACGAGACGCACGATTCAGCATCGGCCGTTATCAGGCCGTTTTTATCGCCGCCGCTATCAAATGTCTGCGGTTTGCGAAGTCGGTGCGTCTTCCGCGACGCACTTGACGTTAGACGCGCCGTTTGACAGATGTTACTATCTTTCGATTTTCGCAATTAAACATCCAGAGAGATTGCAACAAATGTCTTTTTGTATTCTGATCTTTCATTTTTAATATTATGGAATATTTTTAATAATATATGTTTAATATTACATAATCATGGAGTACACTCATGTTTTAAGCCTTATTAAATCCTATAATTCGTCAAAAGAAATTCAGATTCGTACCAAGAACTCGTGTAAAAAGCTGCGGCGAGCAAACTGTTAATTATTTTATACAACAATTAATAACTCTTTAAATGAAATTGGACTTGCATGCTATCGATCGACTAGTTTTACGCGTTTATATAAGTTGCAATTAAAGTATCAATTCAAATATCGCGCGCTTCACGAAAATACAAGGGGTCTGTTCTTTTCAGCTGCACTGCTGTACTAGTGCAATAAATTAGAAAGAGACAAACATACTTTTTTTCACTCTAACCAATTGCACTAGTGCAACAGTGCAGCTGAAAAGAACAGACCCATTTACCGCACGTATTTACATTGGCGCCAATTTTAAATGTCGGTAAAACTCATTCACATTGGTGAAAGAGAAATAAACTAATTGGCACAAAATAAAAAAAATAATCGGACTAGCATGATCAGATTCTTATTTAAGATTCTCTAAAATAATCAGGCAAAATCGACAAAGAAGTGTGCTTTTCAAAAGAGACACTATCAAATAATAGTGTCAAATAGTGTGGTACCTTGAATGAACATACACGTGCCACATGTAGAGAGGCGCTTATTTAAAAATGGCGCTTTTCAATCGAGTTAATTTAAATTCTGTCTTTTTATTAAATCACTGTTATTATAAATTCGCGACGAGTATGGTGAGATTAAAAACGCGAGAACACGCTTCACTATCAAGTTTCATACAAGGAAACTTCAAACAAAGTAAGTCAGATATATAAACAACTTTAGCATATAACCTATAAACTCTCAAATAATTCATACTGTAATCTTTTCTTTTAGCAGAAATTTATGTTAATTTTATTATAATTATTTTTCGAATACATGATTTGATCTTTCGATGTCAATAATAATTTTTTTCTTTCATATTGTAATTATTTACATCTATTCACATAATGACATAATCTGTCTGGGTTTTTGCAGGCTTAGGAAAGAGAATAGATTCGTTAAATATTAACAATACGTTTGAAAATACAATTACCAAGAGAAGAGATCAGGCACGTCGAAGTATATTGGTACAGGTATACTCGTTGAATTCACAAGATGATCTCCAGAGTTATTGTATTCAATTTGGAGATGTTTTAAGTATGCACCATTACCAAAAAAACAAGCAACATAATTATATTTTGGTTGAATTTAAAGATATAGTATCAGTAAATAAAATTATCTCATCTGCTTCCTTTATGGATGGAGACTTTGTCGCTCCTGTAAAGTCATCAGTATTTTGGTTCCGCAAAGGAAAGTTTGTATGTCACAAGAGAAATAGTGAGAAAAAGATATTCTTATCTACAGAAAATGGTTGCATATGTCCTACTGAAAAAGAGATTGCAAATTTCTTACAAAATGCAAAATCGGTAACATTTTTAATATTATATTTATTACATTATATGTTAGCATTATTTAAAACTTATATTTTTAATTTCTAGATATCAGGGCAAATAATAGATCTATATGAGGCATTAAAACTAAACGATTTAGAAACAAGACTGAGATTTCATACTGCTTATCATTTAGAGCAATATTTTTCTAGATTATTTCAAAATACAAAAGTTTTACCATTTGGTTCTTCTTTGAACGGATTTGGGAGGAAAAGATGTGATCTTGATTTAGTTCTTCTTCCCGATAACATTGAGGAAGTAAATATATAATATTTAATTCATTTAAATTCTTATGATTTTAATATTAATAAGATGTAACATTTATATAGAACAATGCCGCGAGTAGATTAGTATTTCATACAAAACCTATGAAACTTAGTGAAAGGCATGAAACAAGAGAATTTATGGAAATACTTGCAAGTACTATGCAGCATTTTATCCCTGGAGTTTGTAATGTACGAAAGATCCTAGAAGCTAGAGTACCTATAATTAAATTCCTTTATGAATATACAAATATTGAATGTGACTTAAGTACAACAAACATGTAAGCTAAACTATATTTAAAAATTTATACTATATAGATATATGTATAGAATTAAGGATATTTTCATATATTTCTTCAAAAAATTGACATATTATTAATAAGTAGTCTCTCTTTCAGGGCTGCTGTATACATGTGCGAATTGTTATACTTATATGGAGAAATAGATTGGCGAGTGAGACCACTTGTTACAGCAATACGGAAATGGGCAAAGAATCAGGAGATAACATCTGATGTACCAGGGCCATGGATAACAAATTTCTCCCTTTCATTATTGGTGCTCTTCTACTTACAACAGAAAAATATACTGCCATCCTTAAGAGTATTGAAGACGTATGCTAGTAAGTAAGACAATCAGAATATCTGTATATGCAATTGATAAACTATTTTTTTTCTATGTCTGTTTTTTTTTATAGCATCTGATGACATTCGTTGTACAGAGAATGGCATTGATTGCACCTTTCTGCGGAATCTTGAAAAATTGCCGCCCGAATACAAGTATAAATCGAATCAAGATAATCTTGAATCACTGCTGCATGGTTTTTTCGACTATATTTCAACGTTCGACTTTCACACAAAGGGGATATGCATTCGCGAGGGAGTTCCGATTCGGAAACCGTCGCGTTCAGCGCTTCATATCACTAATCCCTTGGAAACGACGTTGAACGTGTGCAAGAATGTAAATATTTATGAATTAAATCGTATAACAGAAAAGGCGCACGATGCGATATACATATTAGAGACTACTGACAACTCTAGAAATAGCAATTGGGGGCTTGCGGCTTTATTAAATATGAAAAACATTGATATAATGAATATGATAAAGTTAAATAACAAGAAAGAAGAGAATACCACGAATAGTTTGGAAGAGATCCATGAAATTTCTGAAGTTAACGAAGTTGATATTAATCAGCCAAAGAAAAAGAAGAAGAAGAAAGAAACAGTATAGTGTTTAGACAAATAGCAATGTTACATATACATATACATATATATATATATATATATATATATATATATATATATATATTTCATCTCTGCAGAAATATCATACAATTCTTGCAACAATTTTTTTATATCAATGATTTGGGATATTATCTAATGATGGTGTTAAAAAGTCAGAGACATTTTATGCGAGAAGAAAACAAACTAAAAAGAAGATATGGAGAAACTTGTTGCAATCAGTATGTACTGATGTACTGTATGTACTGTACCATAATATGTGCATTGTGAAAATAGGAGAAAAATGTATATAAAATATTGACATTAATTATATACATAAATCGTAAACGAGCATGTATCAACATATTGCGATCAATTACCGGATTAATTTATTAGGAAACTGTTATATTCCTATTATATTTTGGATATTTTCAAATATTGACTAAAATATTTTTTTTGTATTTTATCCATCAAAATTTTTAATTCTATATGCAACAATTGATAAAATTTGACATATATATTGAACTGCATATCTCTCATTTCACACATGATATACAACCGTACTTGTAAAATTAAAAAGAAAACTATGCATACCTTTCATATGCAGTACACAGATGCGGTATATAAATCAAGGATATATTTATTAACTTGTATATATTTTACTATACCAGCAAATCGACATTTCTCATACATGCTTACAGTGTACATTCGCTATAATAAGAACGTTCATTATAATCCTCGCTGAAGATTATAAATTTTCGTTCTCGATTAAATTCGAAACAACGATTAACGATCGTATTGACTTTCACAAGGAAGAGCCGATTCCTCGTAACACCGATTATACGTATTTTGCGTATATTTCTCGCTTTAGATAATCGTGAATATTATCGTTACGTGACAATCGATAACGTATGATCGTGAAGCGCCCGCGCGACGAGAGACGAGACATCCATCGAAGGGCGATATGAATTTATAATGCGATTGGCGATTACGAGTAAACGCGCTCGAATTAGGCTATCCTTCGCGAACAAATATCGTCGATTAAATTCGTAACGTATCGTGAGATTGGCAGTGTTGTTTATACTAACTATAAGTATTACCGATTATTCGATCGATCGAATTGCGCGACGTACTTTTCTGGACTATGCATCCGATTCGTTGACGTTAAAAAAATTTTTCAAAATCTCGTATAAAATGATTCAGTAGAGATTCGTGTAATTTTAACGGAAAAACAAAAATATAGACGAAATTTCTTTTCGTATAACGAAATCGAAATGATATGCGTCAAGGTAAAACCGAGATAAATGTTATCTGGTTAGATACAATTTAAATTGCAATGTCAACCGTTCTTCTGCAATTATTGTACATTATATACGCGCGTTTCTTAATCTGAAAACATTTTTTTTTCTTCTTCGCTATCCCTAATCAAGGCTCTACATGTTATCAACCGTCTCAGGCAAGTCGCAAATCAACAATACGAGTAGCATATAACGCACGATCGTACTCTTCTTTTTTTTCCGTTAACGTCGGATTTACAAGATAGGCAGCGATACTGACCTTCGGCGCTTTTTCACCATCAAGTGCAATTAAAATCGCTATAAAAAGTGTCCGCGAGAGTTGCATGCCGTCGCACACGGTACAACTCTGACATACGAGACACACACATAATATAAATCTCGAAAACTCTGGATAATACAAATACATCATTTGGTCGGGATCTGAAAGAAATTTGAGTCTCTCGAAAAGTAATGTAAAGACGAAAGTGCACTTGTCTCGAAGGTGCTTCTCAACGACTATGTTTTTTTTCTTTTGACAGATATTCATATATCGCGCAATAGACTTTTTTCATTATTGTGTTTTCATATATTTTTATATGATTATTATTATTATTATTATATAATATCAGTAGAATGTCCAAAATCTTCGAAAAACCGACAATTGTCGGCTCTCGTAACAATACGCGCTCCATTGCTAATAAATAACAAGTATATATTTAAGCCACGTTGGGGCACGGCGTGTTTAGTCTTTCGATAATTTTTTCTTTATCTAGGCTCGCGCGGATATCTATTCGAGATACCCTCTGACAAATAACTCTTCATATTACTCTGTTGCGCGGAAAGAGGAGGAGCTGCAAAAGGATCGAAAATGACGGAAAGTGCCTTATTAATTCGTCTTGCTCTTACGATGATGACGGTGATGATGCAGATGGTGATGTCGCAGCTGGGACCGCGTCTCCTGCACGGCCGCTACCAAAGTGCGCACCGCCTCCTCGTGACCCTCGAAGCTGTCCGCTTTCTTCAGCTGGCCTAGGGACGACGCCCCCACTCCTGCCCCCTCGCCACTGCCGCGCTTGCTCTTGGGCCGCGGAAACGTCTCCCAGGAACGCTGCTTCTGTACGAGAGACGACGACGTCCGTGACGTCGGTCCGATCAAAACGACCAGGGTTTTCCGGGGGTCCTGTGCGATGGATTGACCTACCGTCCCATCGGCGATGCTCGATCGCCTGCTGTTGCCGGAACCAGTCGTGCTCAGGCTGTCGCAGCTAGCGCGTCGCCGTCTTCTCGCATCGCTGGCTGCCTTCGCACCTTCGTAAAACAACTCCTCGGAATCGCTAGCTGGGTAGATCTTGGAAGCTTTGCCGCTAACAGGAATTGCTGGTATCTGTTCATCCGCCGGCACTGCATGCACCTGCGCCTGCACGCGCTTCTTGGCCTCACCCATACTCGAGGCCTCCGAGATTCGTTGATATTCCCCTTCATCTCCTGCTGGAAGCACGTGTCTTTTCTTAGAGGACTATCTCGAATCTCTTATTCAGTCAAGGCAATTGCATGATTCAATGAAAATTCAACGACAAATAAAACCTTATATAAAAAAGACACTTATATAACTTCTGTAAAAAATGCGCGATAGATGTTATATACATCTTTTATCTTTTAATGTATATTTACATATATATTGTGTGCTGCGAACGGTGAGCGACTTTATGTATTTGGTTGTCGGACGTTTATCGCCTCTAAGTCTAAACCGATATTTCGCCCCCGCCCATGCCCCCCCTCCCCTTTCCCAGTGGACTACAAAGGAAGACCTGTGTGTCATAATGTATCAGTATTTGTTTGCGCAAGACGATTCGATGCGATTCTCTCAGTCTTACCGATATGAGACTGCGCTTGCTGCGAATCGATACACCTCTCTGCCTGATCGAGCCCCTCGGCAGATGTATCGCCAGTGCCGCTTTTTAAGGAGCGATACAACGATCGCATCTTACTACCAGACGAATGTCCGGGCGGCGTCTTCGGCTTCGCGCTGTCGGGCGATTTACGCGAGCGCCGACTCTGACTGCGATCACGACCATCCTCTCTGCCAGGTGATTTCTTACGATCTTCCTTTTGCGTTCTGGCCTTTTCTATCAATTGGCTGAGCACACCCCTCTTCGGATCGGTTGACTTGGCTGTTCCATACACGACTATGTTGCCGCTCGAGTCCAATACGGCGCCTACACCGCCGGATGGTGTGCGACATCGCGTCGGGATTTCCTTTGTTTCTGTGAACAAAGATTTTGCTAAGACTAATTAATGCAAATTTTACAACAAATCTGACTTGACGACTTTGTCATTTTATCGATCTAAGGAACATTGAAAGATATACTTTCTCTCACCCTTCATATATAGCGCATTGTCGGCACTCGTGGCAGTGCTACGAGGATGACGATGTTCCTTGGTCGGTTGAGCTTGCGGATGTGGCGGCGGTTCCTGCATCTGTAGACGCGCCAGATGATCCAGCAGAGCTTGTAGATGCTGATTGTCGGCGGCGTCCGCTGCGGCCAGACTCACTTCTCCGGCGCTGATGCCCGTGGAAAACGATTTTACAAAGGGCTCCAGGTGCTGAGCGAGCGCTTGCAATTTCTTCACTTCGCTTCTCAACGATAATATATCGTTCATCTACAAATAGAAATTACAAAAAGATAGAAAGAAAGAAATGCAACAAGAACTTGACGAGAAAAACGCACCTGTGAATGAAATATTTCCTTTTCTATGTGAATCCTACATACTTGCTCCTCCCAAAGAGCATCAAAGACATTTCTGAGTCGCTCCAGTTCTATCTGATGATGCTCCAATTGTTGTTCTAACACGCGACAATCCCTCGCCACGTGATCATAACGTGTACCTAACGGCGGAGTATTTGCTCTCTTCAAGACGGAAACGTCTCGCTGCAGCTCACCCAACCGTTCTTTTACTGTCATTAGTTGTTGACTCAGTTCCTTTAACTGGGTATCGAAGGTCCGACAATGATTGGAAAATGGACCGCCATCAATTCCGCTCTTCGACGGTAGTCTCTGAGCAGTCTTGCTGTTCTGTTAGGAAAACGTATTCCTGACATGTGAAAACGTGAATGATGTACAACACATTACAACGATCTTACATTCGCATTCTGTATTAACTTTCATCATTGACTATATGACGAGCTATCTAATAATCTAAAGATCCCGTAAACTCGATTCCGCTGAAGATATATTAATCGACACGCTATAAGGAGTACTCCTCTATTCTCTTTTTCTCTGACTACTACAATTACCATCATATACACAATCAGTACAAGCCACACATCGTATAATATATATCGACTAAAATCCTGAATAAAAAAAATACTTACACGGGAGAAAATGTGCGCGAGAGAATAGCAGCGAAAAGGAAACTCGTAATACAAAAGTAAAGACGATCACAATGAGAATCATTATCATCATCAATAACATTCATCTCGTTTCATCCGCACCTGAAGCATTTGCGATTCCGCTGACTGGCTCAACGTATGACCGACTGATGTTTGATCGTACAAGGATTCGGCAGCGGCGGCGGCTTTCGTGGCTTGCGCTTGCCCTATATAGGGTTGCAGGGCGCGGGCGAAATCGGCGCGATAATTCGTCCTGATGTGAGCAGCGAGCAGGGGCGGTCGCGACGGATGACCGAGCTGCGCGACGCGGCTCAGCCGCTCCAGCATGGGATGCGACAATTCGAGGAACTGATACTTGGTCGCACCGCTGGTGAACGCGGTGCACAGCATCAGGTGCATCTGCAGAACAGGTAACGCGCTACCTAGTGATAATAGCTGAGCGCGCACCATACGCTCCTTGGTTTCGAACTGACGTTGCAATTCCGTGAGTACGTATGCGTGTGTCTTGTTGATGACCTCCTGCATGCCCTGACAGAACGCGCTTAGAGCACGCTTCTCGGACTCAAGACTGTGGCGAAGCTCGTCTAGCTGAGACTTGAGCGCCAGCACACCGTCCCTGATGCCGGCCTGAAGCTCGCAGATGGAATTCACCGCGCGCTCCATCTTCTTCGAGGCCTGTTGCCAGGCACTTTCTATGTCCACGCAGTGCACCCGCGCGTCCGTGGGCGTGTCGCGGAAACACGTGGCGCATAGCATGCATTTGGCGGTCTGGCTGTACATTATATACTGCTCCCCGTGGCTCGGACAACGACGTTGAGTATCCTTAGCGCATTTGCTCATGTGCACTACCTCGTGGGTGGAGAACATCTTGGCGCGATGGGTGTGTTCTCTGCAGTGGGTGCACAGCGCTTGTCCTGTAAACAGGTGAAATTCCTTTTTCTTTACGTATCTAATGAGATCTGATCGATACATGTTAACGAAAAAAATATATAAATATCTCCGTAAAACGTACCGCACGTTGTGCAAAAGAACATCGTGGACTTGTCGCGTTTGTCGCAATTGGCACATGGTGGATTTTCAGAGTTTGCTAATTCTACCAATTGATGTATCAGCTGATCGGGCGGTGGTAACTGCGCTCCATCCTTTAATTGCGTCTGTTGCCTATGTATATATCATAGAATATTAGAAAATTGCGTGCGATATTATTATACATCAATTATTTATGAATATAATTATAAGAATATTTATTCATCGAAAAACGGATTTTAATGAAGAAATCGTAAACAATGAATGATATTAAACTTATAACACAATGAGAATTATTTGAAGCAAACATAAATATCTTATTGTTGCATTTAATGAATAATTGTAAATAATAAAAGTGTATTGTGTGTCTATAAAACCTTTTTGTTAAGCTTTTGTTGAGTTTTCACTGTATTTAGAATATTACAGATATAATCATATAAATATATAAAATAAATATTTAAGGATATTTAATTTTATGATGAATTGAAATTTAATTTCAGTCTAATCGAGAAGGATAACGACATATGTGTATGTGTGCGCGCGCGCGCGCGCGCGAATCTCAATCACTGGACATCGCATTGTTATCTACCCGCAGATGGGACACTTGATCGTTCCATCGATGTGCGGGCCGTGTATGCAACGTGCGCAGAAGGTGTGGAAGCAAGAGAGTAGACAGGGCTCCTTGTAGTAGTCGTGGCAGATACCGCAGGTGAGAGGGTTCCTGGGCCCGCCGCCCGGCACGCCCGTCGTGCCATCGTCGCCGACCCCGTCACCGACCGCCGAGCCCGAGCTCGCCATCGTCGTCGGTGTCACTCGGCCACCCTTAATCGCAAGCGCGCGCGGACCACGACGCGCGCCTTCCTCCGCCCTCCTTCACGACACCGCTCCCTGTCCCATGCTCGCCTGTCTCTGTACCTCTCTGCAACAGAGAACAGATGCGGTTTATTGGGATGCTGCGCGCACGTAACTTACCACGAAGCAACATGGACAAACGGCGGTCCACGCGATGACGGGATGATCCGCGATGATCGCGGATAACAGGACACAGGAGGCAGGAGTTTAGAGTGATGAAAACACGTCTAGAATATGATGTTTACCCTTAGACGGAGCGTCGGCCCGCCCGCAGAGAGTCCCGACCAGAGAGGGTGGTTTATCAGTTGCTGCTCACTCGACCCGTCATTCTGACGTAGCGCGCGCTCGCGGCAACCAGCCTCTGCGTCTCTGCGCAACTGACGATTACTGAGCACTGACGTCACCATCGTGAAGCGCCTACCACCCTTTTCCCGCCCCTATATATATATGTATATATAAGAGATGCGTGTGTTATATATATATGATGCGATACATGTATTCAGACAACACATATCTCTAAAAGATGTCTAAGAAAACAATTTAAAGACGTCTTATCGTCCTTTAGATGTCGAAAAAACAATTTAAAGATATCTTATCATCTTTAAGATGTCTTAGATGTCTTTTGGCCTTCTTGTGTGCTGTATGGGCTATATACATACATACATATTTTATATATATATATATATATATATATATATATATATATAATGTATAGAGAAATTCGTGCAAGAGTCGACCCCCGGTTTGCTCGCCCTTTCGTTTCTCATTTCCACCCCGTTCCGCAGTCTGCACTACCCTCGTTCGCGTACATATTTATGTACGCGAACGTTGTGTACATATTTATGTACGTAGACATACAGATGTATACATGGTGGCGATATTGGTGCAAGAAGGTGTAAGCAAATGGCCAGGAGAACAGTATCTAAAAAAATGCATCAATCACTTAATTTTTTCTTTCTTTAGATGTTTGATGATTTAGTTGTTTTTCTATAACGTACGTTATATTCTCCTCAATGTGACATACATGTGAAGAGAATATAATGTATATAATGTAGAGAACATACATTTATATAATGTTTATATATTTTCTTCACAGTCAGGTGATTCATCCTTTCTCCTTTAAAAAGAATTCTTCGAAATAAACTAGTAGATCTGCGGAGAATACATCACGTATTTGAGACTAGGACTTGCGCCTTTTGACACACGATACTTGTATTTTATATACATCACATACAGGCACAAAGAAACGTTTCTCTCTCTATTATCGTTCTATTTTCATGTTATCTTACTTTTTATTTTATCCATGAAAAGCGCTCTCCTTAACGGAAATGAGATACTGAAATACAAAAATAAATAAATTAGAAAATAAATTAGATGGTAGAAGCGACATTTTTATTATTATGTATATTTATCCATATATTTATTTCTCTTATTATTTATATATTTATCTACATATTTATTTATCTTATTATTTATATATTTTATCTATATATCAAAATAATAATTCATATAATCGCTAAATTTCATTTAAATCGCGGAATAATCACTATCTTTCCTATTCTCTCTTTCTCTCTCTCTCTCTCTCTCTCTATTTGAATAATTTCAGAATTACTGCGAAAACTCTCTTTCTCTTTCGTTCTAATCAATTGCTAGTTTATTTTGATTAATTGAGTTAACCTCCTCATCTCCAACACAATTATGCAGCAGTTTTTCCAGCTCGTTCCATTACCCTACAATACATGTAATCTCCTCAAACGGATCTGGGAGTCGATTTTACGTGACCTTTTCGTATTCTGTCCAGCTCGACAGAGAATATATTCTAACTTTGTGACCCGTAGATGCATAAATTTGATTGTCGCTCCACAAACGCATCTCTGTAAAATAGATTGAGAGAGATTGCGATCAAACTTTCTTTTCACATCGTGTCGCATTTGACTGCAAGCGTTCTCGTTTCCTAGTTAAATCTCAATTATCCAGTTACCAATTATCCTCTCACCTATGCATCTCGATTCGAGTTTTCTCCACGCTTGAATTCTGAGCTTGCTTGATTATCGAGAATAAAGATATAATTGCATTCTATCCATTACTCGATCCATCATCCCGTTATTTTTCCTTTATATTGTTGAAAAAAAATTTTGAATTAATTAAACGCGATCGAATTAACAATCGCAATATATTTTCGCTCGAATCGCAGTTAATAAAAAAAAATATTTGCGATATAATGGAAGATAATTTATAAGATAATAAGAGAGTTTTAGATATTCGCGTTTTCTCCTTTCATCGCGAAATTGTATATTAAAAGAGGATATTGCAGCCTCTCGATTGGATATAATTCCTTCTGCATTCTCATAAGAATTCCAGACCATGGGCTTTGTAATTTCTGCGTCGTAAAGTTTCCTATTCATCGCTTTACGGTCAATTCATAGCAAGCACTTCCATTGTCGCGGTTTAACCACCATTGCTCACCATTGATGTATTTGCGGCTTATTCTGTCTTTTACATTGCGTATATTATGTACAATATATATACATTAAAAATATAAAATATTTTAAATTCATTGAAATTACGTGTTATTATCAAAAAAAAAAAAAAAATTACAAATTTCTTCTTAGCAATGTTAAAATATAATTTAAAAATTTTATTTTGTATATCAAATCTATTAAAAAAATTTCACTTCTCGTTAAAATAGAATTAGTTAAAATCTCCATTTATTGTTATTTACTTATATCTCTATATCTTCATATTATATTCATTTTATATCTTCTGTAAGATTTTCTAATCCTTCAGCTTTTGATCATTTTCCGAACATAATTTAAGAAATTATAGCTAATTTATTGACTATTATTGAAAAAGATACGAACATCAATCGTTATTAAAAATTTCAGATTTTTAAAAAACTTCCAATGTAGTAAATTCTTGAAAAATTAATTACTTTAAAAGTTTTCCATTTCTAAAAAAAAATTCTCTATAAATAAAAAATATAATGTTCAAAAATTACATAAATATCTATACAAACATTTGTTTTCGCATTAATTCGTTTTTATGTGTCATTATTTTTTTACATTATATATAGTGATACAGTATTTATTTTTTATTTTACATAATGCTTATAAATATGTATAATGTATCCAACAATATAATAATACATAAATACAAATAATTCATAAAATATTTTATTTAAACCCCTAACCTTTTTTTAATTAAATCCATATTTTATTTTACAATATTATAATTCTTGTAATTATTTTATTATTTTTTATAGTTTTTATTATAGAACTTTTCGATTATATTTATTATCAATAATAAAATAGTATTTTGATATAAAACATTTTGAGTACAACATTCATGTTTGTTACTTTTGTTGCGATCAAAATGATTGATATCATTGTTCTTCAATTATCTCTGGGCTTATCGAGTTAATTATATCGTATTAAAAATGTATCATTTGGGGAAATTTACCTGTCTGACTAATCGTCTTTAACAATATTTCGGTAGTGTCCGAAACTGATCAGCGAGGATCAAAATGCACACGAACGTGGCTTGCATTAATTGAGCCTCCGTCAACGGAAGTTCGCTAGTGTTTACAATTCAAAGTGATTCAAAGATATGGCGGATCAATAGTTTGCGTTCACGTTGTGCGGGTGTTTCTAATTCTGTTTTTCTAATTCTGCCAATTCTTGTCGTGCCTAGATATGCCGTCCCGAGGAGAAGATATCCTTAAAGGTTTTCAAGTGTATCCTTTGAATATAAATTTTATTTTGTTTTTAAAACGAAAGGCTAGAGTACAAAGAATTTGATAAGGTTAGAATCAGCCTTCAAGCAATTATAATATATATATTTATCTAAAACATAATAAATATAATAGAATTTAAAATAGAGAAAAATATGTATCTCCTTAATTCCATTTTATTCATCAGTAATTGGATGAATTTGCGCGATGCTGACAATGGGAAAATTTTATGGCAGGGTAACGAAGACTTGTAAGTAATCCTTTAATATATTAACTTATATGAATATTTTAATAAATAATGTATGATGATAGATTAAATGTTAAATTATTTTTATAGATCTGTACCTGATGTAGAACATGAAGCACGTGTACCAAAGAAGATTCTGCGATGTCGTGCAGTATCAAGAGAAATTAACTTTAGTTCTGCAGAGCCTATGGAAAGGTTTCGCTTGGAGCAAAAAGTATTATTCAAGGGTCGTTGCCTAGAGGAATGGTTCTTTGAATTTGGATTTGTTATTCCTAACAGTACTAATACTTGGCAGAGCTTGATTCAAGCTGCACCAGAGAGTCAAATGATGCCAGCAAATATATTAAAGTAAGTGGAGATACATTGTTAATATATTGTTTGGAGATTCGTTGATTAATTATATATAAATTATAATTAAATATTTCCTTTGTGAATAGTGGCAATGTTGTAATAGAAACAAAATTCTTCGATGATGATCTCTTAGTATCTACCAGTCGAGTTCGTCTCTTCTATGTCTAAGGCAATTTCCAAATGGTCCTCTAATATCATATATAACAACGGGACCAATCAGTGTGAACAGATTTTACATAAAGATAAAAGAACATGCAACCAAGTTCTTACAAATGCAGATCAATTTTCATCTCTCTGATCTCTTATATCTTATATTTTTTTATGTATGTATTAGCAAAATGATTTTAGACAATCTCATAATTTTATAGTATTTATATTTTTAAAGAATTCAAACACACAACTTCTTATAAAATTATTAATAGAGTTTTGTAAATAATGGTATTTTTGTTCAAATAAGGCCTAATATATCTCAATTTTGTTTTTTATTCTTGCAAAGGGCAAAGATTATGCACTGTTAAGGCACATGTTTTATTGTTTATCAAGTATATAAATAAATATATATTAAGTTTTGTACATATTGTAATACACCAAGCAATAAAGATCTAAAAGTTTAAAGCTTTGTGTGCATTTTATTTCTATAATTTGTCAGAGTGCTAACTGTGTAATATCTATATATCAGTTTAATAATAATATGATTCTGTTTTGAAAAAGTTGATGTAAATTAATAAAGTTTACAGCGACTATACATCTTAGCATATGTGAGAAGCTGTTATATCTTCATTTGCAGATGAAGAAATAATCTTCAGCTACAAAAATGTAAATTCTAAATCTGTAATATTTAAGTGTAATTATAAATGTTGTCAAAGTTGATTTGTCAAAAAGCGCATTGGAAAACACTTCTTTCATCACACGCCTATATGCTATAATGGTTGTACTATTGATTAGTGGTGCACAAGCAACACATTTTTTAGGCTTCACCACATCCCTTGAGGGAGTTCATGAGTTTAGTACATTCTATCCCCTACTTTGCTTATACGTCATATACAGGTATAAAGAAAGAAAACACGAGAAAGAGAGAAAAGAACGAAGGACGAGGAAACGTCGGAGTTGCTGCAGCTAGCTCGAATCTGAAGAAACTTCTCATCAAGCGATCAACTTGTGTCGAGTGATTGATTTAATTAATATACTCCAACTTGTCGATTTTTTTCTCAACCAGAAATTAAATCTCACAGAATCTGTGAGATTTATCTGATCTCAATGGATCTGAATGAGGAAGACGAGAGCGTAAATGAAAGTGGTAGGCTGTTCTTAGTCACCGCGGGTGCACCGCGCGATCCTTTAGTATCAGCTGGTGCAATCGTAGCATCGGCAACGAGTGTCCCGGACGATATCAACCAGGGTGACGACCTGCAGTCGAGTGCCTTGGCCAGTCTGATCGGCAGCGCGCAATCCACCTCGGTTTGCTTCCCTACGAAATTCAGTAAGTGTATACGACGTTGTCGTGTGTGTTGCGTCAACCCCCGGACCTGATTTAATTAACTGTCACCAGCCCCTCGAAGTTGGGGTAGCTCAATCAAGTTATTGCTAAGTGCATTAAGTAGATCATCCATACAGCTCACTTTTTTCTTAAATAAAATTAGCGGTAATCAGTTTAACATATTACTAATACATCATTGATGTTCGCAAATTCTATTACAAATGTCCTTGTTTTGTAATATTATAGTATATCGAGACAACCTTGTCGAATCAAGTTGAAATGAATTGTATCCTCTTCTAGCGTTTGATTTCTCGACTAGTTCTGAAAGCGAAGAAAGGCCATCCTGCGTCATCGGCAAGAGAAAACAGCGTAGATACCGCACCACATTTTCCAATTTCCAACTAGAGGAGTTAGAACGTGCTTTTCAGAAGACACATTATCCGGACGTATTTTTTCGCGAGGAGCTCGCAGTTCGTATTCAATTGACAGAAGCTAGAGTACAAGTAATTTCTATACATTTATCTTTCTTATATATATGTGAAGATGTCAGCTTTCTGAATTATCCAGGTATTTATATGCGTGTCTGTATTGTAACTATACTTTTCCTGTAAATATACAAATAGGTGTGGTTCCAAAATAGGAGAGCAAAATGGCGCAAGCAGGAGAAGCAGTGCAAAATCGCGACTCACATGACGTCACATTTACCATCGTCCGATTGTCAAGATATACAGCAACATCAATCGCAGCAACAATCAGATCATCTGTTATTGGAATCACCATGCAGTCCGCCTCCTATATACCTCGGTATGGAATGGGCGGGTTTCTCTCCTTATAACAACACAGACAGCGCGTCATCTCTTATCATGAATAAGCCACCAGATGCAGAGGCTGATAATAATCCACTGCTCGATCCAGAATTATTACAACTAAAACCTCCACGTTCTTAATAATATTAAGATTATATAAATATATATAATATATACATAACACACACATATATTACTCGCAATATGGATAATACTCGTTTCTGAGAAGAGGGAGAATTACGTTTCCTGAGAAGAGAAAAAGTTATGTGATATATTAGACATAAATAGAAAGAATAACAAACTTATAATGATGTTAAGCAAAGAAAATATTTGTGATGCATGAATGCAAAATTGCATGAAAATTTATAAATTATTACTATGGATTATCTCAAATCCTGACTGAAATGTATTTTGAAGAAACAAATCAATATTTTAATATTAATTGTAACAAATAAATATTTAAATATTAAAAATGTATATGATATTAATTTAAAAATGACTATGCGCAAAATCTTCATTAAATGTACAATATATTGATGATTGATGTGTGATGCAATATATTAAATTGTTCTATTTCAAGCAAATTCTAAAATATAGATTCTATAAAGAAAATAATAAAATTTCTATTATATACAAAATTATTCTTTCATCGAGTTGTGTTACTCCAATATAAAATAGTAACGTCATCTTTATTGTGTGCATATATTACAAGTCAGTAAATTAATTAAGATATTCATTAATCGATCCTAATTGCGAATAAGCTGTCTACGATGCTCCTTCCAATTTTTTCAAATACCATCAAAAGCCATTCCCTCTTTGAATTGTCACTGACGAAGCGTTTTAGTCTTTGAAATTATCTCAAAGAATGATCTCTCCTGCTTATTGAACCTAATTCAATAATTGGCTTTGCCAATCGGAGATCTTAATAGCCCTCAGCAAAACATTTGAGATGCATTTCGTGTGAAATAAATTAGTGACAAACGTTAAGAGGTTACGCGATATACGAGTATTCATCCGCGCTATTTGCAGTACGTTCGATATATTGTTTATCTATCAGAGTTTCAATGCATTTCTTAATCATTCCAATGGAAGGTGCAAAGGTGACTTTCGACTGACTCAGCACCTAAAATAACATAGTTATATTTAAATTAAATATCGTTTCGCCAGCAACTGAAAAGTACAGTGCAAAATCGAATCATTTCGAAATCGCTAAACTCACCTCTTGTATGAGCTGATTGTGTCTCAACAGTTTACGGCTCTTCATGATACGAACTATGGCTGCTTGCAAGAACATTTTTCTGTCCTCGTCCACACTGCGATGCGTGGCTTCCGCGTCCTGCGGTGCATCTCGTTGCAACACACCAGTTACGCGGAATTTAGTTCTCTTGTTGGAGTAATCGAAATTGAGCGTAAGGATGGTATCCTCCTCCAGCTCGCTGGATTCCTCTGTGGATTTGTTGAGGATCTTGCAATCTACGAGACTGGCGGCGTGCTTGATCAGTTGGTCGTGTGACAGACGTAACGATGCCGCTGCCTCTCTGCACGGTATTGCGTCGCAATGCTCGAAAAGCAGCAGTAACGCCATTTGATATGTCTGCACGGTGACCAGATAGGATTTTTTTAGATAATTGAACTTGAGCTCGCCCTGGCTTAAATGATGTAACCACGTGAGCTTTCGACCGCTAAATTGCATGTGATAGAACGTTTCGAAAGCCTGTATGGACTTCTCCAACTGCTGTGGAACATGAAATGGTCCGGGTGACGGTGGTAAAGCGAGCGGCCAAGCACCGGCTTGCAATACTTTAACTCCGAAACCAGTACCCAGTTGATTTTCTCCGTCGCCTTCCCGTAAGGTAGCCGTAAATTTTGCATTGAGATCTGCAGAGACAGACATGTCCGTAAACATGCGATGAAGTTTGTTCGTGAATTCGTAACCACATGCTCGCTTTAGATCGTCGATCATCATCTCCTCGGCGTCCATTGATTGCGACTGCTGATGTATCAATCGCTTTGCTAACATACGCGAGTAGAATTTTTGAAATACATCCTTATCGTCGACATATTTGAACACAGTTATGGACCGTCTCAGCTTGTCCTCGATTTCACTCTCGGACGCTGCCTTGGGTGATTTTTTCAGCAGAGAATCGCAATATTTTGCCAGCTTAAAAAACGAACATATATCATTATATAATTTATTAATAGAAATCTTACTATCTAAGATGAAAATATCGTCTATAAAGTTTACCAATTCTGGTGCTCGGACCGGCTGCTTTGGAGCGGGCCTGTAATTCACGATGGCAGAACAAGCTTTATCAAGAGCACCTACAAAGCTCTGATCTCCTTTGAACACATCTCTAATCAGTTCCGAATATTTAGAATGTACATTCAACATGCTCTCCACAAATTGTGTGTATACCTGAAATTCGAAAATTATATTTTCCTTATATGGTTAGGCACAAATCCATATATTTATTCGAACTTTTAGATATATTTTAAGTAGTTATTATATATTTACATTTAGTTATTATATTTTTAGTTATTATATATTTACATTTTCTCCTTGTAAAGGTCCAATTGCCTGTAATCCTTGTTGCGTGATGTGTTGAGTGAGTTTTTGTACAAGTGGATCTAAACCTCCTGGCAAAGGCCTCAGCAAAGGATAAAGAAGAGCCAGATCTCGTTTACTTTCATTTTTTATCATGATTTCTGCTTCCGCATGGAGCCAATCGGCTTGCGCATCTACCATTTTCTCCTCACAACATGCTCTTACCTATAAAATATTACTGCTGTATCATCTACTGCCTCAAACTCATCAATTTTGAAAGTTCAAGCAAAAAATAAGATTGTACTTTTGGTACAGAACTCTTGTGAAGAAACTTATGCGCACGTGCTTCCTCTTGATTGAGTCTCCATGTTACTTTCTCCATATAACGCGTAACGTCCAACTGTTGCAGCAACGACAATGCCTCTGCCATGTAAAATTCTTTACTAGCTTTCAAGAAAGGCTCCTCAAAGGCTTCTTGATATAACTGGTCAAAAGATAAAATTTAATTTAATAATTTTGCCAGTCGGATGAGAAAGAAAAAGAATTTGTTATCTCATACAAAAACTTTAAACAATAAAAGCTTAATTAAAATAGTAATACATTACATTTAATTGTCCCTTCATCTTATATTCTTCCACCCGAACGAAGCTCTGTATAACACCACAAATAACATCGATTGGGGCAAGCAATTTCGAATCTCTATCGGCGTCGATACATACAAGTAGAAGTGAGACGAGTTTTTCTCTAAGCGGTATTATCATTTTTTTCTTCCAAATGTCCAAACCTAGCTCACCAATCTCCATCTGCTCTTGGCACTCTTCGTCCCTGTTAGAACTCGCGCCATAGATGAGTTCCGCCTCCGAGAGCTTTTGTTTCTTAATGTGCTGTTGATTGAGGTATAAGTACAAGCTATGTAAGTAATAAATGCCCTGTGAATACTCTGTCCAGGCTCGATGATACGCCGTTAGCAGATCCGAATTGTCATTGTATGAATCAACTTGTACCAATAAATGATCTACATGGTTAACCAGAAACCTCTTTGTCTCGTCGTATAAACGATCTGCCAGTGGTTCAGGATAGGCGACGCACAAAGAATAAACATCACTGCAATCGTATACAACAATATGTTATACATTTAGTATATTTTTTTAACAATTAAATATAATTCTTGGATTTCATTTTTAAATACCTAAATCTATCATTCCATATAGCACGTGGGATATTGGCTAATGTTATTACACCTTTAACAGTCTCTTGTAGTTCGTGCCAAGTCTGATTAAAGTCCACTCTTTTAGGTTTTAGTGACATTCTTTCCACAAATCACTGATTACTTGATCTTAAAGTCAATAGCTTACTAATTCCGCAAACTAAACTCACTGATGCTATAAACCTGCAAAACAACAATATTGTAAGACTCTCATCATAATTCTCTCGCAATTCGAATGTGTGTATGAAATGCACACACATTTAAGCATTGAAAAAGAAGTTTTATTTGAGAATTATCTTAAGATTCTCCAGAATTTAACAAAACCTATGCACCAAGAGTTACATTCCAAAAATAATCTTCAGAGTGAGCGAATAAAGACCGAGTTTTACGAGGCTTTGTTCGAATGTTTGCACATCATCGATTTAAAAATAACATAAAAGTAAAATATATACACTGCACACATTCACATCTCATGGCCGCTCTAATTCTCTCCCCTGCCTGTCAATTTATATAGCGAGCAAACACTCCCGCGAGAGAGTCCCGACTCTAATCCGTCTTAATAACGCGCAAATATAAACACACTCGGGGATAAACACACGTCCGTTTAAAGTCGTGCACTCTAATGGCGCATAGTTTTGTTGCGAAATATCGATTGCGAGCAAAGAGCGATGTTCCCGAGATATTCCAACGACGGAATCGCGACGAGTTAAGCGCGTGCATCCGCCATCGAGCTGACACAGCTGCACAGCTGACTGGCTCGGGCTGGCCCGCGCGCGTGCGGATCACTAACCAAGAAATCGCAGACTCGTGCTCCAGGCTCCGGTTCGAATCCTCGTCCGCAATCCTCGATCGTATGTACGATCCGCAGGTACGACGAATTGTATTAACGGGCAGTTTATTTTTGGGGCGGGGGCGCGAATCATTCCCTGCTGCCGCGAGATGCATGACATCCGCGACGACTCGGACGCATTTTCGACGACGTGAGGACGGGGGGACCGGGGGGCGGGGGGGGCCGAAAACGGGTCGCTCCTCGTTCTTGCCAGCCGTCACGCTTCGCGCGCGCCAAATTCTTGTCCTTCTCGAGGGACGCGAGATTATGTTTATTTCTCTCCTATTTTTCCACTCGAAGTGGCGCTCCTTGTAACTCCGCTCGCGAGATTCTCAATAACATTCTTCCTTTTTTAAGAACATAATGCACGACTCTCACTAGGATTAGAATATATGTATATTTGACGTTGTATACGCTTTCGAGTTCTGTCAAAAACACATGTAGCGCAAAGGCGATGTAACGAGTATAAAGGAAGGCAAATGCGTCATATTGTTAACACCAATAATCATCCAATAGCAACTCGGTACAGATCAGATATTGGCCAATCGAAAATTATTCTATTCTGACGAATGGATTTTCGAACGCACGACCTGTCACATATGGTGGATTGGAGCTTCAATCGTTAACAGAGAGAGGAAGAACTAGATTTTTACGTAGTTCATGGTCGTGACTCGCATTTCGATGCGTTCAATGACTGTCTGGTCTCATTGACAAGTTTGGATTGAAGATTGTTGTAATATTTATATCATAAAATTGTTATATTCATATCGGGGAAAATGGTAAGCATTTATCTATTAAAAACATATTTTGTGTTTAATTATCCTGAAGGATTTGTCTTTTAAGTATTATTTTATACTCGGAAAGCTTCACGAATAATTTATCAGAGGTTATATTACTGTCAAAAAATTGTACTGATGACATTGCATATTTCGCGATAAATATGAAAAAATACCAAAAGGAATTATAATGTATTATATACTTTCGTTGTATTTTATAATAACTTCAATTTATATTATATTTTCTTGTAGAGTATTCTTGCGTACAATGGCGGTGCCGTGATAGCCATGAAGGGCAAGAATTGCGTTGCCATAGCGGCTGATCGCAGATTCGGCATACAAGCGCAAACGATAATGTGCGATTTCCAAAAAATTTTTGAGATGGAACCACATCTGTTCATCAGTCTGCCCGGCCTTGCCACTGATACCCAAACTGTCATGGAGAGGCTACGCTTTCGCTTGAATCTTTACGAGTTGAAGGAGAATAGAAAGATTCATCCTAAAACGTTTACCGCGATGGTCTCGAATCTCTTGTACGAAAAGAGATTTGGACCATACTTTGTAGAACCTATAATTGCTGGGTTAGATCCCGTTACATTTGAACCATTCATTTGCAATATGGATTTAATAGGATCCAGAAACATGGCAGAAGATTTTGTAGTGGGTGGAACATGTACAGAACAGTTGTATGGAATGTGTGAATCGCTTTATGAACCGGATTTAGAACCCAATGAACTATTTGAGACTATCAGCCAAGCTTTAGTCAATGCCTTTGATCGAGATGCGATATCTGGATGGGGTGCTGTTGTTTATATTATGTAAATATGATAATATTTATATAGAATAAATTTACAACACTATTTTTGATAATATTTATACTAATGCATCTGTTACACATAAATTAAATATGTACGTTTTTGTTTCAGAGAGAAAGATAAGGTCACAAAGAGGACTATCAAAACACGAATGGATTAACTACAATTTCTTTTACATCAGTATGCGTGGCAAACATTTTACAATTACTATTGTAACTAAGTCTAAGAAATGGAAACAAAGCTTAAAAGATTTTTTAATTAAATCCCTTCTATCTTTTTTTTAAATATCTGTTGAATTAATTGTTAAAAAAACATCTCTATCCATATTGTTATGTTATCTTTTCATAAAACTTTCTTTTTTGACTTTTTTTGAAATAATATTTTTATTTTGTAGTTTTCCTTATATGCTATTCAAACTTGATATATAAAAGGAAAGCATCTTAATAATTTTACAATACAGCTCTATTAATCGACTTATCTAAAGATTGTATTTTAAATGTAAGAACCATAGACATGAATACCAACCCTAAAGATTATGTGCAAAACATGCCGCCATCTAATGCTGAAGATGTAGAACTAAACGAAAATGGATCATAAATGTGTATTGTGAAGATATTTAATATAGTAATAGTGATAACAAATATTATTACTGATAAATTTATTGACGATGTCGATTAATACATTATGCGCTGCATTTCGCAAAATTGCAGTGGGCAGAATAAGTACGTAGATTTGGCAATTAAAATCCACATAATTAAACAATCAATCATAACCTATAATATTGCTATATTATATATATTTATACATATGATTTCTATAAATGCATAAGTACATGATTTTTATATGAGTAAAATTATATATGTATTATTTATAGTGCTTATATAATATTTCAGGTACTATTGCTACTGCAAGATATTACTCGATACAACAATCAAATTCTGATATGAATGTAATTTCCCGCTTAACAGCCAATAGTCATGGCATATTAGACGGTACTAAGTCTGATGGTATCAAATTTATACCAGGAACACTTAATATAGACTTTGGGATATGTACAAATAGAAATTTAAAAAATATTATTGAAATGCCTGTAGCAAAGATTTCTCCATTGCAAGAGCCTATAAACCGTTTACCTATTCAATATGATTTACCTATATTAGAAAAGTCTATAGATTTACCCACAAATGGAAAAATCTTTGAAAAACAAGCGGTACGTTTAATCGTGATTAGGCATAAGAAAATGAAGAAGCATAAGCGAAAGAAACTACGTAAAAGGATGCATTTTTTATGGTTAAAAATAAGAAATAAACGAAATCTAAAAAGGGAGAAATTGTTTCAAGCAGAATTAATTGATAAAATTAAACAAGCACAAGCATTTGATGCTAGGGTATATGTTAAAGAGAGACTTGATATTTTGAATAAGGAAAGAATACCGAGAACTTTCAGAGGCGAGATTTTACCTGCTGAAATGATTAAAAAATTGAGAGATGAGAAAAAAGCAAAACTAGAAGCAAAGCGTAACAAACCTCGTTTAACTCTATAATTTATGTATAAATATTCATATAACGCAATAAACTTTATGCTAATTAATTTTGTGTTCTTTGAAATTTAATTACATAAATCAGAATTTGAAAAAGGATAATTAAATAAAAAGCAAATAATTGAATGAGCAATAAATTCTTTTTTTTCTTTTTATAATAAAAGATGTCACTTGTACAGTCATTCACATTAATTTAGAGCCTAACAATAATCACATTAAAACATTAACAGATATATATGTATATACTATAATAAATGAAATCTATACTTTCGCTCATTATTTAATATTACTATCGATTCTGAATTATACACAATGATAACATACTTGTGTTTCACAATAAATTTATACTTAAAAATTTATACTTAAAAAATTTTCGATCTAATTATTTAAAATAATGGTTGTCATTGACAATATATATATATATGACATGATCATGAATTAAATTTGGCTTATAATTTCTAATTTTGTCATACATAAGTTTTTTATATATGAGTAATTGTCATATGCTGTTTATGTACATACAGCATATAGTGACAATTACTTATATACATACTGTTTAATACTATATTATATAAATAGCACCATTTTTGTTCTTTGTGCATATTTTTATTAAAATAGAATAAATTTGTCTTTTTATATATAGTAAATATTTTTATAATTTAGAAAAATTCTGAAGATTATACTTGAATTTTTATATATTTTTGCTACTTTCTTTTAATATTTTATTATGTTCGTGTAATTGATGTTACAAGAATGCAATGTTTATTATTAATTATATATAGTTATTTTCATGCTTTGTGAACAAATATGTTTGTTCTGCAGTATAGTTTTACAGTATGTCCTACAAAAATATATATTTTTTCTCTGATAACTTGCTTAAATAATATATTCTAGAATCAAAAAATACATCACATCATTGTCAATTATCAAAAATATTTAATCTTATTTTTTTTAAGTATATATTTGCATCACAAAGCAAACGTCAGTTTTTTGAGTCAGATTTTTTTGAGTACTTTGCCCATTTCACAAATGTTATCCTTGATAAAGTGATAACATTTCTTTTCTATCTCATCATTTCCTCGGTAGAATGGCTTCAATTAAACTTAATCAATACAAACAAATGCGTTCCTCTTTTGTTCTCTTAATTAAAATAAATTCGGTTAAGTAGACGGATGTTAAGAATTACATGATTGGTCCTTTTTTTATGGTAATATTTGGCCCTTTTTAACTTCTAAAACTTTTGGCTTATTACCTATTTTACCGGTCATCAAAGCATTACCTCTGCCAGAGAAATAATCTTCGATCTCTTGTAATGTTCTATTTTTAGTTTCTGGAAGGCATATATAGAAATATATCGTGCCGAATAAAGATATACAACCGTAAAGAATGAACGTACCATGACGAGTGAGCGAACTGGCGAGAAATGGATAAGTTTTGACCACCATAAAGATAAATGAATGCGCGCACATGGTAGTCAACCCGCCAACAATACCACGTACTTGGACAGGATAAACCTCGCCAATCATCACCCATGGAATTACCAGGAAGCCCATGGTGCAAGTGATGGTATACGCGAATATACAAAAGACCGGAATCCACGTGGCGACGAGTGTAAGATTATTTTCGACGGTATAATTCTTATACCACATGTATCCGCCTAATCCTATCATGGACAAACCACAGCCAATGGAAGATAACATCGTGAGCGGTCTTCTGCCGTATCTTCTACACAAAACGCAAGCCACGATCGTAGAGATGAGTCTAACTATTCCCAATATGACCGCGGCTAAATATTTATTCAGACTCGTCCCTGAGTCCTTGAAGATTTCGACGGCGTAAAAAGTTATAACGTTGGTGCCCGACCACTGATATATTAAAAAGTATAGAAACAACAGAGTGAACGGCTTCAGCGCATTTGGTTTCAGCAAAGCGCATACAATCTCCCGGAATCCAGTGAGTCGTTTAATATTATTCTTATTGGAAAATTCCACGAGCGTTTGCATCTCCTGATTCACGTTGTAAGTACTGCCGCGAAACTTCTGCAATGCCTTTTCGGCTTGGTCCGGTTTGTTGCGCGATATGAGGTAGGACGGAGTTTCTGGGAAGAAGAACATCAATAGCAACGCGGTCAGTGGCAAGATACCGCTGATGCCCGCGCAGACATTCCACGTAACTATGCTTCCCAGAGCATATTCTATCAGCACTCCGGTGCTGACCCCGACGCTCGCAAACGCGATTAGCATCCCGCGAAGATGCGGCTGCGTCACTTCGCTGGTGTAGACACGCGCTGGCGCGCCCACCATACCCGATCCTAGACCGACGAAGAAACGACCGGCGTAAATCATGCGTATGTCGGTCGCGAAAGCGACCAGCAGCCATCCGAGCAGAGCCGGGATCTCCGTGATGATGAGTGAACGTTTCCGGCCAAACATATCCATCATGTAGCCGGATACCAAGCAGCCGATTGGTGTACCGATGGAGGACATACTAGCTGCGAAGGAGGAAAAAAGTAAATGAGCAAAAAAAATATATCTTCTGTACAAGTTACATTTAATATAAAAATTATCGTTTTTCTAGATAATGAAACACAAAGTGAAAACAGTTTTGAGAGAACTTTATTCGTCTTATTATAGATTGATTATCTTGTACGTACCGATCCATGACTCTTCCGTCGATCCTTCTTTGATGGGAATGATGCTGTCTGGCTCTTGGAGTTGTGGCAGAGCGATGGCGGAGAAGCCGAATGCCATGCCCGTGTTGATGGTGCCAAGCTGAGCCACCAGCGCGGCCAGGACTTGCCTGACGGCGCTACCTCTAGGTGCTCGAACGTTCTCAGGATCATTATTCAGATCTGTCCTCTCGTTATCGAGTAACGCGGAAGCTTGGATCTTTGGTAGCACCGTCGAATCTACCAACGAAGTCTTTTCCGGATCTTGCGCGCCGCTATTCTTTCTGTGATGAAAAATGACAATTAGCGAATACGAAATAGTATTATAATATATTGTGTAATATTTGCCACTTGGAGGATACGGAAAGTTAACAACGAACATGAATTTTGTATTCGCAGCCTATTTGCTATCGCACACGCTTCGCATGTCTAATAAGACAAACTAGAATTTCAAAGAACAAAAATAGCATTTGCGTTAATGGTTATATAATATCGAAAAAATATTTAATTATCATTAAATTATGCAAAAGCAAGACTTCCTGCTTTAATATTAGACTTACTAAATGTCAAATGAAAATATGTCGAATGATAATAATCCGATGATGCATTAGGCACGCGACTGTATGAGTCATATCAAGTGAATGTATATGTGAATTATTTATGTGCAAACTGATAAAATCGACTAATTAATATGAAATTCTCATCGTTTTTGTTATGATCGTTTCGTATAAGATCATTTTAAAAACCATGCAGGCTTGCAATTAATTTTTTCTCAAAAGAGATATATACATCGCTTGCGAGAATGAGAGATGTAAACATGGATTTATCGCTATTTATCGTGCGAAGATAATAATTATTCATTACAGATAACATGGCAAATGTGTGCTATGAGACATAACGGGAAAAACTTTCCGCATCAAATATCGCAAATAAAAATCAGATTAAATCATCTGTCAATAATGACAATTGAAATAAATTTAAATACTTGCTCATAAAGTTCATGATAGTCAAGCACATCTCACCGATCATAAATTTTTGGCTCGGATTTAATGTTACTAAAATTAAACCGACCTATATATGTATATATAAATGTTTGACAACTTGTCGGATTATCGCATACAGTATAAGGATGATATCGCATAGATAGAAAAGAAGAGAATACATTCGAGAGAAATATTCATAACGCCCATGATGCTTTATTTCAGGAAAATGAAAAAATTGTATCGTGAATTACTCTAACAATAATAATAACTAGTCTAATAATAGTGCAAGATATGTGTATATATATATATATATATTTTTTTTTTCTTTCTTTCTTTTCTTTTTCTTTTTTTTCTTCTTTTTTTTAAGATGCCAGGTATATCGTGAACGGTGGCTTTAATTGAAAGGATGGTATTTGTTTAGGGGAATTACGAAACAAAACCTTCACGAGTGGGGAACGAACGCTTGATTAAATTTTCCGAAGGTTGCGAAGTTATGCGTATGGGATGACATAATATATCGCCGAGTATCATGATCTTTACGAATAGGGGGAAAACGTGTTATATAAAAAAAATGATTCAGTGAGTACATTTAGTGTACATTTGCATTAAGCTGCGATAAAACAAAACCTGTTATTCTTCTATGCGATTGCAATTCTCGAGCGAAAGAATAATGATAAAAAAAAACTTTTGTTATATAAAAAAATTACAATGTTTATGTAAATTGACATGAGTGACATGATGAACTTATGTAAATTTGCGATAATAGAGATATATGTCCGCTTTTCTCTCGCACGCTTTCGTTTATCTTTTTATCGACAATGAAAACCACAAATAACAATGTTGTTACGTATATAACTTGTTACACATCGAAGAAGTGATTTATACCGGTAATTAACGTTAAGCGGTCGGCGAACTATTCATCATATTGCACAATCAACCTTCAGACTTTTTCCTCGATACTTTTACTCGCACCTGCATCGACAATTACCACTGGCTTCGTCATGATTAAATGACAACGCGTTAATTTATTATTTGTAAATGTAAACGAGACGAATTAATTAATGATATTTATATATTTGTACATTTACGTATTAATCACTCTTTATTATTATTATATCGAATGTGCGAATTAATCAATTAACTAAATTTGACGATCATAATATGACATTGATCGAATTATTCTAAATGAAAAGCTACATATTGACTGACCGATAGTCAGAATTTGCATCTTAGATTCGCGTGTTTTGCAACCGTGAATCCAACTGAAAGTGAAATTTACATGCACGAGTATTGTTTTCGTAGACTTACGACCTCCAATCGCTGACAGTACCATATGTTTACGACCATTCACAGTGCTCCGAAATTTTGCATTGTATTCTATATTCGAATCATATAATCATAATATATAAAATATAATCATATTATAATCATTCCATCGAAATAATCGCGATAATTTTTAATGTTTGGTCCTCTGACGAAGAGAGAAAATGGATATTTTTACAAAAATTCGTATTATTTACAGTAAATTCTTTTCTGCATTATAGTTCATGTCAAACAACGATAATCTTTTCGCAAAATTATTGGCACTGTAACTATTGAGTTTTATGATCTTCCAAGTCGGTCTGCCAAATTACGGAAGGAGGAAACTATTTTCTAAATACCACGCCAGACGGACGCCTAACAAAGAGACATCGCCGTTGTTCCTGACAGACAAAGCGGTTCCGAGAGTGTATTCACGTCGTGCTTTGGTAGTTAAGTTGAGAACCGCACGCTATACTTTTCCTTACACCTTGACTTTGTACATATCGCAAGGCCATATGAACGCAATCGGAGAGCACTTTAAGGGGCTCGTTCGTTCAGAATTAGATACGATTTCGCAAGAAAGATTTTCCATCGGACGCTGGCCCACGTAACCACCTTTTCATCGCATCAGCGGAATTTTCCACAACAAACGCACTTTATTTATTTGCGGATCCGAATAAAGCGACACTCGGTAGCCTTCACTCGTATGGCCGCTAAAAACTGAGAATAGCAAATAAAATTCAATTCTCGCTGAATCGTCGCTGAGATTTATCATGATAGATTCTTTAAAGTCAATTTCAAAGTTGATTCGTTTTTTAATGTTGAGACACACATTGATAATTATCAAGTTTTAAATTTTAAAAAAACACAAATTAAACTTCAGGTAATAAGTAATAAAACTACATTTTATACTTAATTTCAGGTGGAATTTAGTTTAACGAATTTTTTATTTGATTATAAAGATTTAATTATAAAGATATTTATGATTATAAAGATATATATGATTATATTATTAAAAATATATATGTGATGTGAAAAACTGAAAGATGTAAAAGAGCTTTTTTTAATTTCTTTTGTAAATAAAATTAAAGAAATATTGACTTTAAATTGACTAAACAATCTGGCTAAAAATGTACAATAATTTTGTAATATATAATATATAAAATAACTTCATATAAATTCTACGAGACTTGAATCATGGCTTTGTGATTCTGTTCCAGAGTAATCGAGGAAACGCGATTACTCTTTATCATACTATGTACATACAGATATCGGTCGTTTATATAAATGTGTAGGTTCGCGAGATTTTTTAAATTATTTTACTAAATAGCACGCACACATAAATATTAATCTTTCGATTGAAATGTGAAATACAACATTAATTTTACAATAGCAGTTTAAAGTTCATATTACAAAAAGTGCACGTTGAATTTTATTATGTTAAAAAATTAATAATTGAAATAAAATAAGAAAGAGCAACATTTTTATTTTCAAGAAGAAAAAAATGATGTGTGATTTAAAAATTATTGACTATTAAATTATTCAAGAGTTTGGAAAAAATGAAAAACATCGAATCGGATACGATATACAGATGAGAATAAGATTCGAGCTGGCTCTAGTTTTGTTCTCAGATGTCTACAAGTTTTAGCGTAACTTAATAGAATCTAATAATTTTAGCGTAACTTAATAGAATCTAATAATTTAAGAAGTGCCAAGCGGATTCGCGAATTCTGGCAACGATATGACGGAATCGCTTGATATTTTCATGACTCAAGAAGAGTGGAATGGAATCATATACATATATATGCACATACACATACGTATGCACATACAATGCATTTCTCGCAGATATCATGCCTGATCGAACAAACAACGAATGCGTCCCTGATATTAATAGTCTAATTACATCACATCTTCAATGAAGGTGAATATAAGACAGAATAAACAGCAATGGTGACTGTAAAATCTCGAAAGGCAACAATAATATTATAATGCATTGCGAAATACGGTATGCACGTTGCATCAAGATACAGCAACGACCAATCGGCTAGTCTCTCATTTAGCATATATCGAAAAGTCGCTTTTATAATCGCGCGCGAATAATTATAAGTGACATAATTTTTTGCGAGCGTGAATAATTTACGATTCACGCCTCGCGATGATGTTTTAAAATCATCCATGACTCTGTATTCGCTAGCTCGAAGTTGCTCCGTAATACAGGAATTGCGTCATCGTTTGAAGATAATTTTGCAGCAAAAAGTTCTCAGGCCATTTAACGTTCAGGAAGGTAATGGAATCTTTGATCTCACTCCAATGATATTCTCTCTTTATCCATTCTAATTAACTTTTCTAGAGATGATAAAAAATATCAACTCTCAACGTTTCTTTAATTCGTTCGATATTAATGCAACAATGTATCCCTTTGTTGTTACACGACGCACCGAGTCACGCATCTGCGTGTACCAGCAACATGAAATTTATTATCGTCTAAATATCGTATTATTATTAATTTACGGTCACGAAGGAGGAGTGTCGCTTTTCATGAGAATCCGCATTATCGTTGTTTAAATGTGACACAAAGTAGAAGGCGTCATTGCCCGTCATCATTGTTCGTCAGAACCCACGTTTTTTTACTCAATTTCCTGTATTATCTCGATTCCACCGTTGATTAACGAATTTTCTCACAAGGCCGACATCAAACAGACTAAACAATTTTTACACGACTGCCCTCTCTCTAAATTTAAAATTATCTCACATTGTTGGCCTTCGGCGCATTGCGATTGCATATCAATTTATTGCAATTATGCTATTTATGTCAGAAAAAACAATTTAATGAACGCATATTAAATGATAATCAATAAAATTGTAATATTACAGATAAATCAATTATTAATCGAAAGAATTAAATAAAATTATTTAATATTATCCGAATATGTGTGTGTCATATTACGACTTTTGTATATTCAAGAATCAATTAATATAGATAAAAGATAATAAATACAATAATTATCACAAATAAATAGATTTTTAAATACGTAATATTGAATTTAAATTTTTCATAATTTTTAATTTCAGCACATAATAATGTATAGCTTACGAAGAAGAGTAGGTAGGTTCGTGTCATTAAAAGTCAATTAACATGCTAATAGCTCAATGATAACAGTAATTATCGATATCGGTAATATCGCAACAGATCGATCACACTTGTCTCATACAATATTAGTATTATCCAGTATAATATTAATAGGCAGATTGCATCAATACACGTCATACAGACATCGGTGTCTTTTATTAACATCGATAACTTTTATTAATAATAATATTATTTGCTGCTGACAAATTCATTAAATGTTAAAAAGAAAAGAGAGAGAAGAACGTTCCTTTCTCTTTGTTTCGAGTTTTGCTGATAAAATTGCTAAATATATGTAATCACTTTCATTGAAGTTTTGCACACATAAAATGCGCCCGATGACGTGGCAGTGACAAGATGACAAGACTTTTTTATATTCGATCATAGTCCGCGAGTGCCATGTTCTATTTCGAAGAGCATAAAACGAAACCAAGATAACATTGAACACAGATTTCATATTAAATAGGCTAAGAGTATAAAATTAACATTTTCATCTAGAGAATTGAATTAAAGAAACAGTCTCTAGTTAGAAAAATTTAGCTCGAACATTTGAATCGAAGAAATTAATTTCATTCCTCAAAAATTTTTCTTATTTACTTACTTTTTGCGTTTTCGATCATGTATTGATTTATGAATTTTCTCAGCAGTGACATATAAATCTATTTCAATTCACAATTCATATTCAAGCAGCTTTAAACTTATGCTTGTAAAACATGACCTTTGAGATATCTTTCTGAGATTCGTTAATCTCGCATTTTATTGCTTTCGACAAGGAGAAGAGAAATTTTGGAACAAGGTAAGAACTGTAAAATTATTCCTATAATATATATATATTATATGTTATCCGAGGTTCGACCGTTGTAAACAAGAAAACTCGGTATAGCATCACTTGTTGATCATATGTATATGTTCGTGACATTGACAACCCTCGACTTTGCTCCGTATTTTCACCTCTGTTCAAAGTCACATTTGAATCACGTGAGAGAAGGAGGATGTTACAACGATTCCATCCAAATAACAGCAAATGCGCTGAATAAAACAAAGATATTAATATATATTAAATATATTTATATCTTAAATATATATTAAATATATTTATATCTTTGTTTTATTCAGCGCATTTGCTGTTATTTGGATGAAATCGTTGTAACATCCTCCTTCTCTCATGTGATTCAAATATGACTTTGAACAGAGATGAAAATACGGAGCAAAGTCGAGGGTTGTCAATGTTACGAACATATACATATGATCAACAAGTGATGCTATACCGAGTTTTCTTAAATATATATATATATTAAATAATAATATATTAAATATATATTTAATATATTATATTATTTAATATATTTAATATAAATAAATATATATTAAATATATATTTTTTTCTTCTAGGAAGAAAATCACTTGCTCTTGAAATTAAAGTAAAAATTCTATGTAAAATATGTAATTTAACGATTGATATATCGGGAAACGCAATACAATAGCATAACAATTGATTTTATGACGGATGTTTATCACATATTCAAAAGATATCACAAAAATGCGCAGTATTATTTTAATTTATATTCTAGACATTCGTGCGACTTTTGTGTTTACCAAACGTCACGTGATGTCATGAAACATGCGATTATAAAAAGAAATAGAGAAAGAACGAACGAAATAAACAGTTCGGCGCGCTCCATCACGCTACGTATCTTCTCTATTTTTAAAATAAAATATGTATAAGAGACGAAAGGAGAAGACAGAAAAGTGGAAAAAGATGCGAAAGCAAGACTGAAGTTGCAAAAATAACAGAAACATGTGTCTACTCACTCTGCCATGGCGAATGTCGTTATGGGGAATTGATCTCTTCTTGAATAAAGTACACGATATACCGGCGTATCGTGTGTAATGTACAAATATATATCACAATTCGCTGATCACAATGTTGTATCACCGTAAAGTCGCCGGCTCATCGCCGCGCTTCTCTCTTTGGCCTTTCTTCTTACGCCCACGCAGTTTCTACTCTCCAGATTTGACTGAGGGCTCGCGACCAATTTTCTTTATTCGAGGATCTTGTAAAATCCTCGAATACCTTACTCTCAAAGACTGGTCGAGGAATATCCGATCGTGCGTCCGATCTCGTAAAAGCCTACGAATGTCTTTCTCCACGGACGATACATCTGCGCGGGTCGTTTTCTCCAGTTGCTCTCCTATTTAGCGATGTCGACAGAGATTCTCTCTTCTTTCCCTTTTTCCTGCGTTCGTGGTGAATAATATCGCGTGTAAAAGCGAAGTCGAACAGCTGATGAATACTTGTTTACGTCACGGCTCGCTCGAAGCGACTGACGGTTATAGATTACGCGAAAGCTTTATATGCGATGCGATTCGTCTCGTGGGAGAGAGACGAAGAGAGACAAAGAGCTTTGACAGCAAAGCGCATGCGGACGGATAAGAATTGCACGAATTTCATTAAACGGAAGGAAGGTTAAGGTCATGACATTCGGAAAGGAAACGGAAGCGCCAAGGTATAAATTAATCGAGCAAACACGAACGAGAATTCACGAGGAATCGATAAGATTGGTCGTTCAGCTTCACGCTGAATTTTTCTCTTTGTTATTCATTATTGCAGACATTTTATCTTTTTTTTTAATTATTATTAATGATTAATGATATCGATATGTTTATGGAATAAGTAATATAACACAATAATAGAGTAACATGAGTTACATAAAATAAAAGAAAAAATAAGAGATATATTGAAAAAAGTTTGCACAAAGTTTTATAAAAAAAATATATAAATATAAATATCATAAATATAAATATCATAAATATATCGGATTTTTTCTTTTAAAATTAATGATCATTTAAGATTAATGCTCTTCTAATAGGAAAAATGCTCTCGAGCACATGATAATGTGGTCGTAATAATGATTAAGATTGAAAAAATCTATTAAGCTATCACAAGACAGAGAAAGGCGCGTCGTCACAAAGGTCGTCACAATTTTTTCTTTAAATGTTTCGATATGTGACTAATGTAATGGGGGGCAATCTATCTCGAGTATCGATAAGAATCTCGGTCGCAAATGCATGATCATCTTTTTATCTGAGAAAAATAGTGTCGGGCGTGAAACCGTCACGATTGTTGCTCGTGAAACGTTACTTCGTATTTACGTAAAACGAGATAAACCCGGTCTCTTGAAAAGAACCTCTCTTAGATCACGTTGCGAGGTAGCCTTCTTTCCGTTGCCGAGCAAAGGTAAAAGAGAAAAAAAGAGATACGCATATTTACAAAATCACGATATCTATTTATGCGCCGCATGCATTATCAGTGAAGAATCTTACGGAATATTCATAAGACAAACAAGAAAATATATTTAAAAAATGGAAAGGATTAAAGATAGATATTGAAAATACATGCGCAAAGAGTGTATTTTGCTAAAGAAAACACAAATGAAGATTTATATTTTATAACTTTTACGGTCTCTCGATAATAAAAATGGGAATCTAAACGCGATAAAAAGTAATGACGATGGAAGCTCTTATAAATATGTGCGATAAATTCGAATAAAAGATAATTATAATGATCGATCTTCTCTCGCGACGGAATATCGGAATGATTTAATATTTATGCAGCACTCAATCTTTTTCTATTTTTATGATAGCATTTGTGATAGAAAGCGAAATGGTTTTATTATTTCAAAACTTAGTTGGAAAATAAATGAAACAAATAAAAAAAAGAGATTAACTGTGATGGAAAGATTGAGCAAATCATTTCGATTAAATATTAAATGTTACATAATTAAATTAACTCTTTTTCACATATGTGTTTTGTTGAGAGATACGATTACCTTTTAATAAATATATGTTAAACCATTAAAGAATCGAGTAGTGTAAAGATTAAAAGAGTAAGCTGGTTTATTTTTCGGTTAAATTTGCAATTACGTTGGCATTATCATTAATATGCATTGATGACGGTCACATCATCGTAAATTCGAGCATGACGAGTAGCACACTTACGGTAAATGTAATCTGACGGACATAAGCGAGATAACCTTGGCCTGTAAATACTTGATTACAAGGATTTATACAAACATTGTAATCGTCGCATACATGTATCACAATTAGGCAAACATGTGAGATTCTTATAATAAAATGTGAAGATGTTTTTTTTATATATTATGCGTAACATTTAGCATTTTGTAGCTTGATATATTTATATTAGGAAATATCGAGATATATGATTTCTATGTTTAATTTTTCATCAGGTTGCACGCAAATCATCCTTCCAATTCTCGAATAAACTAAAATTTTACGAAAGATTATTTGATTTCTCCTAGAAACAAGAAAAATGAAAAATTCATTATTCATTTTACTTTTGACATTTCCATCCCTAGAAAATTATTGTATATTCAAAAACTCACATCATTAATACTCAAATTTTATTTTCGACATAGCCAAAATTTATAGGACAATCCATGGGAAGATCAAAGTATGTTGTTCGAAAAAAATGATTTTAAATTTATGAGCATTTATATGATTCTAAGAACAAGACTATAAATAATTTAATTAAGATAAACTATTATAATAAGAATATAAAGATCTACACAAAAAAGTCTCAAGTAAGAAACATTTGAAATAATGAAGAAAACTGTAAAGAAAGTTTTTAAATTCAGAGAATCATTAACAGGAATAATAATTTTATATCAAAATTGGTAAAATTTCGAAACATATGGTCATCATGTACCATTAACACTAAACGTAAGTTTAAAATAATATATAGCTATAAAATCTGTCATTTCGACGTGGATTTATTCCATCATTATGGTGAGATATTGCAAGAACGATCGTATATATCAAAAACTGTCGTTATCTTATCCATCTAATCATAAATAAAACATCAATGTATCACGCACCATTTTCGTTTCAAATCAACAACGATATCAGAATGACGATAACAGGAGGAACTTAGTAAGAAGCAGCGAGTACTCACTCGAAAGATGTTGACGGCGACGATACATTTGGCTCGTTGCTGCTGAATGTCTCGTAATTCCTGATCATGGCGTAATTTCTGACCATGGCGAAGAACTGAACACGTATGTGGCCAATTGTGGTCGATTAAATTCTCGGTTCTTGGTGGTTTATCGGACAAACCGTGGTCACGAGCTTGCTATCAATCCAAGTAGTCATGTGCTTCTCTATCTTATTTCCTTTCCGCTTATTTTCGCCGATATTCACATTCGTTGTACTTTGTTAAGGCAGAAAGCAGACGGCATGTCACGTTCGCGCAGAGAAGAGGCGAATCGATATCGCTTCGTTCCGTATGATTCTTCCCAATCATCCAATCGCCTCGTGAAAATTGGGAAAATTTCTACCAATAGTTACCTGTAAGTGCAAATATAGGAATATATTTATTACGCTTTAAAACTTTTGTAAAATTTAAAAATAGTTTTATTAAAATAAATCTAGTTTCTCGCGCCAAACATAATAGAATATAAAAAAGGTATTTAAAAAATACGCGAAAGTAAAATCGGGACAGCTTAAGATAATACTAAATGCAAATCTAATTTAGAAATATTTGTTTTATTTATTATAAATATTTGTTTTATTTATTTTATTAACTTTGTATAATTAAAATATATTGTATACTAAATAAATATAATTAGAAAAAAAGAACATGAAAAATATGGACATAAATGATTTATTACATTCACATTTATTTGCATTCATAATATCCACACTGTTATCACCAGTATAAGCGATTACAGCCTGCATGTGACCGTCGGCGATAGATTAAGATATATTACGCAAGTTACGATTTACTTGGTACACGCAAACTTGTTTAAAGTGTTTGGTTTACAAAATTTTCGATCTAATCTTCGAAAAAATCTCGTTTCCACGAAAACAAATTTAAATTCAATCCTCTACAAGAGATTTTTTTCAAGATAATGTCTTTTATAATTAATACACATATTCAAAAAATTAAATTTTTAAGACTATTTCTCAGATATAAAGATTGCAATTTATTCTCAAACAATCTAATCTTGTGAAGATAGGATACTAGGTATAATTAAATAAAATTGTTAATAGTTGAAGATATTTTCGAAACAATAATATTAGCAATTAAACATTTATGATAAATTATACATTTAAAAACGAGGAAGAAAAAAAATAGAAAGAAAAAGAAAGAAGATTTAAAATTGTAAATTTTAAATAATGTTCTAAATTTCAAAATATGATATATCTTGTTAATAACTAATCAAGGTGAATGTTTCTTACAATTTGTAAACAATGTGTCAGTTTCGTTAGATCGTCTACAAAGAGACGCATGACTATTCAATTCTGACTATTCAATTTTTAGCTGCAAATATTTCATATTTGTGTCGCTTTTTTACAAATAGCTTATAATAAAATTTAATTATAATTTTATCATTAATTAAAACTATATGACATCTAGGAATAAAATTCAAATTCGTGAATGTAAAAATATATTTTGTACATGATAAAGATTATTCTAAAACCGTCACGAATTTATCCAAGATCGAATTTACCGCAACTTGATTCGAGAAAAATCGATTCTTCAAAGAGCAAGAACAAAAGGGGCAATCCTTTTATAGCAATACCGATTGACATCGGGAGTCAACAGTAATTAATTGAGGAGCTTGTTACGGTTGTCGTTGCAGTGAATTAAATTAATATCTCTCCCTCTCTCTCTCTCTCTCTCTCTCTCTCTCTATATATATATATATATATATATATATATATATATATATTTCCGATTACTTTTGCAGTTATTCACTCTTTACATCTCACCTAATGCATTGTAAAACATTTTGATAAGGTATATAAATAAAATAATATAATTATTTTTTTTAACAAATAAAACAATAAATATATACGTTTTATTATAATGTGATTTTTTAAATAAAATATTCTTAGGTATTTTTCGATCAAAAAATATATGTGTCTCTCTCTCTATATATATAGAGTAAATATATCATATATTTCTACATAACAATAACATATAATGGCATTTTTTTCAAGATATGAAATCGAACAGAACAAATAACGATTTAGATATATACCGCGTGTTTTAAAATAAATATCTCCCTCTTTGTATACATATATAATGAATTAAATTAGTATTTACGTGTAATAATATTTATATATATATACATATATATATATATATATATATATATATATATTTTTTTTTTTTTTTTTTTTACTCTTTATATAGAGAAAGGGAGACACATATATTTTTTGATCGAAAAATACCTAAGAATATTTTATTTAAGAAATCACATTATAATAAAACGTATATATTTATTGTTTTATTTATTAAAAAAAATAAATATATATTATTTTATTTATATACCTCAAAATGTTTTACAATGCATTAGGTGAGGTGTAAAGAGTGAATAACTGCGAAAGTAATCGGAAAAGTAAAAGTCTCGTCGGCTGAGTAACTTTGAATAACTGCCAACTCGTTAATTATGCATGAATGAAAATACACATCCGACAAGTTTTCCACAATGAGTGGAAAAGCACCGATGATTGCTTCACATAATTGCACATCGCGCGCGATTCCTGATCACGATTTGCTCATTCTAAAACGATATTTCTTAGAACGGAGCCGTGCTTGTTTGGCACGTGAACAAAAAATATTGCAATGGTACACTGATTCACGTGTTCAATCGAACAAAGTGCATTCGCAGCTGGCAATGTGAACTTTGAGTTTTTTAATTGGAACGAATTTGACAAAGAAAGTCCGGTGTTGCTATGCACAATTTTTTTCGTTCTTTGTTACATTATAATTTAACATTTTCATGCTCCCTTATGATTATTATAAGTAATAAATAATTAATAATTAATAATTAATAATTAATAATTAATTTAATAATTTTACGATTATTTTACGAGATTCGTCGTTTTGATTTTATTATTTCACGAGATATTTACAATTATTTTTCTATTAATTTTCAACAGAGATTGAAAATTAAAGCTTTGTATTTAAATCATAAAGACGCAACTATAGCACAAATATTTTTATTATTAAATCTATTTTTATATCCAGCTACGAAATAAAAAAGATACATGACAAATTAAAAGAGCATCGTAGGACTGTTGTTTTTCCTGTCGTATCTATTTTTAGATAAAGGTCTTTATCTCTCGGTCATGTTGAGAAGAATCGAGGCGACTACGCGGGTCAACGGCTCTATTAATTCACTTTTGCAGGAATAACCAGTAGCGGGATCATGTATCATATGCGTGATCCACACAAACGCAACCGGATCAATTGCAAGCTCTTCAGACATGTAGAATAATCAAAATGACGCCACGCTGGCTCGTGTTAATTGAAACTCCGAATCAGGAATGACTGTGCGAGTTTTTCTTCAAATAATGAATCATGCATAAACGTGGAAAAATAGAGAGAAACAATCAATCGACTCTATTAGGAAACGCATTTTGATATAAGCAATTATTTTTATTACTGTTCAATGAAATATAATTAAATGTTGTTTATTCATAAATTAATATATTAATATATTGGTATTATTTTCTTGTTGTTTTACTTATCCTATCTAAATACGATTCAATTGATTTTCAATTGATTCATGATGAATTAGCACGTAAAGTGAAATTGATAACGAATAATTCTAATTATCTCTTTGCCCAATTGCTTATATATATATATATATATATTATTTTCAATATATGCACCTTCAGATTTATATATTGATATTGATAAATATATTAATTTTTATATATTGATAAATATATTAATATATAGAGATAGACATAATAAATCGAACATTTATTTTCAATTTTCATATCGCAAAGAACGAGATACTGGCGATTAATTGTTGTACACGGATTATTGTTGGGTAGAGTCACGAGAACCGATAAAAGTAATAAAGGTCCACTCGTGACCATTCGGGATTATATTACGTATTCTATGATAATGATTGATAAGATACATCAAAACAAATAGAACTTATGTATAATAAGGAATATATAAAAGAAATCCTCATTACGTCGAAATGAACGCTCTTTGGACTTTGTGTTTCTAAATAAATATTTATCGGGCAAATGATACGTTGACTTTAGTTTTCGAAATAGAAGCTCATAACACACTTCTTCAAATATCGAAATAATAACATATGATATATAAAACGATACATATGATATATTTAACTATAAAAAAATTTAACTTAATAATAACTTTAATACCTAATAACTTTAGTTAATTTAAATTTAACTTAATAATAATTTTAATTTAATAATAACATATGATATATAAAACGATACATATGATATATTTAACTATAAAAAAATTTTCACTGTGTTAAATGTCTCGGAGATTTATGTAATTTGATAGGATTGGATTGAGTTGATCGTTTCGTTCGTTTTGATTGTATATATTATACTATTAAAACACTAAAAAAATATATCTAATTTATATATATATATATATATATATATATATATATATATATAAAGAGAGAGAGAGTACAATTTTTGTGTACAAATTTATATAATTTGTTTTCAATATTAAATAGAATTTACAATTTTAAATCATTTTGCAGATAAATAGTTGCAGATAAATAACATAGATAATTGTATCCGTTTTATTGATAAAATAATTCTTATTTAACCTATTTACACATTATTAAAGATAACAATTCTTTGTATTGAAATTTTAGGTCAATTTGATAAGGCAAGCAGAAGGAAGGTTAGATAAAAATAGGCTTATGAACTTTTTAAGAGAATATTAATATCACATGCTATGAAATAATATCTTTTTTTTTTTCCATTTTTAGCTAAAATTTAATTTTAATTATTGTGTTTATGTTTGTTTTTTTCCCATCTTATATTCGAGAAATTTCGATTTTATAGCAATATTAGCAACGATTATTTTTTTAAGAAAAAAAATTTGTTACGTTTATTTTTAGAATATACTTTTTATTCCTTTAAGCGTTATTCCTTTTAAGCGTTATTTCACGAGAAATGCTTTGCATGAATGGCTTCCCAGCAAACACCAAGTAACAGTTATATAACTTATAATTTTATAATTTTCTCTCAACAATATAACTGCTACATGTTATATAACTGTTATGTGTTAAATAACAATTATATTGTTGAGTGGGAAATTATAACTAACAATTATATAACTGTTACTTGGTGTTTGCTGGGTTTCTATGATACTTATATTTTATGTCAATCAAAATATGTGTGCTTCTATAATTATCTCTATGAAAATTATGTTAATCATTCTAAGAAATTCTTTTTATGTAAGTTCGAAAAGAGAAACAAAATAAATAAGAAAAGTCAATTTATTTATCAAATTTCCATTCCAGTAGCGACAGGTGAATTTGGTAAATATTTTTCGTTATCGTAATAGGCACCTGTCGACATCAGCCAACAGCAGCAGGAGCAATAGCCGAATGGAAATTTACCGATGCGCGTGTGCAATTTGCTGTGCGTCAATATCGACTAGTTATTTGCGGACATACGACGTAATTGAGCGTGTCGACGAGCCTCTGGAACGCTGGGTCCACAGAACTACGCAAATTATATTGCTATAAAGATTTGTACCGATGGTACTGAATTAGATTGACACGCAGTCGCGAATCTACGTCCGTTCTCGACATACGGTGTACCGGACAATTATCACTGAATATTCTTTTCATTTCGGATTTCTCAACCGATTTGAAACCGATCTTTTCTCACCCAAGGCGCCTTTAGTTTTCCAGTAATTAATGCTCGAAAATTTAAGACTAATTTATAGTAAAGAAAGATTAGATAAGAAAATCATGTCCTTTGATTAATTCCTACTGGATTTACTTTAATATAATTTTAATCGAACACCCCATATAGTTTGCCAAATGAAAAAATAGAAAAGTTTATCCTCGACGTAAATCCTTGAATGACATATGGTAGGCAGTCCATCATTTTTCTCGTAAACGATAGTTTTTTTTAGAATTATATTAACGAAAGTTTTTTTTAGAATTATATTAACGAAAATGATAAAACGAGTTCAAAGAAATTATTTCCTCAGCTCAGATTCGTAACAAATACAAATATTTATCAAGTACGGATAATGCATGTCTAAATTTGAACGATAAAGCTGTCGAGAGATTAATCATCGCGAATAAAAGTCAGAAATGAATTAGAACAATTAAAAATTATCTTAATTTAAATATTAAATATTAACTTAAATATTAAGCTTATTTAGTCAAAAGCAAATTGTAATTTGCCAATAAATAAAAAATATTCATATAATTTACTCTATCTAGATTTACGAATTTCTTAGATTTAATAAAAAGAAGATTTAATAATAATCTTTGCATGTGTAATCTTTAAAATATTGAGCGTTACTAAGAAAAGATTATACAAAGAGAGATTGTGATTTTAAAAGGAAAAAATTACATTTAAATCAGATATTATATGACATAAAAGCGACAAGCTAAATATAGAATGTTGTATAATATATATGTATGTATATATATAAATACATATATATATATATATATATATATATATATATATGTAAGATTGTTTTTATCAAGCTTGTCGATATTTTATTCGAGAATCTCTCTCGTTCATGCAATAATCTTACACATTTTACAAAAAACGGCATATCTTCACTTGAAAATAACTACAAGTAAAGTATATATACGTGTATGTGTATTAAATAGTAAATTTAATTACTTAGTAAATTTTTTACTAAGTATATATATTTTAATAATGGAAAATATATTGGACAGAAAAAATACATACAGAAAATCGATAATTTGCTAGTTTAAATTAATGAAAATTGGATAAAAAATATAATTGTATAATTTATATAATTATAATGATAAATGAACTTGGAGCATAATTGCGAAAAATTAATCAGAATAATTAATTTTTAGTTTTCTTCTGATCTTTGAATACGCTTATATATGCATGGTTTTTTTATATTAAATTTTAATTGCCGTTTACACAATAGAAGGAAACTCAAAATGAAACTAGATATCATTTGCTTTCTTTTTCTTTCTCTTTTTCATCGTTAATTAAAGTTGTCGCGCCAACGAGATGACTGCCACTAATTAATCGCGCTGAACAATCTCGTTAAATGTAGCGAGTAAACAGTTCGATAAAAATATAGAAATTGACGCACATACATGTGACTCAAAACCTTGTTATAACGAAGCCACTCATTGCAGGGCAAATACTATAAATGAGAGAACAGAAACCACATGTCTCTCTAAAATATAAAATGCCTCGAACATATTGGACATAATTGGTATGGTACGATAAGATTTCTTTCGAAAATTGATATTTATATGCAGTCAGAATTTATATCAAATAACTTTTTCGATCTCGTATGATCTTTACTGCCGTTTGCAAATAGAAAGCATAAGCCAGTTACAATATTTTAGAGAATTAATTAGAATTATTTAGAATTATTATTAGAATTATTTAGAGAATTATTTAGAATGAATTAGCTACATGAATGATGACTCATAATTAGTAACACTAATTATTGGCACAATTTCTGAAATACACAATAAATATATCAATATATTGATGACTACCGATTTTGATGATAATTACGTGTAAAAAAAATTTGTGACACAGACTCTCTATAAATATACTTCTATATATAAAAGTAACAATCGTTTTATATACACACATTTTATATCAAATAAATATTACTAGTAATATGTGATTCTGAAATTTTTAAGAAATGACATCTATCTGATATTAATGGATTAATGGAATTCTTAGCTTTTGACTGAAACGCGAAAATTTTTCGCTAATATGATTTTACGATTATGTAAGCAATTTCTTAATTATATACAAAATTATAAGTTTAAAATATGTTTCTTGCATTTTTATATTTTAAATTATAATTTTATTTTTATATTATCTTTTAAATTATAATTTTATTCTTTAGGAAAAATGTTATAACCGAAAAAAGTAAGGAAAAATCCTAAAACGAACAAACATTATAAAATAAAACAAGAGAAAACTGAAGAATAACTAAATATGTTAGTAAATGTAACGGTGCATGATTAATATGTAATTTATTTTCCAAAAGATTATCATAAATGCTCATCATATTTGTATTGTAAAAAAGAATTGATTATTGTGCTCATTTATGGATTAATTGAATTTATAATTTATTATAAAAAATAATTATTATGTTTTTATTTTTAGGGAATATTCGGATTATTTATTTTAAATCAATTCTTTCGTCTTTTTTTTTATATCCTTTCAAACTTAGACGAATCGAGATGATTATTAGTTATATTATTTCGTTCGAAATAAATTATTTAAAATTCAATCATTACATAAATTCAAAACATATCTATCTTGGAAAAAAGAGGTATTTTAAAAGCGAAAAGCTCTCTCTCTTTTCGTACAAGAAAAAGGCTGCATTGTTTTCCATCCACCGGATATATAATGGTATTAATTCGACTTTATTGGCGCGGGCGCGCGCTCGCGCTTACGTGACACATATCTCGCATCGCCAGCACGTGACAACCACGTGGTGCGAGCATGTGCAGTCTGCTCCGTCGCGCGTAAACAATACATTTCGTACGCCATGCGAAACACTGACAACTCACAGACGCATCCCATGCGGTTGTGACTCGCATGCGTGAAACTGAACACGTTTATCTCTATGTATCTAACGCACCATTGCCATCTCACCTCCCTCCTCCCCATAATCCTAATATCTTTCGTATTACAAAAATTTAAGTTCGTAAATCTCTCTCACTAAGATAACGTGATAATTTTTTCGATAGAATAAATTGGAGTGGAAAGATAAAAATACTCGATAGCTTTTTTTCCTTTTCATATATCGATTATCTCTTTGAGATTTTGATCTCAATTAATCAATGCATCGATATTTTTTATTTGATCTTTGATTTTTTTTTATCGTATTAGATTTTTTAAACTCTTGTTGTCAAGAATCTCTTAAGTGTAATAAAATAATTATTTTAGTACGATTATATTTATTTATTTTCCTTTCTCCTCCTCATTTACTTCTAAGAGATTTAGATTTTTGTTATATTGTTAGTATATTAATTTTTTCCATTCCTTAATAACTTTTAATAACTTTCTAATAACTTTTTTAATAACTTTCAGATAATTTTAGATAATTTAAACAATTTAATAACTTTAAGATAATAATTAAGAATATCTAATTAAAAAAATAATTATAACTAAATTTTCAAAAATTTTAAAATTTTTTGTAAATGAAATGTCACTGCCAAATGTCTCTTCATTTTTATCTTAATATTGCAGATCATATACACGATCCACATACGCCTGTTATATTTAGTTACATTGTTCTCATCACGAGTGTGATTAGGATGTTTATGCAATGTTTGCAAATGTTTGATCTGGTCGTCGTACGATAATAATTCTAATATGATAGGCGTAATCTAAATTTGGTGCCAACAGTAATATATCTAAATGTCACATACGTTATTTGCATGAAAATGATGATGTTTCTCTATGAACATCGTGCAAATATCGAACATAGATAACAATTATTTCAGTTTATATGAATAGGTATATACGATTAATTAAACGCTTTACATCTATATTCTGTAATTCTAAATTTTAATCACAGATCTTTCGATAAACATATGGATCTAAGCAAATAAATATAAATTTATGTAAAAAAAGTTTGATTGCATGTTGATTAAAGAATTAAAAGTCTCTATCAGTTATACATTTTTCATTCGATTTTTGTGTATTTATAGCTATTCTTTTTCTCTTTGCGATCACAAGTAAAGTAAAGGATTATTCTAGCAAAAAGAAACTACGATTTTAAACTGCTAAAATATAAATAAATAACATACCACAAATAATTTTAGCTAGGTGAGCAAATTAAATCATCGTATTCCTTTTTATGATTATGCTAATGTCTCACAAAGCCGATTACGTACGATTCCAGGGAAGGAATCATGGTTAGTCTTTCTTGAAACTTGAAACTTTCTGTTATCTTGTTGAAATATTCAAAGTGCTGAAAATCAGGCAGTATCTAAGCATCTTCGTGGTGCAACATCAAAGATCTGTTTCCTATAAAAAACAAAAAAACAAAAAGAGATGAAAACTTCACATCGAGCACAGCAACTGCATTTGTTTCCAAAAATAAATCCAATTAAAGAAAAGAGCTTCTATATCCATCGTGCATGTTGAAAAAAAATTATGAGATATTTCTTTATAATATTATCTAAAAATTTAAAAATAGATATAATTTTGACACGATGCTGGTCTGCTCGTATCACGAATTTTTTTTCAAGATTATGTTTATACAAACAATTAATTACAATTGCGTGACATTTTACGCGCATCTGTGACATATAAAACTCGAGATTCCACTTTTTATTGTGTATAAAATTTGTTGCGAAAACATGTATATACAATTATAATGATTACAATCGATCACAACTCTGGTCTGTTTATATTACATGTATTTTTCTACACATGTTAAGTGCAAAGAAAGGGCAAAAAGTATATTTGATTCCAAAAACAAGTCACATGCTTTGTGATGGAGGATGTTTAATCGATAATTAATTCTTCCTCCAAAAGATCCTTCAAATAAATAAATGTCCGAGTAAAAATGCATTACGACACAAGATATATTGCTACTCTAATTTATTCTGTTTGACAACAACTTGATATTGTTAAATGTCGCTAAACAATAGCAAAGAAAAAACTCGATAGCAAATACAGTCTAAAAACAAATCAAAGTTCAAAGAAACCTATTTGTTATTCTATTTTTATTGCTTTTAGTGATTTGGAAATATTTATTGCCTTACAAGAGATGCTAATCATATTCTCGAAATTATTTAGTCATTGACGTAATTCTGCTTATTGTCATAATTGTTATGAAAGAAAACAGGCACTCTTACTTGTAATAGTATGAATAATCTTAAGTAAATATTTATACCTGGTAGGTGTTTTACAATATGCATATATATAATAATATGCATTCGTAGAGCTCTTATTAAACTTCGTTCTATTCACTTCCGAAGGAGAATAAGAAATTTGAAGATAGTAACGAACAAAAATATATAAATTATAATGCCCTCTGTGCATTGTTTGCTGCACAAACAGCGTACAACGGTCGGTAAAATAAAAAATTTACAATCATTATTATCGACATAATTATCGATTGCCAGAGAAATTTTTATGGTAATTATCGATTTTGTTACAATTTATAATTATATAAATATTATTTATATAATTATAAATTGTAACAAAATCGATGAAATTATATAATGAATTAAATAATGAATTACATAATGAATTAGATAAAATATTATTTATATAATTTATATTATATTAATATTACTATATTAATATTACTATATTATTATTAATATTAATTATATATATATATATAGAAAAAATTAGACAATTCAATATCTTACAAGTTATAAAATATCTATTAATGAGAGACAATTCAATATTTATTACAAGTTATGAAATCTGAAATAAAAAAAACATAAATGAAGACTATTGTGTTCGTTTCCAAAATTTTAAATAATTTCATCAAAATTAAATTATAAATTCTTGACATGTAAATTTATTGCGCTTATTATTATATACACACGTGTATACACACAATCTCATTCTTTTAATATTCATCCGCATATAAATATAATATGTGTAAGAATATATACATACATGTACAAAATACATATGTATATACATATGTATACGTTTATGTAACCACATATATATTATATTGTATTTGATATATTTATATACGGATAAATATTAAAAAAATGAGATTACATGGTGCAACAATGTATGTATGCGCAACAATAAACGCAATAAATTTACACGTCAAGAATTTATAATTTAACTTGATGGAATTATTTAAAATATATAAGAAACGATTATAATACTGAATATTTATTTATGTTTATTATATTTCATATTTTTCATAAATATATGCATATATATATATATATATATATATATATATATATATTTATTTATTTATACACATAAAACACATGGAATGTAATATGGTACAGATTAAAGGAATGAAAATTTGAGTGTATAATAATGAGCAACAAATTTACATATAAAAAATTTGGATTAAATTTTACTTTATAATATATTGTTAGAATCATTTAAAATATTGAAAAAAAAACATAATATATTTTCTTCGTTGATATAAAATATATACAATTATTTCTGTTTTCTAACAAAAGATTTCTGGTTTTCCAAAAAAAATTTAATTAATATTATCGCAAAAATAATACCCCGAATGTAAATAGCAATTATATGTATAATACTTTCATGTAATATAATTTTTATATAATTTTTATCACAATTTTATACATTCCTTCTCTCGAGTTTACATATTTCTTTTAACATCAATACAAGAGAAAAATGTTTTTAAATATTAATATAGAAGAAAAATTATGTCATGCATTCGACCTGCATTCACGTGTTGTCGTTTTCCACGTGAACACGATAATCCGGGCACGTGACGCACTTGAGTGAACCAATTAGAGGCTTCAATCAACCTATGTTGCTGGTTAAATTGGATTAAAGCAATGTCAAAGCGTCGCTTTTAAGGTCACAAATCCATGTGTCGCGATGCCATTCGTTATCGGGACGTTTGTCGCGAAAGATGGATTTTACACACATAAGATTACATCAAATACTTTTCTCGATTTTGAAACCTCTTGTATCGGAATCGGCGATTGATCATAACGTTATTGTAGATGAGGAGGAAGAAAGCGTGTAACCGAAATACTTTTTTACATGAAAATTAAATATATAAAAATTAAAAATTGTGTGTGCGTATCTTTCGTAGTACCATATAAATTTTAAAATAAAGTCCGACTTTAAATGTGTAATAACGATTACTGCAGCTTCTTTCTGCAAGTGAATAAAAACTGATGTTATATAGGATTTGAATAAAAAAAGTGATTAAATATTAAGATTTGTGGCTGTGAAAGTAAAAGTTTGATGTTAAATCAAAATAAATGTTAAATATGGAAGAGTACAATTGATACGTACAATTTGATAATAATTTCTATTAATTATACAAATTTAATCGATCGTACGAAAGAAAAGATTTCAAAAATGGAGTATGTTTATAATCTTATAACGCCACTCGATGGATCATTACTTCATATGTCAAACGTCTTGGATAATTTTGAACATATAAAGTATGGAAAATTACTGCAAACTGAACTTCACGTAAGCCTTTGAAAACTATTAGAAACGTGACAAAATTATCACAAATAAGTTAAGTTATAAAAAAATGTAAAATTAATTTATATCTGTTAATATTACTTCATTTCATAGCATGATGAACAGGAAAATGACGTGCCGGTTGATAACACGGCAGACGATCATGATACATATTACTATGCTAATTGCGACTCTTCGGTGTGGATGAGAAGCTGCCAAGAGGAAGTGATCGAGCCCCTTCGATCGACCGAAATCACTGGCAGCATCCCCGAGTGGTTGACAGGCACCCTGATGCGGAATGGTCCGGGTAATCTGAAAGTGGGCGAATACCATTATCAGCATCTGTTCGACAGTTCAGCCCTATTGCATAAGTACGCTTTATCTTAAAGTATAACTTAAGTATAGTAAAAACTTTGAATGGATGACGACATTAATTGATATACGAAAAAATTTCACAGATTTCATATCGCGAACGGAAATGTCACCTATCAACGACGGTTCGTCCAAACCGAAGTATATAAAAGAAATATGGCTGCACAGAGAATAGTTTTTACTGAGTTCGGTACTTGCGCGACGCCGGATCCTTGTCACAGTATTTTTCGAAGGTAAAAGAGAAAAAGAAAAAGAAAGAAAAAAGTAAAGCTAGCTTCTGATTAAAACAAATATCAGACAATTAATCTGTAGAGAAAACTATTTTTTAATTTCTCGCAGTGCTTTACATAAATTATGTATCTTCCTTTCTAATAGGATTATAAAATTTTTATTATAAAATTTTATTATAAAATTTTTCTTTTAAAATATCTTCTCTCTTCTCTTTGATTTTTCAGAGTAGCCGCTGTATTCAAATCAGATGATGAGATATCGGACAATTCCATGATTTCGGTATATCCCTTCGGTGATGAATATTACACGTTCGCGGAAGCAGCACCAGTGATGCACAGAATTGATCCAAAGACTTTAGAAACAATGGACAGGGTAAAAACACTCAAATGTTTATACTAATTTTATAAATTAATTTTATTATTGTTAGTAGAATATTACTTATTTGCTAATAAATAAAATAAAATAAATTAAAGTTTAATAAAAAGTAGTTTAACAAAAATAAATTTTTTTTCATAAGAATTACTTTTTGTTTGTTCACAGGTAAACATATCGAAATATGTTAATATTGTAAATCATACTTCACATCCTCATATTATGGCTGATGGTAGAGTTTATAATGTAGGAATGAATATAACTCCATTTGGACCTCGATACAATGTCGTATGCTTCTATCCTAATCGCATCAGTACTGGTAAAATACTTTTTTGTATGAACAAGTGTACGTCATACTCTTTCTGGACGAAATAGATTTGTAGAGTCAATTGCAATCGAAATTAGTAATCGCGAAAAATTAATTTCTTATTGGGGAGAGAATTTTATACATTTAATTGCTTTTCTGTAATTCTCTCTCTCCCTTAGAAAAAGAAACAGAGTGAAGAGAAATATTATTGTTGAGTCAAATATTTAAATCTTATAATTTGAACAATTTTCTAGACGATTCCGGAGAGGAGAGAGAATTGTCCATGTTCGATCAAGCAACAATCGTGGCTAGTGTACCAAGCAGATGGTTATTGAATCCATCGTACATGCACACTTTTGGCATCACCGACAACTACTTCATCATTGTGGAACAACCACTGGCTATCTCCTTTATCAGAATGATGTTCACTCATTTAAAAAAAGAACCGATAATAAATAGTTTCAAATGGCACGAGAATGAAAGCGTATGTTTTCATATTGGTAAAAAATTGTAATTAATTATATTATTAACAAAAGAAGATTTAAATATATTTAATTTTGATTATTAGACGCTTATTTATATTATCTCGAGAAAAACGGGTCAACTAGTGAGAACTTTCGTCGCAGAGACATTTTTTTATCTTCACATAATCAATCAGTTCGAAACCCGCGATGGGGAATACATTGTGCTCGACATATGCTGTTATCGGGATCCGAAGATGTTGGAGTATATGTATATTGATGCAATGAAGGTAGGCATTTACATATTTTCTGTCGGGAAAGCGTTTTTCACGTGACACTAATAAATTTAATTTTCAAATCACTCTCTTCTACCAATGAATTAGAACATGCACGGAGACGCCGATTTCGGCAGATTGTTTCGCGCCAGACCGCTGCGTTTCATACTTCCGATGAGAGAAGTGCATTCTGACACAACATCGGACTACAATCTCATTACAATTAAAACGGTGTATCAGAATTTACAGTTATTCCAGGATATAAGTAGTATCGATCATAACACAAACCTCGAGATCGTTGATGATGCAGACAACATCGAGAATAGTAACAAATCCAGATACTGGCGAGATGAGCACAGAAGTGCTCTACGAAAGAAGCCAGTTGCTCACCTTCTTCTCGATGGCAAGATCTTTGTAAAGCCGGAACTTCTTTGTGACGTAGGTTGCGAAACTCCGCGAATTAATGCGGATTTTTATCTTGGTAAAGAGTACCGGTACTTTTACGCGATCTCCTGTGACATGGACATGGACAATCCTGGAACGGTTAGTATATTCCTCGAATTTCTAAAGTATACTATGTTTTAATTTCTTTTATAATTAAAGCACGACGAGAGAGATGTGCGAACTACTTTCATTTGCTATAAAAATTAATTTGATTTGTAGCTAATAAAGGTCGATACTTTCCAAAAGACCAAGAGAATGTGGCAGGAAAAGGGTGTTTATCCAAGCGAACCAATTTTCGTGCCGAATCCAAACGGAAAGGTATTATTTATGAGCTTTCTTTACAGAAAAAATAATTCCATTATTTTATTCTCTCTTGCTTTCTCTATTTAGAACGAGGATGACGGTGTGGTTGTAAGCTCTATGGTATGGGCGGAAAAAGAGACTCGCGTCGGTCTGTTAATCTTGGATGCTGTGACATTTACGGAAATCGCGAGAGTTACTTTCGATACACCTGGACCAGTGCCTAAATGTTTGCACGGTTGGTTCAGTCTAGATAAGTAATCGAATATAAAAAAAATCATTCGATTAGACACATAGAATGTTGTTTAATTAAAAGACTCCGGAAATAATCAAATTTTCTATCATTATTAAAGTATTGAAAGTCGTGGCAAATTGTTTTTATTTGTAAATGTGATTATCTTTTCGAGAATAAGATAAAATGGGTATCAAATATATAATGTATGTGAAGAATATAATAAGAATAATAATATGTAAGTGATATGAAAATTATTATGTATCGTAAATCAAGAGACACGGTAGTGTCTTGTGCTAAGTCCCGCGTAAACAACAAGACACTCCCTTACAAAGTTACTTGTATCTCCTTGAATAATCTCCTTGAAGACTCTTGATCTCTATCTTTCCTTCTAATGAATCGAATTTAAATTGTTAATTGAAGTGATTTGCCTTCTATATTTGTATAATTTTCCCATTACTTCATATTAAAAATTAAAAATAGTTTTCTTCTCACGTCTTCTTGATAATAATTATTAATTCTGTATAATTATTAGCTCTATAACCGAATAAGAAATATGATTCAATAATTTTAATTCTAGATAAAAAAAATCTAATAAGTTGTATATATGTGTATATATATGTGTGTGTATATAAGGTTGCGTTAATAAAGATTGATCAACAACTTATTAGATTTCATTAGAATTTTATTTTTGATTATATATAAATTATAAACCATATATAATTTTTATATATAATAAGAAATATATAATTTCTCTCTTAAAAATAATTCCCCTTTTCGTTTTTGCCATCTTACATTTTCAATTGTAGATATTTCAATAATTTATACTTTTATTTTTGTTACGATAAATTATGATCTTCGAATTCGACAACTTATTATCGTAACAACACAACTGAAAAAAGTAATCGTCTCGATGAAAAACAAATATTGATTTCTGTTCAAGAATCACTTCATGAATTTAATTTTGACATGCTGGTGGGGTGACCGACAATATAAAGCCATTCAAGCGTGAAAGATGCGTATAGTTGCATAGCTACTCTTATAAAATAGGTATCCAGTCCAGATCAAAAGTGAAGTAATTTAAAAATATAACAGTTTGTATTTTATTGCAAATTGTTCGGATTATTCGTGTTTTCATAATTTCCAGATTAATCACAATGCAAATTATTTTGCGTTGCGATTAATCTGGAAATTATGAAAACTAACCGTTTGAGTGCTACGGATTTTTGTAGAAACTCGATCAAAAAATGCCAAGCGATAAGTACATTATTTAGTTTATTATATCGTTATAATAATGCTTGTTTATAATAAATGCTGGTTTATAATTGTTTTTAAAAAATGTACATCTGAAAAGTGTTATATTACTTCAATTTCGTCTTAATTTGCCTACGATCAAACGATAAAGACACTCATCGACAAAAACTGAGCATGCAGTTACTGTGAATTTGCAGATTGATGCACTGGCATTTTTAAGCACTGGACAGAAGAAGCGCGATCGCGTCGCTTAGCATTCAAAGCTTGAGTCTCAAACTCAAAGCAATTCGGAATTCGAATACAATAACAATCTGAAAATTGATCTGAAAATCCCAATTTAATTTTAGTTAGTATTCTTATAAATCTTTTATTCGATTATAATGTTCCACGTAAAAATTGAAAACGATTTTCTCAGGTAGATTCTTCGAGGAAATTAACATCAGTTTTGTGAGTATCGTGAAAAATTCATACCTTAAGATATATCTTAATGCAAATGGGATTTATTGCACTTGATCGAATGCGAATGTAAAAGACAAAGTTAAATTCGGATCACAAAATTGTTTTTGTTAAAAGCAGTAATCTTGAATCAGCGCGTTTGTAGAAAATTTCATCCCCATAACATACGATATATTCGCTCGTGATGATAAACGCGATTTTTCAGTTAATTATTTTTAAAAACTGTCTATCCGAATTTTTCAAAAATTAATGAAAGATGTTAATGAATGCGTTAGCGATCGCATTATGTCTGATGTTACATTAAATATCACAGACGACAAATATGTTTTTGTCAAAACAGAGAAACTTTTTATATAACCCAGATAAATATCGCGATAAACAATGAGAGAGTTTGATATATTCGTCAATTTTAATTCAACTAGTATCTATTAATATTCAAAATTATAAATAAAAAATATTAGCATTATCTCCTTCACATAGCATACATATCCAAAAGACGTCCAGAAGATATCCCGAAGACATCGTTGGGCGATTGGACATTTTTAGAATGTCCTCTAGATGTTGTTAAAACAGATTACGTTGTACAATCTAATATTATGTAATATTAAGCATATATTGTGAAGCATAAAAAGCATAACAAAATTTACAAACATATTAATTATTCGCATCTTTGTCTCAGACAACAAATCGACATGGAACGTGTCTCTTACCGGAGAAGAAATTTTTAGAAAGAAATTCGCTCCTAACTGATCTCTACGAGATCACGCACATTCGCACGGTTTACAATATATTTATGATGACTTTTATACTACTTTTTCTCGACACCGCTGTACATGATATCATAGAATCTGGAACGTAAGCAAAATTATTAATTTCGATGTCTAGTAGTATGTAAAATTAATGATCCATAAAATCCGTATTTAAAATAATAAATTTTTGCCTTATATATTTTGCATTTTCTAACAATATTAAACTTTTTATATGTGTATTATGATGCTGTTTAAAAACTTGGTGTGAATTTAACTTAATGATCGGATAAATTCAAAATCGGTTCGTTTACTTTTAACAAAAATTTAAAAAATTAAAGAAAGGAATTATTGTTTATCAAAAATTTTCAACACACAGTACATATCATTTAATTAAATTAATAAATAAAATTTTATCAAATTTTAAAATATTTTTTTTTATTTAATTTTCTAGAATAAAAGAAAAAATGAAAAAATAGAAGTGTATTTAATTATGATTAAAATACCTATAGAACATTAAAATTGATTGAAAAGAATTTTATTCTTTATTTTCCATTATAAAAAATTTACTTGTTAATTGTTTGCAATTTAATTAAGACCGAGATATTAATTCTAAATTTTATCTAAAAAATATAAAAATTTGTCTTGCGATAAGTTCTATAAATATATGATTACGTTAAATATATAACTTTATACATTTTTGACAAAGAATTACGGTTAATCTGAAAAACAAAGTTATCACTTTAAATAAATGACACAACAAAGGCAAAATCATTACTATCATCTAAAAGACTATTGGCATATTAATTAAGATATTTAAAGTTTATTACAAAATTGCATAAAATTTCTTATTTATATTTATTTTATTACTAATTTATATTTATTTAGGTTGGTCCTCGGAACCGTCACGATACGTAATGGTTTCGCGAAATTACCGACTTGTTTGTACATTTGGTCGCTCATGCTAATCTCGACATTCGGTGTTTACGTTGCATTCAATTTCTAGTCTTCTCAACGATTACGGTATTCGTCAAAATGTAATGATTTCTTTAATTTGCTTTCTGTTGTTATGTTCGAATAAAATTAGAAAAACTTTCAAGAACAAAATAATTTAGAAAGAATTAATCGATATAAAAATTAGATATACAAATTGCTTATTTCTGTAGAAAGTAATAAAATTATTGAACGGTTGTTTTACTCTGTAACGTAATATTAATAACAGTATAGCATAAAAGTGTAATATAATTAATACAATCCAATATAACCATAAAAATTATCAAATCATTTCGATTAAAATAATATTTATAATTCCATTCTTACAGCTCTGGCCCGGAAACTATGGGATTACAGTTGGCTGACAATCTTCATAATTTATCAAGTTCTTCTTATAATTATTCCAAACAGAGCGATGATTAGAGAGAATTTAGGCTGCTATAGCTTGCAATATCATCATAATTATGGAACAAGTATATAAAATTTTAATTCTATTCAAAGTTTTTTCGATATAACATATTTTTGACACTAAAAAGACTCTATAATAATATTAGAGAAATAATACTAATATATAATAATATTATAAAAATTGAATTTCTTATGCATAATATTAAAAATTAAAATATGTAAATAAATGTAACAATGATTTTTTTCACATAAAAACGGATATTTCTTTTTTCAGTTACGTATGATAATGAAGAATCACGCTTTCGTTAGAAGTGTGACACCTAGATTTCACTCATATAAACCCCATAATGATGTTTTACCACCGAACGTACCCCGATTTTCCCATTATTTGTATTTCCTGTTCGCGCCGACTCTTATATACCGCGATGAATATCCGAGGTAAGGAATCTGTTAGCATTTTCGAAAAAAAAACGAAATGTATTGGAGATTTCTTTAAGAAATCCTTTTAATAATCTAAATTATTAATTCTGAAACTAAATTTTTCGTGTACACTTAATAATATTGCTTTTGATAGAGTTGTATATTAATATAAAATAAAAAACTTTCGAAGCATTTTAAAATATATTTAAAAAAGTATTTAGAAAAAAATTCTTAATCTTTTCCAATAATTTTTGAACTTTTAGATCAATTACAATAAACGGTATCTCGATAATATATTACTATTTCGGCAATATTAATTGAAAAATTCAAGAATGCACGTTTTATTTATCAGGACGAAAAAAATCAGATGGATGTTTGTGTGTCAACATTTCGCCGAGGTCGTTCTAGTGATATTTTATTACACCTTCATTCTGGAGCGCTTAGTGGCGCCTGTCTTTCGAACCTTCGACACATGGCCTCTGGAATCGACGTGGTTCATCAAGATTATTATCGAAGCGAGTTTTCCCGGGTTCCTTTCCTTCAGCTCAAACTATCTTCTGCTGCATGCGTGGATGAACGCCTGGGCCGAGATGCTGCGATTCGCCGACCGATTGTTTTATAAGGCAAATCTCAATCATACGATCGTCAAATTATCTCTAATGAAAATGTCTTGCGAGGTAGAAAAATTGTATAAACTATTCATCGGTTGCAGGATTGGTGGAATTCCACATCCTTTCCTATGTGGAATCGTACGTGGAACGTGGTAGTACACGACTGGCTCTACACGTATCTCTACAAGGACATGTATGAGATCGTGGTACCACGCAACAAGCCGTTGGCAATCTTCACTGTGTTTCTCGTATCTGCAGTTTGTCACGAATATATAGCCATGTTTGCTTTACGTTTCTTTTATCCGGTGATGTTGATCCTATTCAGCGGCCTCAACTTTGTTCTGGTGCTTAGCAACATAAGCTTCAACAACATTACCATGTTCATGATCTGCTGCCTCAGCAATGGCATCATAACGAGCACTTACGCGGTATATTATACCAATTATAACTGTTTGTCCTATTCCAACTATTATACCGACTTGCTTCTACCGCAAAGTTGGAACTGTCAGCGTGAATGAGATTAAAAAAAAAATAAAGAAATGAAAACGAACAAAATTGAGAAAGTCAATAATAATGCACACATTTCATCGAATAAAATGATACTTCATTTTTCTCATTTGAGTGAGAAGTTCAAGTGTGGCGATAATCGATAATACGCAAACATGGAAAATCTCAATTAAAGAAATTTTACCAGACACATTAAAGTCGCATATTTCTCTATAGCTATTTTACTTATTTTATTCTTTTTCAATATTTATAAATGCAAAAATACAAAAAAACTGTATATGACAACATTTTTCGAAAATATATTTTAGTTAATGCACTATGCTTCCTATTACTGATTTTATGTGGTTTTCTAAGTTCAAAGTGCCTCCCAATGATATTAATCGATGAATATGTACGTTATATATAGAGTCGATTTGCAAGTACTTTATAGTACCTACAAAAATGTGAATAATTTCTGTTACTTAAATTCCATACTTGGTTTTTGGCAAAGAATTTGGATGTCCTGGTGCGGCGGGATGATTGCGATTAAAGAGGCCGAAAGCCCTCCTTGCAATCACCGCGTGTGTGTGTTTGTACATATACATTTGTGATATTTTTTTATTGTATTAAATTGTATGTTTTTCTGTGTTCTTTGCTGCTATTTTCTATGTTTCTTGTTTCGAGAGCCATTTTTAATTTCAAATTTGTGTTTAGATAGTAAAAATACGTGAGAATTGGATATTCTTACCCATTATTTTATATAGGTACGTTTTCAAAGGTTTATTGATTTTTCTTTTTTCAATTTGCGAGTCCGACTGCCATTTTTAAGTTTCATATTCGTATTCAGGAGGTAAAAATACATAGGAATTGGATATTCTTACCCATTATTTCATATAAAGGTGAGTTTTCCGAAGGTTTACCCATATATTATATACAAAATGTTATATAATTCTAGTATTAGGATTATATATTTTTTCTTTTTCAAGATGAAGCGAAGTTCACTTATATTTATATTTAACCTTAACTTATATTAATATCCCTAGTTAAGAGTGAATTTTGCTCTTCTCTCGATAAATGTATTCATTAATATATGTATTCATCAATTCATTAAGTTCATTAACTTATGAAACTTCTTTTATTCATAACTTTTAAATAAACAACGATCGCCGACGAACCTTTTGAATATTATTTGTTAGACATCACCTTGATAATATATATCATGATTAAGATTATCCAAGGTGACTCCCTTAAGCTATATAAATTCATCTCCAGAGTTCTCTCTTATCACGAATATCAAAGCCTCCCTCGTCTTAAACGATAGCTAATACTCCATCCATTTATTCAGATGATTCAACGGATAGAGCTGTTTGTTACTCATAAGCAGTAATTAGTTCAATTAATATTTTACACCTAAGTGTTAAGTTAAAATTAAAATTCGGGTTTTTCTTGCCACCTGCCTGTTCTTGCCACTTGCTAATATAAATTAATATCTGCATTTTTATTGATAATACATGGTCTATTGTACATTATTTAGTTTATTATTTTGTTATAGCAATACTTGCTTATAATATTAAAAAGATATACACCTGCAGAGTGTTACATTACTTCAATTTCCTCTTAATTTGTTTACGATCAAACGGCAAAGATACGCATTGACAAAAACCGAGCGTGCACAGTTACTGTAAATTTACATTGATGATTTGGCACAAAACAGCAGTGAACAGAAGAAGCGCAATTCTTATAAGTATTTTGTTCAATTATAGTATTACGTAAAAATTGAAAACAATTTTTTCAAGTAGATTATTCGATGAAATAAACATCAGTCTTGTGAGTCGAGTGAGTCGCAAAAAATTTGCATCTTAAGATATATCTTAATGCAAATTGGTTCTATTACACTTGATTGAATGCGAATAAAAGTGACAAAGTTAAATTTGAATCGCAAAATTGTCTTTGTTAAAAGTAATAATCTTGAATCAATGCGTTTATAGAAAAATTTGATCCTCATAATATACGATATATTCGCTCGTGTATGATAAGCGCGCTTTTCCGGTCAATTATTTTTCTAAAAATTGTCTATCCGAATTTTTCAAAAGTTAAAAATAGATGTTTATGATTGCGTTAGCGATCGCATCATGTCTGGTATTATATTCAATATCACAGACGACAAAAAAAAAATGTCTTTGTCAAAACAAAGAAACTTCTCATATAATTTAGATAAATATCGCCATAAACGATGAGAAATTGATTTATTCGTTAAATTTAATTCAACTAGTATCTATTAATATCCGAAATTATAAATAAAAAATATTAGCATTGCTTTTCGCTCATAACATGCATATCCAAAAGATATCCGGAAGATATCCCAGACATCGTTGCACAATTGAATATTTTTAGAATGTCATGTAAATGTTTTTTAAACAGATTGCATTGTGCAATCTAATATTATGTAACATTAAGCGCATATTGTGATAAAAACACAACAAAAAAAGCATAAAATTTCCAAACACATTAATTATTTGTCTCATCTTTGTCTCATTGTCAGACAACAAGTCAACATGGAAGGTTACCGGAGAAGAAATGTTTAGAGAGAAATTCGCTGCTAACTGATCTCTACAAGATCACGCACATTCGCATTACAAATTTCGATTTACAATATATTTATGGTGACTTTTATACTGCTTCTTCTCGACACCGCTGTGCATGACATCAAAGAGTCTGGAACGAAGCAAAATTATTAATTTCGATGTCTAGGACGAAAAAATAAATGTTTCGTAAAATCTATATTTAAAATAATAAATTTATGCCTTATATTTTGCATTTTCTAATATTAACAATATTAAACTTTTTATATGTGTATTATGATGCTGTTTAAAAACTTGGTGTGAATTTAACTTAATGGTCGGATAAATTCAGAATCGGTTCGTTTACTTTTAACGAAAATTTAAAAAATTAAAGAAAGGAATTATTGTTTATCAAAAATTTTCAACACACACAGTATACATATTATTTAACTAAATTGACAAATAAAATCTTATCAAATTTTAAAACATTTTTTAAATTTAATTTTTGAGAAAGAAAGAGAAAATAAAGAAATAATATTGAATTTAATTATGATTAAAATATCTATAAAAAATTAAATTTAATAAAAAGAATTTTATTTTTTATTTTCCACTATAAAATTTAATTTTCTTTTTAATTGCTTGCAATTTAATTAAGACGAGATATTCATTCTAAGTTTATCTAAAAAAATGTAAATATTTGACTCGCGATAAGTTTTATAAATATATGATTACGTTAATATATAATTTTATACATTTTTAACAAAGAGATTATGGCTTATCTGAAAAACAAAGTTATCGCTTTAAATAAACAACACTAAAACAAAACCATTATCATCATCTAAAAGACTATTCGCGTACGTGTTAAGACGATAATTAAGATATTTCTAGTTTATTACAAAATTGCATAAAATTTCTTATTTATATTTATTTTATTACTAATTTATATTTATTTAATTATGTTGGTCCTCGGAACCGTCACGATACGTAATGGTTTCGCGAAATTACCGACTTGTCTGCACATTTGGTCGCTCATGCTAATTTCGACATTCGGTGTCTACGTTGCTTTCAATTTCTGGTCTTCCCAACGACTACGGTATTCGCCAAAATGTAATGACTTCTTTAATCTGTTTTTCGTTATTATGGTCGAATAAAATTAGAAAAACTTGCTTCAAAGAACAAAATAATTTTGAAAGAATTAATCGAGAAAGAAATTAGATATACAAATTGCTTATTTATGTAGAAAGTAATACAATTATTGACCGGTTGTTTTATCCTGTAATGTAATATTAATCCCTAAAGAAATTACTCTTTTAAAAAAAAGGTAAAAAAGGTGCTAAGTCCGCGTAAAAAACAATATATGTATTTGCAAAATAATGTATTATTAACTGTAAAAAACTACTGTATTGTATATCCTACAAAAATAATGATATTAAAAAAATTGCGCTAAGTGAAAATAAAAACTTATAAAAATACTTTAACCAAAAAAAGTTATACAAAATAGTTGTTTTAATTTTCTACATTATATCCTAGAAAAATAATGATATCCAAAAATTACGCTAATTGAAAATAAAAACTTAAAATATTTTAACTAAGAAAAATTGTACAAAATAATTATTTTAATTTCCTACAAATAATATTAAAAAGTTGCGCCAACTGAATAAAAATTTTCATTATAAAATATACATATTTCTTTTTTATTTTCAATATTAAAAGAAAAATGATATTAAATGAATTGTAATATATCTATTATAAAAAATCGTTGAAAATATGAACAATCATATACATTGCAATAATCATATGCATATATCCTGAAAAGTTTAATTAAAAAAAAAAAAGAAAATGATAATACAAAATACAAAATTAAAAATTAATAAAAAAAATTAAAAATTAGAAATTAATAAAAAAATAAAAATTTATATAAAAATTAAAAATTAATACATATAAAAAAATTTTAGTTAAAAAACTTAGCGCTGCTACTTTCATTAGCACATTGTTCAGCGTAGCAGCGCTAAGTTTTTTAACTTAAATTTTTTAAAAGAAATAAACATTTCTTAGCTCGAAGTGATGATAATTGAGAAATAATCTATTAAGTTATCACAAGAGAGAAGCGCTTCGTCATTAAGGTCATTACATATTTTTCTTTAAATGTTTCGACATTCATGACTAATGGAATGCGGGCAATCTGTCTCGAGTATCGATGAGAATCGGTTCGACCGACAAATTGTCGATCATTTTTTTATCTGAAAATAATAACGGGCGTGACACTATCACTGTTGTAGTTCGTGAAACGTTATTTTATATTTATGTAGAACGAGATAAACTCAATCTGTTGAAAAAAACCTCGGAGAACACGTTGCAAGCTAATCTCTTCTCCGTTGCAGAGCAAAAATAAAAGAGAAAAAACATAAAGTATGTATGTACCTGTACAAAATTAGCCCCGTACTTTTTGAATTTCGTGTTTTCATAAATTGTGCTGCACTGTGTGCTACGTTTGTGCTAATTGTGATAATTTGTGCCGCAAATCGCAGCACAATAATTTGAACTATATTCGAGAAAATTAAAAAAATAAAATTTAATAAAAATAAATTTAAAATATTTAATAAAATAAAAATAAAATTTTTAGCCCCGTACTTTGTCCCAATCGAGTTCAATTTTTTTTAACAAATTGACATAAGTTTGTGCCGTAATGTGCCGTTAAGCAAACTTTGTTACCTTATTCCGTATAACTAAAAAAATTCATAACTTTAAAAACAATGATACTACATAAAGCATTTTGTATAGCATTAATTGAATTTATGATTCTGTTATATTGTCTTCATAATTAGAGAGGATAAACTGATAATAATTATAAAACTAATTTGATGAAATTTTAAAATTTGAAAACTTGATGAACATTTAAAATTTAAAAATTAATATGATTTAATTTTTTCATTCCTCTTTTTTTAGTAAATATTTAATTAAACTAATCAAATATAAGAAAAACATAAATGAAGATTATTATGTTCGTTTCTAATATATTTTAAATAATTTTATCAAAATTAAATTATAAATTCTTGACATATAAATTTATTACACTCAATATTATACACACACACATATACACAATCTCATTCTTTTAATATACATCCGCATATAAATGTATGAAATATAAAATGTGTGAGACAAAATACATATGTGTATACGTTTATGTATCCACATATATGTTATATTGTATTTGTTATGTTGTATTATATTTATATGCGGATGAATGTTAAGAGAAGAGATTGTGTGTGTGCAACAATGAGTAGTTAATGAGTATTATAATATATGCAATAAATTTATATGTCAAGAATTTATAATTTAATTTGATAAAATTATTTAAAATATATAAGAAACGACTATACTCGGTATTCAAGTATTTTTTTTATATTTCACATTTCATAAACATACACACACGCACACACACACACACACATATATATATTTATTTATTTAGTTATTTATTTATTTATTTATACACATAAAACACAATGTGGAATATAATATAGATACAATTTAAAACAAGGAAATTTTGAGTGCATAATCAGTGCAATAAATTTATATATAACAAATTTGCATTAAATTTTACGCTATAATATATTGTTAGAGTCATTTAAAATATTGAAAAAAAACGTAATGTATTTTCTTTGTTGATGTAAAATATATATAATTATTTCTGTTTTTTAACAAAAGATTTCTGATTTTCTGAAAAAAGAGAAATTAATATTATCGTAAAATAATATCCCGAGTGTAAATAACTATTACGTAATATAATTTTTATATCATTTTTGCATAATTTTTATATTCTTTCTTCATATATATATATATATATATATATATATATTCTTATTTATATTATATATATTCTTCTTTCGAGTTTACATATTTTTTTAATATCAATACAAAAGAAAAATTTCTTTTAATATTAATACAGTTGAAAAATTACGTCATGCATTTGACCTGCATTCACATGTTCATAGTTTTCTACGTGAATACAATCCGAACAAGTAACGCACTTGAACGAGCCAATTAGTAGCTTCAATCATTCTATATTGCTAATTAAATTGCTGATTAAAGCAATGTCAAAGCGATAGCATTGTTTTCAAAGTCAAATCCGTGCGTCATTTGTTATCAGAACGAAATTATGTGTGTGTATTACATGAAAATTAAATATATAAAATTCTGAAAATAAAAGTTGAATTGAAATAAATATTAAGTTAAATAGAAGATATAGAAAATATAAAATTGTATAATTAATACAATTTTAATTAGTACAATTTGATAATAACTTTTATTAAATACACAAATTTAATCTGTTGTACGAAAGAAGAGATTTCGAAAATGGAGTGTGTTAATAATCTTATAACACGACTCAATGGATCATCTCGAACATCAAACGTGATGGATAATTTTGAGCATACAAAATGTGGAAAATTACTGCAAACTAAATTTCACGTAAGTCTTTGAAAACTATTAGATATATAACAAAATTATTAGAAACAAGTAAACTTATAAAACAATAATGTAAAATTAATTTGTGCCTGTTAATATTACTTCATTTCATAGCATAATGAACAGAAAAATGACGTGCCGGTTGATGACACAGGCAATCATGACACATATTACTATGCCAATTGCAACTCTTCGCTGTGGACGAGGAACTGCCAAGAGGAGGTGATCGAACCCTTTCAATCGAGCGAAATCACTGGCAGTATCCCCGAGTGGTTGACGGGCACCCTGTTGCGGAATGGTCCGGGTAATCTGAAAGTGGGCGAATATCATTATCAGCATCTGTTCGACAGTTCAGCCCTATTGCATAAGTACACTTTATCTTAAAGTATAACATAGTAAGGACTTTGGATGGATGGCGACATTAATTGATACACGAATAAATTTCACAGATTTCATATCGCGAACGGAAATGTCACCTATCAACGACGGTTCATCCAAACTGAAGTATATAAAAGAAATATGGCCGCACAGAGAATAGTTTTTACCGAGTTCGGTACTTGCACGACTCCGGATCCTTGTCAAAGTATTTTTCAAAGGTAAAAGAGAAAAAGAAAAAAAAGAAAAAAAGTAAAATTAATTCTGATTAACACATAGATATCAGACAATTAATCTGTACAAAATTATTTTTTGATTTCTCGTAGTGCTTTATATAAATTATATAAATTTTATATAAATTATGTATTTTTTTCTCTTATTATAAAATTTTTCTTTTAAAGTATCTTCTTTCTTCTCTGATTTTTCAGGATAGCCACTGTATTCAAATCAAATGAGAAGTCGGACAATTCTATGATCTCGGTGTATCCCTTCGGTGATGAATATTACACGTTCACAGAAACACCAGTGATGCACAGAATTGATCCGAAGACTTTAGAAACAACAGGCAAGGTAAAAACATTCAAATTTATATTAATTTCATAAATATAATTTATATTAATTTTATTATTATTAATAGAATATTATTTATTTCTTAATAAAATAAAATAAAATAAATTATAGTTTAATAAAAAATAAATTTTTTTTTCACAAATATTTTTTTGGTAAATGTTTTTTTACGTCACACAGCTCGAAAAATTTTTATTTTCAGATATGTTGTAGAGGACACATTCCTAAGTAATACACCGTTTAAATTTTGTGGCGCTCTCTCTTCGTTCCGTAAAGTAAACATTTACCATTTTTTTTCATTCACAGGTAAACATATCGAAATATATTAATATTGTAAATCATACTGCACATCCTCATATTATGGCCGATGGTAGAGTTTATAATGTAGGACTGAGTGTTACGCCATTTGGACCTCGATACAATGTCGTATGCTTTTATCCTAATCGCGTCAGTACTGGTAAGATATTTTTTTATATAAATAAGTGTAAATTTTTTTATATAATAATATTTATATAATAAATAATATTTTTTTATATAATAATATTTATATAATAAATAAGTATAGTATAAATAAGTGGTGGTCACTCTATTTCTGGACGAAAAAGATATGTAGAATGCACTGCAGTCGAAATCAGTAATCGCAAAAAATTAATTTTTTATTCGGTAGAGAATTTTATAAATTTTAATTGCTTTTCTTAAATTCTTAGAAAAAGAGACAGACTAAAGAGAAATATTATTGTTGAGCCAAATATTTAAATCCTATAATTTGAACAATTCTGTAGATGATTCCGGAGAAAAGAAAGAATTGTCCATGTTCGATCAAGCAACAATCGTTGCCAGTGCACCAAGCAGATGGTTGTTGAATCCATCATACATGCACACTTTTGGCATCACCGACAATTACTTCATCATTGTGGAACAACCGCTGGCTATGTCCTTCATCGGAATGATGACCACTCACTTAAAAAGAGAACCGATGATAAATTGTTTCAAATGGCATGAGAATGAAAACGTATGTTTATTGGTAAAAAAATGTAATTAATTATATTATTAACAAAAAAAGATTTAAATATATTTAACTTTGATTATTAGACGCTTATTCATATTATCTCGAGAAAAACGGGTCAACTAATAAGAACTTTCGTCGCGGAGACATTTTTTTATTTTCACATAATCAATCAGTTCGAGACCCGCGATGGAGAATACGTCGTGCTTGACATATGCTGTTATCGGGATGCAAAGATATTGGAATATATGTATATTGATGCGTTGAAGGTATTTGCATAATTTCTGCCAGAAAAACATTTTTTACGAAACACTAATAAATTTTTAATTTTTAAATCACTCTCTTCTACTAACGAATTATGATATACATAGAATATGCACGGAGACATCGATTTCGCCAGATTGACTCGCGCCAGACCGTTGCGTTTCGTACTTCCGATGAGAGAAGTGCATCCTGACACAACATCGGACTGCAATCTCATTACAATTAAAACGGTGCATCAGAGCTTACAGTTATTTCAGGATGTAATCAGTATCGATCATAAGACAAACCTCGAGATCATTGACGATGCAGACAACATGGAGAATAGTGACAAATCCAGATACTGGCGAGATGAACGCAGTGCTTTACGAAAGAAATCAGTCGCTCACTTTCTCGATGGCAAGATCTTTGTAAAGCCGGAACTTCTTTGCGACGTAGGTTGCGAAATTCCGCGAATTAATACGGATTTTCATCTTGGTAAAGAGTACCGGTACTTTTACGCGATCTCCTCTGACATGGACATAGACAATCCTGGAACGGTTAGTATATTCCTCGAATTTCTAAAGTATACTAAGTTTCACTTCCTTTTATAATTAAAGCACGACGAGAGAGATGTGCGAACTACTTTTATTTGCTATAAAAATTAATTTGACTTGTAGCTAATAAAGGTCGATACTTTCCAAAAGACCAAGAAAATGTGGCAAGAAAAAGGTATTTATCCAAGCGAACCAATTTTCGTGCCTAATCCAAACGGAAAGGTATTATTTATGAGCTTTCTTTGTACGGAAAAAATAAAAATAATTCCATTATTTTATTCTCTCTTGCTTTCTCTATCTAGAACGAGGATGACGGTGTGGTTGTAAGCTCTATGATATGGACGGAACAGGAGAATCGCGTCGGTCTGTTAATCTTGGATGCTGTGACATTTACGGAAATCGCAAGAGTTACTTTCGATACACCTGGACCAGTGCCTAAATGTTTGCACGGTTGGTTCAGTCTGGATAAGTAATCGAATATAAAGAAAATTATCGATTAAACACATAAAATTTTGTTTAATTAAAAGACTTCGGAAATAAGCAAATCTTCTATCATTATTAAAGTAGTGGAAATTGCAACAAATTGTTTTTATTTGTGGTTGTAAATGTAATTATCTTTTCGAAAGTAAGATAAAATGGATATCAAATATAATGTATATGTATATGAAAAAATTATTGCGTCGTAAATTAAAATAAAACGAATTAAGTCTCATCAAATTTATAGTCAAATCTTATCCTAATTATTACTTAACATAATTATTGTACATTTACCGAAAATCACACAGATACATAGAAAAAAAATAAGTGTTACATCAAAACTTATCTACTTAAACCAACGCATCCATTGTTTTGTATATACACAACAATTTATAATCTTCTTAAAAAAATTTAATAATTTTAAATTTCAACAATATTCAACAATATAATTATAATCTTATTTTAATATTATAATTGTCACCTCAAGAATATATAATTATTTAATTCTACTTCAAGAAAATTATAATCTTTGATTTAAAAATGTTATTTTCTATCTAACATTGTTTTTTCCCATTTAAGAAAATTAAATCTTAAATCATAAGAATATATTTTTCGTAATTGAACTATACAAAATGACTTTATTCGAGTAAGCAATTATTCAACAATTATATTTTTCTTTAATTAACGCAATAAAATCTCATTTCAAGAGTTCCATAATGAAATTAAATATATTTTCAAAACAAGAATGTTCTTTTTTTCTGTGTACAATCCGAACAAGTAACACACTTGAACGAGTCAGTTAGAAGCTTTAATCATTCTATGTTGTTAGTTAAGTTACTGAATATAGCAAAGCGATAGCGTTGTTTTTAAAGTCAAATGCATGCGTCAGAATGTCATTTGATATCGCGAACGATAACTTTTCCACACACAGAAGGAAATCAATCAAATATTATCAAATATTCGATTTTAAAGTCGCTCATATCGGAACTGGCGATTAATTATAACGTTAGAGCGTAGATGAGCAGGAGAAAGACGTGTAACCGAAATAAATTTCTTTTTACATAAAAATTAAATATATAAAACTCTGAAAGTAAAAGTTAAATCGAAATAAATATTATATTAAATCCAGAAGATTATAATTAATACAATTTCTATTAGTACAATTTGATAATAGTTTTTATTAAATACACAAATTTAATTTGTCGTACGAAAAAAGAAATTTCGAAAATGGAATGTGTTAATAATCTTATAACACAACTCGATGGATCATTATCTCATACGTCAAATGTGTTGGATAATTTTGAGCATACAAAATGTGGAAAATTACTGCAAACTGAATTTCACGTAAGTCTTTGAAAACCATTAGATATGTAACAAAATTATCAGAAATAGATTTATAAAAAATTTATAAAAAAGATTTATAATAGATTTATAATAAATTTATAAAAAAATTATATAAAATTAATTTGTGCCTGTTAATATTACTTCATTTCATAGCATGATGAACAAGGAAATGATGTAGCGGATAATGACACGGCAGGCGATCATGACACATACTACGCCAGTTGCTACTCTTCGATGTGGATAAGAAGTTGCCAAGAGGAAGTGATCGAGCCTCTTCCATCGAGCGAAATCACCGGCAGCATCCCCGAGTGGTTAACGGGCACCTTGTTGCGGAATGGTCCGGGTAATCTGAAAGTGGGCGAATACCATCATCAGCATCTGTTCGACAGTTCAGCCCTATTGCATAAGTACGCTTTATCTTAAAATATAACACGGTAAGAACTTTGGACAGATGATGACACCAATTGATATACGAATAAATTTTACAGATTTCATATCGCAAACGGAAATGTCACCTATCAACGACGGTTCATCCAAACGGAAGTATATAAAAGAAACATGGCCGCACAGAGAATAGTTTTTACCGAATTTGGTACTTGCGCGACGCCGGATCCTTGTCAAAGTATTTTTCAAAGGTGAAAGAGAAAAAGAAAAAGAAAAAAAGTAAAGCTAATTTTGATTAAAATATAGATATCAGACAATTAATTTGGAGAGAAAATTATTTTTTGATTTCTCGCAGTGCTTTACATAAATTATGTATCTTTTTTTCTCATTATGAAATTTTTCTTTTAAAATATCTTCTCTCTTCTCTCTGATTTTTCAGGGTAGCCGCTGTATTCAAATCAGATGATAAGATATTGGACAATTCCATGATTTCAATATATCCCTTCGGTGATGAATATTACACATTCACGGAAGCACCAGTGATGCACAGAATTGATCCGAAGATTTTAGAAACAATGGACAGGGTAAAAACACTCAAATTTTTATACTAATTTTATAAATTAATTTTATTATTGTTAGTAGAATATTACTTATTTACTAATAAAATAAAATATAGTTTAATAAAAGCTAATTTAATAAAAATAAATTTTTTTTCATAAAAATTATTTCTTTGTTTGTTTGCAGGTAAACATATCGAAATATGTTAATATTGTACATCATACCGCACACCCTCATATTATGGCCGATGGGACGGTTTATAATGTAGGAATGAGTGTAACGCCATTTGGACCTAGATACAATGTCATATGCTTTTATCCTAATCGCGTCGCTATTGGTAAGATATTTTTTATAAGTAAGTGGAAATCGTAATATTTCTGGAAGAAAAAGATTTATAGAGTCAACTGTCGAAATTGATCGAAGTGATCGTGTAGAAACATTAATTTTTTATTGAAAAGAACTTCATAAATTTAATAAAAAAGAAACAGATTGAAGAGAGTTATTATTGTTGAGTCAAATATTTAAATCTTATAATTTGAACAATTTTCTAGACGATTCCGGAGAGGAGAGAGAATTGTCCATGTTCGATCAAGCAACAATCGTGGCTAGTATACCAAGCAAACGGCTGTTGAATCCATCGTACATGCACTCTTTTGGCATCACCGACAATTACTTCATCATTGTGGAACAACCACTGGCTATCTCCTTCACCAGAATGATGTTCACTCGCTTAAAAAAAGAACCAATGATAAATTGTTTAAAATGGCACGAGAATGAAAGTGTATGTTTTCATATTGGTAAAAAAATTATAATAAATTACATTATTAATAAAAGAAAATTTAAATGTATTTAATTTTTATTACTAGACGCTTATTCATATTATCTCGAGGGAAACGGGTCAACTAGTGAGAACTTTCATCGCGGAGACATTTTTTTATTTTCACATCATTAATCAGTTTGAGACTCGCGATGGGGAATACGTCGTGCTCGACATATGCTGTTATCAGGATCCGAAAATATTGGAGCATATGTATATTGATGTGATGAAGGTAAGCATTTGTATATTTCCTGTTAGGAAAGTGTTTTTCACGTAACACTTATAAATTTAATTTTCAAATCATTTCTTGTACCAATGAATTATGATTAGAACATGCACGGAGACGCCGATTTCGGTAATTTGTTTCGCGCCAGTCCGCTGCGTTTCATACTTCCGATGAAAGAAGTGCCTTCTGACACAACATCGGACTACAATCTCATTACACTTAAAACGATGCATCAGAGCTTACAGTTATTCCAGGATATAATTAGTATCGATTATAAGAAAAACCTCGAGATCGTTGATGATGCAGACAACATCGAGAATAGTGACAAATCCAGATACCGCCGAGATGAACACAGTGCTTTGCGAAAGAAAGCAGTCGCTCACTTTCTCAATGGCAAGATCTTTGTAAAACCGGAACTTCTTTGCGACGTAGGGTGCGAAACTCCGCGAATTAATACGGATTTTCATCTTGGTAAAGAGTACCGGTACTTTTACGCGATCTCCTGTGACAAGGACATGGACAATCTTGAAGCGGTTAGTATATTCCTCGAATTTCTAAAGTATACTGTGTTTTACAATTAAAGCACGATAAAGATATGCAAACTATTTTTATTCATTTAAATAAAATTAATTTGACTTGTAGCTGATAAAGGTCGATACTTTCCAAAAGTCCAAGAAAATATGGCAAGAAAAGGGTGTTTATCCGAGCGAACCAATTTTCGTGCCGAATCCGAACGGAAAGGTATTATCTATGAAATTTCTTTGTACGAAAAAAATAAAAATAGTTCCATTATTTTTTATTCTCTTTTGCTTTCTCTATCTAGAACGAAGATGACGGTGTGGTTGTAAGCTCTATGATATGGGCGGAAAAGGAGACTCGCGTCGGTTTGTTAATCTTGGATGCTGTGACATTTACGGAAATTGCAAGAGTTACTTTTGATACACCTGGACCAGTGCCTAGATGTTTACACGGTTGGTTCAGTCTGGAAAAATAATATAAAGAAAATCATTAATTAAACACATAGAATGTTGTTTAATTAAAAGACTCCGGAAATGATTAAATTTTCTATCATTATTAAAGTATTGAAAGTCGTGACAAATTGTTTTTATTTGTGCTTGTAAATGTGATTATCTTTCCGAGAGTAAGATATATATATAAATATATATATATATAAAATGGATATCAAATATAATCTATATGTACGTGAAAAAAGTAATATGTCGTAACTTGAAATAAAACAAAGGCCTCATCAAATTTATAGTCGAATCTTATCCTCGAATATTATACTATATCTACTATATCTATCGAGAATCATGTAATAATATCGTATACATTTTAAAAGAACTTTTTCTTTGGTGATTGTTAATTTTTAGAAAAGTGGTATCTAATATATATACAATATTATTAAATATGGATATAATAAATTATTTAATGTTTTTTCGTGATGTATATAATGTATTTACAACGAAAAACAGTGTCATCGCGTATAACGCGACGATGCGACATAATGTACAATCTAATGAAGTGAAAAATTTGTTCAATGGAATGTAAAATATGCATTAAATATCGCCAAAATCGAATCTAATTATAATAGTAAGAAATATCGATAAAACATGACACGTTGTCTCTGTTATGCAAAATTACTAAAATGATAACTTTGCAACATACATAATATTTATCTAATGCTCTAATGTTCTAATTGTCTAATAACGAATTATGAGAAAAATATTCATTCTGATATACATGAAATGCTGAAACCTGAAATACTTTAGAATATAATCTTAAAATTCCTTGAAAATTTGTAGGATTATATTCTACAAATTTTCACATGCTAATTGGATTTTTAATAAGAAAATTCACGCGCTTGATTTCCGCAAGTTGAATAATTGTATTCTACAAGAATAAATGCAAGTTAAAAAATTACTCTTAGAATAAATCCAATAGGTAGTTAAAACATTCTTCTCGATTGTTATGTTACGTAAGTATCGCGTAAATGAAAGAGAATTGTGTTGTTTTTCCTCACCAAGTTTGATCTATAACTCAATGATTTTATCTTAAATAACATTAATTAACAATTATATTAATAAATAATAGTCTGGCACAACCATGGTCAAAAAATTTCTAGCTAAGGGAGCATTGGCATAAAATTCCTGAATAATCTTACAAGTAAAATTAACATTGGTTCGCAATATAAATTATGCATTTCATGTCCCGGAAGAAAGTGCAGTGTTGCGCTGCATTTGGCACTTTGAATCACTTTCGCTCGGCCGAGACTCTTGCATTTGAAAAAAAAAAGAAACTTGCCTTACATAACAGTAGATTTGTGATTCACAGCATATTCCTAAACATATATTCTTAGCTTGAATCTTCAATTAAGATTTGACTCGTTATAATTGGTGTTTAACAAAAGGCGCGATTCATTTGTTGTGTTGATTACAATTTGACAAATATTTCGAACATTATTATCGCATTTCAATGGAGTGATTGATTTTCTGAATTCTTATATGTCATATTTGAATATATATATATGTATGCGCGTATATTATCTTACAATTACTTAATTAAATATAACGGAAAAATAAAAGTTCTCTCTCCATAATATTTCTTTCTATGTAAATCGTTTATCAAGAAACCGAATTTTGAATTTATTCAATAAAAATAATTTACAATTACGAACGTGAACAATGCCCTGCAATCATGTCAGTTAGTCATTATCATTTGATATTATGTTAGAATTAAATAAAATTTTCAGATTTGTCTCCTATTTAATACTATTTCGTACATTCGCATCTTTTCTTGAACTTTCTCGATATTTTGTTCACTTTAGATTTAAGTACGAGAGAGAAGTATTTAAAATTTAATATCGTTATAGGGGTATAACTTTAGGTCCATTGCTTTAATCGTACGAATAATCACGACAAGAAAAGAATAAGGATTAATAAGACAGTTCTCGCATTATTCAGGCCACATCGTGAAACGATGTGGCTATCACAAAGTTTTCACTTATCTCGGTTCGGCTCTTTTAAACTTTATCCACTTTCTCGCAGTCTACGGACCCTATGGAATTCATCGCATTGATGTTCTTATTACTCTCTGTATCCGTTTCACTCTTTGCCAGGCTAGAGATCGATTCGGCAATATGCGACTCAGGATGCATTGGTAGAATCCCGGCGTTCGCGTCTTCAATAGACTTTCTCAGCTACAAAATGAAATTTTTATTAATTTTACTAAATCTATTCGCCATTGTTTGTTTACTATTACTTTGTATAAAGTCGAGTGTTTTAGATATCATTTATACATTTAAATAAATCTTTATACATATACCTCCTTCAATGCGACGACGCCGATCAATCTGCCAATAGCCGTTACGTAAGCATGATTCACGCCGACCATGCTGAAGAGACTATGAACTTTCAGCAAAGACGTTCTCTCAACTAACTGAAAGGGAGCCGGATCAATGTGACACCTTGAGAAATCCACCTCTAGTGCCATTTCACTTTCCTCCCATCGTTTTTGATCCTCGGGCGACATGTCTATGACCCTTTCTCGAGGCTAATACACATGAAAAATGTGCAAACATTACTTCTTGTCTATAGAAAAAATAATTAGAGAGATATGTGCTCACCAATTGTACTTTCTTCGATGTTGCGGGGCTTGGAGCCAACATGGGTGTATGTGGCGGTACACTGATAACTTCCTGGCTATCGCTGCGCCTGGTACCGCTGCCCATCTCCGGATCGGGATCCACATCCTGCAACGTGGCAGATTTACGGAAGATCGCCTCGAATGCCAAACGTATCCTGGGATATGAATAATTATTAATATAATTATTATTTGGATTAATATTTCTCGCATATACATATGATTTAAGGACATAAGGATAGATTTAAGGACTTTAAAATTTAATTTTGCTAGTATATTTATTGAAAAAATAAAATCTTATGAAAGGAGACATATAAAAAGAACCAAAGTTTCTTATAATACGCCTTAAAAGAAAATAATAAATTAATGTAAATATATAATACCATAAAAAAAATAACTTGCCTGCTTTCCGCGCCTGTAACAGTCGTATAGGGTGTTACAGCCGGACTGACCAACGGACTGAATCCTTTTAAAGTGAAAGAATTCGTCTTCTTCAAGATTGACTTCTTCGGTTGCGAACCAAATATCGGTGAATGATATGTATTCTGAAGAAAATAAAAATAAAAAAATATATTAATTTTTCGAGGGAAATATAACGTGCAAAATAACAAAATGAAACAAGTATAAAAGAACGCTTTTGACGATAATACACGGTTCTGATTATCTATACATATATTGACGTCAAAGTCAACTGAACGAACGTGTGACTCACATGATCAGGACCGCCACCGTTGTTTGATGACATCGTTAGATCATTAACACTCTGCCGCTGCATCTTGAGAATGTCTGGTGCCGGAATGACCTCGAATCTGGAAGGCCTTCTCGTTCTCTCTTGTTCCCGCAGTTGCCGTTCCATTTCTTCCCGCGCCCTTTCCTCTGCCTCTTTATGCCATTTTTGTGCAACCTAAAATAAGTCAACAATAAATGTAAGTGAAATAAAATGAAGAATAATGTGAAACGAAAGTTCACATAAATTCTTGCGAGATGTTGAAAATTTCATTACCTGCAACCTCCTCTCACGACCGATATGTTTCTCAATGAGTTTGATTAACTGTAATCTCTGAATCGATCCAAGCAGTATCATGGAGTCCGGATTATCCACTAACGGAAACCCGCGAAGCTTGCGATTTTCCTTTAGTATATTCTTCAATTCTTGATAACTGATGCCGTGCCATATGTATTTCACGTCACGAACCATAAAATCCTCCACATAGATATTATACATTCCTACAATTAAGAGCCATTTTTAGGACCATAGTTTTCACAGTAAATTCGCAACAAATGCAGAATTATCTTACCAATCATTCCGAATTAAATGTTTTGCGAAATAATGGAATTAGTACAAAATTAATCGAGCGCATAAAAAATATTAATTTGTTAATTAGGAAAAGTTTGAAATAAATTAAATTAATTGAAAAAGAGAGAAAAAGAGAGATAGAAGAAGTACCTGAACTGGATGGCAACAAATCAGGCAAGTAAGGCAACTTCTTGATAAGAATGATGCTGTCATATATACTTGGCTGTAGGAGCGCGGCAATCGCATTGCTAATCAGCACCGCTATCATTATAGGCACAATGTGAGTGATCTGACCGGTCATCTCAAAGATGATGACACTGACGGATATTGTATGTGTCACTGCGCCAGAAAACGCAGCTGCACCCACTGTAGCGTAACCACCTATATAATCCAAATTCACGATATTCATAAATGTAACTTTTTCTTTAATTTTGCTTCCTTTTTTAAATTTGCTCGGCATAAAATATTAAACGATTTTTAATCGTCATTTTCACTATGTTCAATATATTTCAGCAACATGAGATAATTTTTAGTTCACATTATATTCTAGATATGTATATGTGTGTAATCCATTTTCTTTTTAATGCAAAAATAAATTTATATGTATAATAAATAGCTGGATGTGTTTAATTAAATTACCTGGTATAATGGGTGTAATTATTCCGCCATAACGCACACCAGTGGGAAACCAGAGCGCCATTGCTTCACCTACTGCTCTACCTAGTGCAGCACCGATCTTAAATACGGGGATAAAGATTCCAGATGGTACCGGCACCGTTGAACTTATGATAGAAAAGATGAACTGAAACCAAAATCTGTTTTTTATTTTATTCTTTTATTGTTTTATTATAATTAAATTTGAGAATTAATGGCACTTAATTAAAATCTCGATTAATTATGTGACATAAAATTATAAAAAAATGTCTTACGGTAACTAAAACAAAACTGAGAAGTCCGCTGAAAACATCAGTGTACGGCGTTGCCCAATGTTTCACGACATTCATTTCTTCGACGCCGAGATTTTCCTGAGTCCAAGTGAAATTAGTAAAGAGTCCGTAAACCTGATCGTGTGTATTTTGATCGCCGGCCATAAATTGACCGAGCCCCAGCGGAAATGATACAGATGAGACCAGAAGAGATACGATACCCGGATACAAAAAGCGACTAAAAATAAATTTTATATTTTAAATTTGCCATATATGGATATTATTATTACTATTAAAAAATCCTAATTTACGCGGGATTTCTCGAGTAACATACTTCTTCTGTAGAAAGCTGTTCATGCTTTTGTTCTTTCGCATGAAGATGACGTATTGTCTGTGCAGCCAAACATAGAAGGCGCCTAGCAGTCCGCTGCCGACGCCAATCAGAGCGAAGACGAAGAGCTCCTGCGGATCGAAGGGAAAGTCCATGGTGAAGTTGGTGGCGAACATTGCCGTGATGGTCTCCTCGCGCTGGAACCAGATCGCCAGCAGACGAAACATCGTGGCGCCGCAAACCGCGGCGAAGAAACCGCGCCAGTAGTTCCTCACCGCAAAGTACACCGTGGTGACCTCGATGCTGAAGAGTACACCACCGATCGGCGCCGCAAAGCAGGAGGCGACTCCTACAGCGCAGGCTGCGGCTAGCATCTCGCAGTTCCTGCTTTCGTTTTCGTAGATACCCTGAAAGCTCGTGACCAACTTGGAGAGTAGCGTCGCGACGATGCTGGCGATGTGTACAAATGGACCCTCCTTGCCAAGCGGTAGCCCCGATCCCAAGGTCGCCGTTAAGCCGATAACCTTTGGCATATCACGATCTTTATCGTTCCTGTTTTCATTTCGAGCGAATTCTGCGGCGCACTTTTCAGAGACTTAAAAAAAAAGTTTTAATACATAACTTTGACTCGCGTACCCTATTGCAGGATTAATTTTCTCGAGCTTTTAATGGATGGATTATGGATCATTATCGCGAACATATTTAACTAACCTTAGCGATCAAGGTACGAAAGGTCAGGTACTCCTTCAACGCTACTCCGCGTAGAATAGTTTTCATCTCCGGAATCCCAGAGCCAATACTTTGCGGCGCGACAATGTGTACGAAACCAGCACTGAAGAGAATAAGGCACACGGGCATGGACACCCAGGCCAAATACCTGAGAGCTGGATGCGTCGTAAGATCCTGATAGAGCCATATCCTGGCTGGTGAAACGGAGGACATCATGGGACAATCAATATCAAAGACGCATATTATCTTATAATATTTTAAAAAAGTCTTTCTGTTCCTTCAATTAAATTTATCGAATTTATCTTCGACACTCTGACAAATTAAAATTTTCAAATTTTAATTGCTTTATGATTTTCTATGCAAAGTATTTATTGCTTCGTAAATAATATAGGCACAAATTTTTCTTAATTTTCCAGAAAAATAATAAAATTTTTAAATTATAAAAATTTTGAAATAATAAACTTTTTCAATCATTTTATATATATATTTTACAACTAAAAATTATCTATATGTGTTCTCTATATGTGTATGAAATATTTAACATTCTTCCCTTAAAATGTAAGTTGCTAACTTAAAAACCTAATTTGCTTAAGTAGACTGACCGTTATTGCACATGGAGATTCCACGGTCCATGGCATAGCTAATGAGAGCCATAATAATCCCAAGGAGAGCTAGAAAGACCCAATCTTCGCCGAGTCGTGCACCGGTGTGTTTCCAAGCGAAGGCCAAAAGAGCTAACAATTTCCGGCACAGAGGACCCCGTCGAGACTTTCGCAGATCCTCGGCCCTCGTCTTGTCGTACTTTCGTCTCGCTTTATCATGATACTTGAGTCTGCGTGCCTCTTCCTTCGCGTACTCACCCAGATCCTTCGTATAGCGACCATACATCTGGAGGCAGCCGATTTCATATTATTTCGCTTGTTCATTCGGTCACCAATTAATCGATTCGCGCGCAAAACGAGGCACTTATTCTTGTCGGAATTGTTATTTTCAATCCACTTTAAATGATCCGTACAGAATTTTACATGAAACACCATCTGTAATTACGATGCCGCAAAATACAAATTTTTATTGAATTTATAAAAAGATATAAAAAGATTAACTAGTTAATATATCTCTAACATTTTCTGCTTATTTATGTTGAATCCAAAAATGTTATTCAAATTTTCCTATTACTTTTATGTTTGTTCAATAGCTGTGATACTTCGAAATATGTAATAAAGTAAAATTATATTTTCACAAAAGAGCGTTATTTATTTGTAAGAATAATGCATTTCCTCTTCATTTATTAAGTTTTTCTCGTAAAGAAAGGAAAACGAGATAAAAAACAAATGGAAATATAATATCCTTAAAAAAATATAATATATGCTCCCCCTTGATTTATCATCGATAGAATATTTAAGAGAGATAGATACAATTTTTCCGAAATATAAAAAAAATTCTGTGTCATTCATAGCTTTCTCAAACACCTTGAATATATGAAAACTTATCGATCAAACTTCAAGTATAATTCGTGTTTTTCACATGTAATTATTATCAATCAATAATCTGATGATTGATCTGGTTTCAATTTTGATAGATCTATTTTTAAAAATAATTGATATTTTATTCTTCATTCAAAAGTTGTCGATCAGTTTAATATTCTTTTACGATGTTAATTGACAAACAGAAAAATAATAGTGTGTAATGTGCAATTAAAAAGATTAATTTAAAACTAAAAATGTTTGAAATTTGATTATTTTCCGCATAGATATTTATCAAAACGAGCGTGCTTTTATCTTATCCATAAAATTACCGGATGTAGATTGATATATTCGATATTAGCGAATAATAACAAATTTCTTAGATAAAAATTCGATTAATTATACGAAGAACAATTAAAGAATTCACGTGATTGATCGCAGTTCATGCTATTTTTTTTAAATACAATATCCTATTTATTTATTTAATAAATCTGAAATAAACATTTGCAAACAAAAATTAATATTCAAGCATGCTAGAAATATCAAATTTACTAAGCATCATGATTGTCCGTATGTTGATTCATAATTATTAATTGTTTCCACGAGAGACCGATAACGTGCTATTATTAGCGGATTATAAGAAATAATCTGAGAAGATTATTTATAATGTTAGGAAAAGACTATGTGCTCTCTCAATGATAATAATGTCTTAATAAGAAATTTATCTCGGCGTGAGAGGTGGAATAAATTTATATATTGCGTATAGACTTACGAGATAATCGTCATTACAGACGAAGTATGCCTTGTTCAAAACGATAGTCGACGTGGAAAACTGGTGAGTAAAAAATACCGAAGATCGCGTCGAAGAATCATTATTCGAATTATTTGATTCGCGGGAAACAGAATTATCATTTAAGGATCTCTTTGAATTATCAAACATTTCTTAAAAGTCATCACTGTGCTCATATGTTCTTTTTTGTTTTTATTCGGAAATCCGAATAATGTAAAATTCTGTTGTCTTGTGTAAACGCGAGATTCTGCACAAATTCCAATCGACTGAAAGATATAAGTAAACTCGGTGGTTATCACACTTTATCGTTATCGAATTCGAAGATAGTTACAAGAAATTTTTGACACTTAACATATTTATAAGGTTTTTTCATTATCATTGTATTATCGTTTAAAAATCGAAATTGAGGAGTGTTTTAGTGACAATGATATATATTACCTTTAATGTTAAATTTCTTGTGCATTTTTGTAGTCACTTTGAAAGTAAATAAATATATAAAAATAATAAATAAAGAAATTTACAATAGTTGAAGAATATGTAAAAATACTGTTTATCTACATAATCTATTCTGTTCACTATTTAATAATTTCTTGATAAATTTTTGGATCGTCCATTTCGCGAATATAGTTCACATATTTTTTAATACATCATTTTTTAATCACACATATTTAAAAAAACTTTTCGTTTAATAATTTTTTTTATATCAAAAATTCTTCATTATTAGAATTTTGTTTACATTGTTCAATGTATTTAAGAAAGTTTTTTCACTTTTCAATAATTTTTTATTCGCCACCAATAAATCTTTAAATCCTTTGCCATTAAATTTTGTTTGTATTTTTCGACACATGTTCTTTTACATTCGCGAGATTGGGCAATTTTAACGATTCTTGATAAACTTGCGGCAACGTATGTGCGAGTTTTTACGATTGTGCGTGCATTTATATTCCGAGAAATTTTTTTATTACGGATAAACAATTCGAATGCATCTATGCGTGTGTGCATACGAACGCAAACTGAACGGCGACATCTCATGTCTGCTTCAAATCTCAGCGGGAATATTTGTTGAAATTTGGCAACAGTCAAAATCCTTATTTTTAGCGTTACCCAGCTTGCGTCGACAGAGCGAAATGCTATTGTTTATTACCAAATAAGCCGCAATGTTTTACTTAATGTGAAAATGCATGTCCCGCACAGGTTTTCAAGAGACACTCTCTTATCGTCTACGTATATCTAAATAAAATAATAGCATTGATGATTTTTAAAACTAGATTTTATCACGCACGTATAATATATTATATAACAATGATAAATTTATTTATCCCACAAAGTCTTAAAAATATATCTGATACGAAATATTAATGTATTATTGATTAGCGTTACTTATGCGCCGTTTCTGTTTGTTGGATAATTTAATTTAAAATAATTTTATAATAATTTAAAATAATAATTTAAAATAATTTTTTAAATGATATCTAATATTATTTAAATCGTACTTACATTCATAAACTTAGTGCGTGTCATTTTGATTTATATGTTCACTTGTTGCAAGTTTATGTTGTGCACAAATCGACTAATCAACAACCGATCGGATATCGAATAAAGCGTTTTTAAATAATAAAACATATTACGGTGAGTAAAAATATGATAAACATCAGCGAGTGATTGTTTTATCGCGACAATTTTAGAGTCGTCCTCTTTTTTGCGAGAAGAATTGAGTACGCGAGTTGTTATTTTAAGATTATCTTATTAACATTGATAATGGATATATCAATAATGGAGTCTTGATTTCGATCGAAGCGTCAATGATCTCGAGACTGACTCGTGACTGATGTGTGATATCTTGATGCGATTTTGGCACCAATACGAGACTCCTTGATATAAATACGTACAACAAATGCATCGTATTATCATACTACGATAATGACTAGTAAATCGTAAGATTTAAAGCGTATTTTGGAATATCTCCATCAATTTTATTTAATCGCAGAACTCATTTTTACTTGTGAAAATAATTTTTGCTTGCGATCGCGTGCATTTTATTCTCGCAAACATTAAATTGTGCACATGAGACATAATGACGATGAGATAAGCAATAGATGCTCGCTTTTATCATAAAACGATTAATTCAAAATAATTGCGTAAGGAATAAAAATTATATTAGATAAGATACGATTTGTCCGATTTACTATATTGAAACAGACACCTGAGTGATGACTATGCGTACAATCATGACGTCAATGACGACCACGTTCCACTGGGCAATCGGCCCCTAATCCAATTTTAGTAATTAGGCCTGACCGATTGGCGATATGATGAATAGACTTGAAAATAAATATCACAAGAACAAAATTTCATTAAATTATCGGAATCCATTCATCTAATAAACTATTTTAATACAGATACATTAGTCGAAAGTATCAGTAAAAGAGTCAAGAAGATTCATCTCTTGGCGTGTGCATCCAGAAATTGCATTTTTTTATATGTGTAATTTCGAGATGCACACATGCACGATGCTTCTTAATTCTATGTGTGTGTGTGTGTATATATATATATATATATATATATATATATATATATATAATGTATGTATATATGCATCGTGGTACTCTGAAGATCTTTTCATGCGTGTCACGCATGTCCGATAACAAGTTCTTAAGAGCTCATTCGCGTGCATGAAAACGTTGCTCAAAGAGACGTTGCTGCAAAGATCGTGCGTACTTTATATTATCAACCGAATTAATATGCGAGTATACGCAATTATATGCGCTATTGAAGATATATTTCTTGAAATTTATCTTGGTTACTTTGCATTAAAAAATAAACCGAAGTTTCATATACGTATATCTCATATATATATATATTATGAAAGACGAAACGAGGTACATACTTATTACAAAGAAAATACAAAGAAATACTTATTATAAATAAAAATATTATTATAAAAATATTATTTCAATCAAATTTAATTAATAAAACAATTATTTTAAAGCTGTTAAAATAATACAAACTAAATTTACTTCGTATTTAACAATTGACACGTTGATTCGTCTCGATTTTAGGATTTGTTATTATGTTTAATGATTTTTTGATCACGTTTAATCAAAGGAAGAAAGATTTTACGTTACAAAGCTTAGAAGGCTTTACAATAAACATATATTTTGAGAAGTACAAATTCCTCTTTTACACGAATTGCGACGGCGTGAAAATCATTCGCAATCAGTTGGCAGCTGATCAACTGGTTAATTATGATGACTAATGTGAATTGTTACCGAAAGTAGTTAAGCACTAGTCGGGTTCACAGTCGGACTCGCAGTCAGGATTGTAAAATGCATTGTTTTAGCAAAATAGCAGTCGGTTCGAGCGTCGCAATTTTCAATTTGCAACGAGACATCGAAAAGACGCGTCTATCGCTCGTAATAACACTTGACGGATTACAGCGGACTCTTAATATTGTGGCGAATTGCCAATAAATCGCGAACGTCCCATCTATTTTACACCTGCCCGAAGTAAATCGCACGACGCGAAAAAGTACACGAATTACGTGAGGAATATTTATTAGAAGCTGTCAAACACAAAACACATTTTGCTTAAGTGATTTACGTATTTTACGCAGAAAAATGAACGGTTGTATGAAAATTATACTTTTGCAACATGTCCTTGCCTATCTTTCAATATCGCAGATTTATTTTTAATCAATTGTCATGTGACATTTTTTATAGATTTTTCATATTTTTGTATCAAATTCGAAATGAAATATTTCCCATATTAATTTCGCGCGAATTTATTCGCGTTGGCCGGCGTTTCTAAATTTGTTTAAAGATTTCGACATGCGGCCGGTCATCGTAGCAAGGCCGATATGTTTTCGTGTGACACGCGATGAGTCAAGGTCTATCACGTACATTTCTGTCAACTATCATAAGCAAATTATGTTTTTTTTTGTAACTTATATCGAGTGTTTCTCTATGTCAACGAGAAAGATCGTAAATATTGCAAATGTTAAGTATAAGATTGAATCTTTAAAATGCACATGTCAATACATAGAAATATGTCAATAGTATAAAATAAAAAATATGCGTGTTTCTTTAATTGCTATTGTATCCGACAATGATTACATTTCGCGAAACGTTTATTTAAAATGTAGTCTCGCCTACTTGGCAATTGTTCAAAGGTCGCCGTCGCTAAGTCCCGTGTTACAGGTTTATGGACCATGAAAAATCTCGGACAAATCGCTAGTTAAAATCGCAATATTTACATCAAAACTCGTAAAGTTTAATTAAATAATAATAATGGAAATATAGATTATAAAATGCATCATAAAAGCAAGCAATATAAATGACAACAATATCCCATGTGGATATAAACTTTTGATGTTATCATCGTGTCATCGTGTATGTAATAATATATATACAAAATTATGGGATATATTTCACATAACTGTTATAATAAATATTTAAAGATACATACGTGCACATTGACTCTTGGCAGGCAGCCTTTTGTCTAGGATTCGTCTAGCACAATAACAGCTACAGTTTAATTATAAACTGTTTCTACACTTCTTAACATTATTAGAAGTTGCAATAACTCAAAATTGCATATGATCAAAAAATATCGTCAAAATTTTATTATAAATTTTAAAAATAGTTTCATAAAATTTATCACCGAGACAAAACATGTGACTTCATAACATTGTAAAGACCAACAATAAAGCATTCAGAGTGCGGCTAATAATAGTAAGAAATATTTTTTCAAGTCGCATGCTCATGTAAGCAGAAGTTCGAAAGAATGCGGTTTACAGTTCATTCCAAAGACAGAAGAGCATTGACAAATCATTGTTAAAAAGTCGCTTACAATCGTATTAATATAGTCGAAAGGATCGAACTCTTGCTGTTCCTCGTCCGCATTTGGCGGAGGACATGGGTAGAACGCTTGCGACGGTCTAAAAAATATTCCAGATTTTCGATGAATCTTTCTCTTTATGTCATATATATCGTGTCATGATATTTAACTTTATTTTTCATTTTTTGTAATAACTTTAATATGATATTCAAAATTTTCCTTATAAAGTTACTTATTTGCTTCTAAATTTCATTAATTTTTTATACTTTTTTTGCATAATATAATACTTTAGTTATAATATTGAGCAATTTTCCGTAAAAAGTAAAATATTTTTTTTATTTATGTGCAGACGTATTTAATTGCTTTATCTCGAAATTTATAGATATCTTTCCCTGATGCTGAAATTAAGAAGAAACAGTCTGCGATATGAATATACCTGCGAAGTCGATTTCGGCGGTTTCCCTTCAATTTCGCCATTAATCTTGTAAATTCTTCCCATTCTTTATCCACTTCCTCTTCGCTACCTTCTGGATGATGATGTAGAGTCTCGTCTAGAAGTTCCTTCTTCGCGATTTGGTTCGCCATTTTTGCGCTCTTCGCTTGATCGCGTCGATTTCACGGATTATGCACTTGTATTCGTGTAGCTGGTCGATATTTTTTCGCAATGCATTAACGCTTTATGACCTTCCACTTCTTTGCATGTTAAATAGACAGTCCTATATTTTCTGAGAAAAAAAAATTTAGTGACAGTCGATTGTGTCGCTTCACCATGTCTAATCTTGCTTCTTGTTGATCCAATCTCTTTGTGACGCAATGAACTTATAGAACTCCGTTGCTCTTTTTCTTCTGAAAATCGCAGCACAAATCCAGCTAAAAGCTTCTATCCATCTTTCTCTAATCTTATCAGATTAGAGAAACTGGGTGTTGAAAACACACCGGATACGCGTAGAAAGCGCGGCAAATGAAAAGGAAATCTTAAAAATTGAAGAATTGCGAGAGAAAACTCACGCATGAAGCAAGTGAGTCACACTGACGAGACAAGAGAGCCAACAGTGCAATTCTCAGATAGAAGGTCCTATAGCTTGGTCCAATTTATGAACTCATTAGGCCTCACTGACAGCCGTCGACATCGCACATGCACACGCGCGATTTTTCCCCTTACCCTCCATCCAGCCAAATTACCCATTGTCAACGGATATCTCGCGTACGTCGCAATGTTAAAAGAATTCGCCACCCTTTATTAAACACAATATTTTGATTCAATTTGATTCAAGTGTATTAATTATTATTCCATCTATAAAGAAACGCGTTTGAATCTTATTTTATATTTGCTTTTGCTGCATATTTTATACAACCATTTAAAAAATTGTACTTTAAGGAAACTTACCGATTATAATAATCCGACTTTTTATAATTAATTATAATTAATTATAATTAATTATAAACAGTTATAGTTCATTCGCGCGCAATTATACATTTAATTACAAAAATGAGAAAGTTTACTTTTGCAGATAATAAAAAATTAAAAAAAAATTACTGCCACGCACATACGTTGTTGCAAAAAACTCAATGACATAATTGATTTTATTGAAGTATCGCCTCGGTCGAGAAAATCTTATTGGTGGCATTTCTAGTAGCGACTGTACGAAAGCCGTGCACGGCAATTGGCTACTTCCCTCGACAAGGGTTCGTAGGAAGCTGCCTTCAAAGTCATGAGTTATCATTGATCAAAATTACCACGTAATTTGATGGATAGTCGTCTTAACCAGTCCCGGCTGTCAACTCCGATCGATGACTTTTCTGATTCCGAAGTATTATTTTTAAATAATAAATTTTTACTTCCTGATGTATGTATGAGATGTTATATAATATATTTAGATATTTTGTCAGTTTTCACATTTTATAGCACCTCAATAAAATCACTAGAAAATTAATACGATTTACAATCAACTTTTGGAAAGCAGCGTAAAAAATTGTTTCATGATTAAACGAAAAACTTTTACTGTATCTAAAATAATATACTCGCACGATGTTAAAGAAGAAATCTCCTTACGTACCTCTTCGAACGACGGCTAAGTGTCGAGTAATTTTCGAAAGCGGCATACGCATAATTAAACAAGAGCATATTCAGCGGCATGCACGTAAGCAGAAAGATCTCTAATTGTTGACCATACCGTATAAATCGTTTGTTTGATCTGTTTCTACATCGGACATCGCGATATAAAGAGATAATCATGCGTATCTACATGCTGCGCTCAAAAGCTCCGCCAAGCGTGCAAATTTGCGCCAGCAAATTAACGCTGCACAATGATTTAACTTCCGATACAGTACACACACACACACACATACTCTTTCATTATGGCTTAATAACACTCACAAAATGTATTATATATCGCACTTGTCCCTAAACATTCAAATATAGATATCAAAGCTGAAAATAAAAAAAATTAAATCACGAGTGCCTATGAGATCGATAGTAAAAAAGAAGCCGATTTTATTCGCGATAATTAATTAATATTATTAAATACTATATGCACATTTTAAAATAACAATTAGTCTATTTGAAACTTTTGGTTCAACGAGCGGCAAGTATTCTGAAAGTGAAAAACATAAAGACTAGACGAGTACAAAGTAGAGTCACACATATATATTGCACGTTTTTAGCGACGACCGGTTTATGTAGTAATTAGGCACTTTTATACGTCATTAAGTCAGAAGACGTCACAAGATAGTTCAATCTTTCCTAATTACGCGAAAACTCCTATTCTGCTTCATTTTTCACACAGCCATATGATTCCATCATGTTAATAAAATTGTTTATATAATGCAAAAATTTTCGCGAAACTGTATCAACCGCAATAAAACCCGACATCGTTGTGAGACATGCGCGAAGAAATTGAGAAGAATATCAAGCGATAAAAAAGACGACGTTTTCGCCAATCGCAATTGTTGACAATGAATATCAAGCAACGAAGCCCCGACAATCGCGACAATTAATCGCGATAAAGATCCGTCAAAAGTTGACTCATATTCAGTGTGAACCTGCAACTGAGATAAATTCCTTCCTAGAACAAATTGACCTCTCTATAATTTCCGAATGAGTAATGTGCGTTTTGCATTCTCGCAAATGAGTATTAATGTATAATAAGTGATATATTTTCTTACGCTTTATTTTTTTAAGCTTCATGTAACATACGTATTTTTGTCATTTACGTAAATTATACTAAGAATCTCTTCTCCACACATGTGACGTTCATATATCACTGTATATACTGTAATTTAATAACATTTTCATACAGTTGCAGTTGCAAAATACCAGACTTCGAATGCATCGAATACTATAATTCATAAAAAAATTGCAAGAGATTTTAATAATATTTCTATAATTATATTCTCACATACAATATAAAAAATCTTTACTCTAAATTTATCAAAAAAATATATTTTTAACAAAAACCAAATAAAAAAATAGAAATATTTAAAAAATACCTAAAATTATATCAATGTATATAAACTTTTTTAAACAATCTATATAATTGCCTTGTTAAATATAAATTGCGATATATGTATACATTATGTTGTCATGGGAATGCAAGTCCCAGAAGGCCACGGATGTTCCATGGGTTCCATGACCCCCTGGATGTTAGATCGTAGTGAATTAGTTAATGTGAGTCACATGGAGCACGGCAATGAATTATCTTGCTCGCAATACGTCAACACTGCAGACGACTACATTTTGGACAGGATCGTTCGTCCAATCATTGGATCTTCCTTCCTGTTTAGCCGCGACGAAAAATTGAATCTCGCATGGTCTCTATGGTCCTTATTATAATATATTCCACCTTCAAGATACATTTTTTACATGTGGTTTATAAATTGTCATGTCCTTAAATTTTTTACATTAATTTATAAATTGTTATGTCCTTAAACATATAATCGATTACTTTAGAAAAATTTAATTCTTGAAAAAGATAATATAGAAATTAAATTATTTCTCTCTGCAATAATTGATTTAAATCTGATTAATAATATTTAAAATTAGATTGTTCTCTTATATATAATTTTATATAATTATACAAAAAATCTAAATTTTAATAATTTTAGTATAGCCAAATAAATTTGTAATAATTTAACGAGAAATTAAGTTTAGGATGTGCGGACATAACTCCATTATCGAGCATTCAAGTAGAGATTGGATTAAAGAGATAAGTTTCATTAACGTCCGCTGTGATGTCATTAACTGATGACGCTTTAATAAGTCACACATTATTCTCCATTAGCAGGCAATTTAATACGTCCATCGTTTCGGAGTTTAATCAGAGGATAAGTTATGCAAATTTGGAATCTAGCTCGCGCTGCGATATATGTATTCGATCTTTGACTTCTTCGTTAATTATGATAATGATTTCATGCAATAACATATTTTTCATTTAAGTTTTTCATTGTTCTCGATTCTTCAATCATGCGGCCAGCCACATTATCGCATACGAAAGCACGATAGAAACATCGTGTCGTTTCTGCTTACTCGATAATGTGGCGACAAATAAAGTGCGTATATATATTATGTGCCGATAACTTTTGAACTCCCTGTATATCTGTTGACTTCATCGGACAGAAAAATATGCGAATTGGTAGTAAATAGGTATTATGCTCGTAAATAATGTTAAATTATTATAAAATAAATATACGCAAATATTATATAACATATATACATATTTTGAAAATTAATGCATATATTTTTTTGAGAAGAAAACAAAAATTGTCTCGCGTAATTTAATCGATAATATGTTAAATGAATAAAATTTGTAAAAGCAACAGACTCACACTTGTCAACAATTAGCGCTTATGTTCTACCTCGAAGATTGACCTTCCGTAAAATTGTCTTTCTTAAGAAAAACGATTCTTTTCTTTACAGTCGCTTATGTAGATTCTTCTTTGCAAAAAAAAGTCAATGGTGATAATTGTAACCAACCTTCGTCACGAGGAACTCTAATTGCACCTCACGTGCATCATGTGATTTGCAATATTGTTACACAGAAATCTTTGCAATTATTTAATCATTATTTAAAAATAATCAAAATATATATAATTATAATGCAATCATTGTGATGCATTTAATATTAACAAAGAGAATTTTATATAAATAAACATATAAAAAGGCAAGATTTTAAGTTGTACTTGTGAATTTTAAGAAACATTATTTTTTAGAAAAAGTATAATTATAGCCGATAAACTAATTCATTTAGTTTTATTATAAAAACTGCAAAGAACAAACGTAAATTTCTAAATTTCGATCGACACATTGAATGAAAAAAATACAATGATGTGATTTCTATTCATATCTTGAATGCGGTGTACAACATAATATATTTAATCGTTTAATGGAATGAAATATAAAATCTACCAATGAACTTTTAAAAAAATGATTCTATAAAATCCCAGATGTTTCAGATTAGATAAAATCTTATCAAAACTTTTGCAATAGAAAATTATTAACTATTATAAAGTAACCTTTATTTTTATACAAGACGAGCCTTGCGTAAAATAAATTAATTTTTCTGCTCTGTTTGTGATTCTTGAGAATTTAATAACAAACATCAGCGTTTTTAATTTCTTGAACTTGTTCTCTCTCGACAAGGATTGATAACGTGAACTCAAGTCAGACGCCGTGTCTGCGCGACTATTTTATTTGATAACCCTATGTACTGTCCCTGTAAAAATGAACGAAATATAATAAAATATATGAACGAAATAAAAGATTGTGATTTACTTATAAATTATTTATCAATTTTGAAATTGATTGTGTATATGTAAGAATGCATACGGGTTAAATGTATGTATTAATAAAGAGAAAAAATACAGCGTATAATATTTATACATTATCCTATATCATTATAAAATATTGTATGCACACAAAATGTATCACATCAAAATATGCCATAAGTATAAAGTTACAATTCACATAAAGTTATTGTATCAAAAATAATGTTTCAGATTAGATAAAATCTTATCAAAACTTTTGCAATAGAAAATTATTATAAAACAATTATTATAAAGTAACTTTATTTTTATACAAGACGAGCCTTGCGTAAAATAAATTAATTTTTCTGCTCATGTTGGTGATTTTTGATTTATTATATTTTTATTTATATATTAAAAGTATAATAAAACAAACATAATATATTATATATATATATATATATATATATATATATATATATATATTAATACAATACAATTAATTTTTTTTATATGTTCACTTGTAAAACGCAATTTTTCAAAATATTTGTATATGATGTTAAAAAGTGTAATCAATTTATAACACATAAAAGAACGATATTTTATGACTTATTTGCTTCCAATAATCTGTCTTATATTATCGGTAACACCCACTCGCAAAGACGTAACAACTGTAATAGAGAACGAGCAAGCAAGTCCAAGGTCGTCATCATCATCGACCAGCGATCAAACCGCAACATTGATTATGTCATCGTAGTGAACATTGTGTTTCCCATCAAATCATTGAATTACACACGCGAACTGATTTGTCTTCCAATAAACATTATTTGTACAACTCACTGATTGAAATAGGAGTTGAAATAAGAATTGAAATCAACTTTCCATAAATCTTACATCAACAATTTCGTTATGTTTTCAAATATTTAAAGAAGCGCTATTATATCGTAAAGCGTATAAATAAAATTATTTGTATATAACGAGAATACAATTTTAGAAATAAAATAGCATACAAATAAAACGGTATCAAAAAATATATCGTAAAAATCTTTGTATTCAGTATTAACGACGATTAATGATTATTAACTGGATACAAATCGGCATTTATTAACTTCCGATTACCTTTCATATTCATATAAGAAAAATTTAAACAATAAGAAAATATAAGAAACAAAATGAAATTAATTAATTTTTAATATTTCTATTTATAAAATTAAACAGATTTAGGAACGAGTTTCATCGGCCGTACACTCATATGTTTAGCGAATTCTTCCGAGGCCTTGAGCTGATTTGGATGATACGTGATACCACCCTCTCTATCGACCTGCTTCATATGCAATCTTTCAGGATCGCCGGCGATCAGGACGGGTTCCTCGCCGGCAACGGGTAAGTTTCTCAGCTGTTTAAGCAAAGTCGACAATCTTTCCTTTGAGCCGCTCGCGAAAGCTTCCGGATTAATGGCCATAAAACAATGTCCGACATCAGCGATCTGATCGTTGCCGGTCTTCCAAGGACGAATATTCGGTCCGAATTGACTCCCGCTGAGAATACCACAGAGTATTTCGACCATCAGGGCTAAACCATAACCCTTGTATCCGGAATTCCTTTCTGAGCCGCCGAGAGGCATCAGTAGAGAAGCTTCGAAAGCCTCTTCGGCATCGCGGGTCACGTTTCCATCAGAATCGAGCGCCCAGCCTTCGGGGATATCTTCGCCCTTCCGAATGGCTAGCTCGATTTTACCCACGGCGACGGCCGTGGTCGCCATATCAAGAACGAATTCGTCGCCATCGCCCGTAGCCATACCCAAGGACAATGGATTCGTCCCTAGACCGGCTTTCACGCTGCGCGTCGGAGCCATCAATGGACTTGTGTTGGTGCAATTGAAGCCGATCAGGCCTTGCTCCATCGCCATCATGGTGTAGTAGCCGCAAATACCAAAGTGATTGGAGCCGCGTGTTGTCACCATGCCGATGCCGAATTTCTTGGCCTTTTCTATGGCGAGCTCCATACAATATTTACCGACCACTTGGCCCAGCGCGTTTTTTCCATCTACGAGAGCTATTGCCTGAAAGTCGCGATGTATAGAAAGTTTCCAGATATAAAATCTGTAAGTCCTAGGATCTGATGGAACTTGGCGTCGCGATCTAGTTTCGCTTTCTCTTTTATTTTAAAAATAGATTTCCTTGAAAATAAAATTTTCACGAGAGATTTCGTTGAAAATAAAATTCTTCCTCATTTCTCTTCGAATGAAATCGAGATGCAATTATTGCATTATAGACGAGCTGAATGACACGGATCACGTATAAATAAAGTAATTATCACCATACACGCGAGCGCGCATATTTTCGACAATATCTGTAATTTTTACGAATGAGAAGTACCATTTCAAAATGTAATTAGAGTCACGCTAATTAATACTGGAGTGTTTATTATTGATCATCAAAGTGTTAGCATATCTATTCGACAAATTATCGCGCGCATGTTTTCGAGAAAAAAATCGGCAATTTTTGTAATAAAATTTAAAAATATTTTACTTTAAAAAGCAAAAAGCGATAAACTAGTTGACATTAATTTTGGATAAATATTCGTAACTTTGTTTCAACAAATATAACGAGTGATTTTACTGAATCAAGTGCATAGAGAGCACGAAAATAAAAAGCGCAGATAGTAATATTGTATGTAATATTATATGTAATTGCAGCCGCTTAATATTTATAACTGATCGAAAATGCGATAAAGAAAACATATGTAAAGTTTACGAGATAGCGACGAACACATTTACTAACGAAAAAAGCAAATCTTATTAATCAGGAGAACGCGTATCTTATCAGGTCATCGGTTGTTAAGATACGAAAGGCCAGTCGTAGAACGAGCACGCGCCATAATTACCGTGGAATAAACACAATTTTTTATAGTACCACTTATATAAATCTCTCTTAATTATGCTCCAGTGCTCAAAAGAAATTTATGTCATTGATAAATTTGTTTTGCAATCAATTGATAACGAATAATATCTTTACACACATGATGAGTAAAAGTACAAAGTATGCGAGTCGACATGTCGTTAATTAAAGAATCTCGAAATAAACGTAAATGTCTCGTGTAATAAGTCAAATATGTACAGAACTTAAGAATTTAAATTCATAAGTCAAACATTTCTTTTCGCGATACTCAAATTCCACCATCATTAACTCGAGAGATTTATTCGAACCTGGAAATCGGTGATAATCTGCGGTCGGGCGGTAGGATCGGTGATTCTATTCTCAATATCTTTCACGTACATCTGCATCCGATTCATCCCATGGCTAAAATGACCTCTATAGTCTGCTATCATCAAATGATGACCAACGGTGTACGCGTCTTCCAGCGTGGTTCCGGCTTTGTACATGCAATCCTGGATAAATCTAATGACTTCATCCTTAGGGACGACTTTCTCACTCTGGCATCCAGACATCATTCTATTAACGATCGTAACAATGCACGCGTGCGATGACACGCTCGTTGTTGCAAGCTTGTAGAAGCGACTGAGCATCGCTCTATGAACGAAAACCGACATATTGACTCCTTGTGATCGCAATTGACCAATCAACTTGTACTCTCACTCTATCGTTTAGTTCCCCTTATCGAACACGACTACTATCTCGCTGTATTAGATTGCACAAAAACGTTGTTTCTCGTATTTGGTTCAATACGTTGGTTCAATACGTTACAATTGCTTTATTTTATCATCGCTTATCATTCGCGATGCGCCTCGAAGTCAAATTCGCGATTAGCGTATTTCGTTTTCAAATTTTTTTTCGAGATCTCACGTTACATTTATTTTCCAAATTAAGAGCAAGATAAAACAAGCTCTATTTTTTTTCTACTTTGCACTTATGCAGTAAGAGAAAAATTTCTTATCTATCTCTTTCTTTTTCCATATCAAATCGATTCAATGTAAGTTCCTCTATCTTGTTTGAATTAAGCGCCTACTCGTATCAGGGAAATCACGTGGTTGGCGCTGTAACTGGTTGAAATATTACGTATCAGCGATTGCAGACTCGAGTGTCCAAAGAAATCGATGATGATATGATCTTCACTTTTACTCATTCACCTTCGTGCACAGATTTAATTCGATTTCACATATCAAATATTTCCAATGTTTTCTCTTACAAAAAGAAACTTATGATACTGTATACTTGATTTGATAGATGAAAAATTTGCAAGCATACCTTACATGCTGCGTTCGTTCGTCACATTGTCGACCGAACTGACATCACGAAATATTGAAGAAACTGTTACGTTTTTTGGCGGGAACTTTGAATACTATCGAAATCAGAGTTGTTGACAGTTTTTAGAAAAATTAATTGAAATAAGTGTCCTCTCTACATTTATGATTTCATAAAGACTTTTTTATATTTATGTATTTATGTAAAGAATTTAAAATAAATAATCCTAAGATTTGATAAGACCCAAGGAAACATTTATTATTATTTAACTAAATTATTATTTAACTAAATTATGTATATAATGTATTATTATGCATTTTTCGCACAGAAGTTAAATTTACGAATAGTCTGTAAATATTTCAAAAAAACACAGTACCCATATTAATAGATAAGAAAAAAGGATATTTCATGCTGCTTCTTTCGCTAATTGTGATGATAATAATTAATGATCGTTAATATAACACTATTTAGAATAACATGCTAGATTCATATGGCAAACACATGTATGTTTTGACGTTTGAACGCTGCGAATTGATTGCTAAAACATCACAATCACAGTCGAATTTTCGATATTTGTTCTGCATGATTGTGTACATATTCACGACTTTAAATAAAAAAAAAAAGATTAAATTGCAACTCATGAATCAAATAAAAATCGTGAATAAAATATAAATTACATATTCAGCGAACAAAAAAGAAACGACGTTTGGTTACGTAAAGAGACATACGTATTATTCGTGAGATGCACACGAAATTAATACGATCCGCCTACATCGATCGCATCATATGCATGCAATCTGATGATGCACAGATTGATAATTTACTCGGTATTTGATATAAGAAGGAAATAAGTTCAATGACAAGTCACGCAAACAAGAATCGATTCATGTTGTCATTTTTTTCATTTATCCATTTGCAAACGCACGAATTCTCGCATACATACGCATACACACACATACACATAAATTCCTATAAACAAGGAAACCTTGAGATACTGCGTATGATATGCTATATTAAATAATATTAGGGATAATTGTTATATTTCGTACACATATATTAAACAGTGAAATTCTTCTAGATCGATCGTTTGACAGATTACGTCGTTTCATGAAAGTCTCACAGTAAAATGCTTGCCTTTTGATTTTTACAAATGTAAATTAATCGAGATGTTGTTACTCTTACTTCTTTTCCCCTTTCTTAGAATAAAAACAAAGTATGTGTAAGGTGGCACAGTGTTTTGGAAAAAAAAACAGGCGAGAGAGTGATAAAGTCATGAGATAGATTTATTTATATATTCGATCGATAGTGTTTTGAAAAAAAAAGAAAATAAATGAGAGTAGGGGAAAGCAAAAGATAAGTCAAAGGACTTTCAATTGTGACAGAAGTTAGTTGTAGGATGGAACGACACATCAGTTCAATGAATAAAAAAAATTTTAATTCTGTACGATAATTCCCGCGATAAGAAAGATGATTATGTCTCTGACAAGAGGTTTCCGGTGTTTCTCAATTCTCCTTATTGCAGAATATCTTGCTCGCTACTATTATTACGCGTATTTTTTTCTCTTCAAATTTAGTTAAGTCTGTGTTTCTGCTGTCAATGTTTAATGTATTAATATTAAGTTTTACATTTTGTTTCTGAGAAAATCTAGCGAAGTAGTAGATACTTTACACATAAATTACAGTGTTCGATAATTATTCGATGTTGACGTGTAAATACGTCTTTTTTTTCCTGCTACCGCGTTTGAAACGAACTAAAGTAGAATAGTAGTTTTCAAAATTAAACTTATAGCTTTGCATAAAATTTAACAAATGTTTTTGATATTGCATTGCTGTGCAATATCAAAAATCTTTTTTTATTAAAAATAATAAATAAAGTGAGCAGAGGAGCGTATTTCTTTCGCTCCAATTCTTTTTTCTTTCTCCTCTTCATTGCAAATACACGATTAATATTTATTCTCTTTTTTTCTCTTTCTTACACAAAATCGCTGTTTTGTAGCATAACAATTCAACAGTCTTTCAAACTTTAATTGCAAAATGTCGCAATTTGAAAGTTGGAAAGAGAAAAAGAAAAAAATTGTAAACTACACAATTTTTCCTTTTTCGTAGATATATAAATAATTTGTTCATATTTCTAAGAAATATAAAAGAAAACGATTTTTAAAACCTATTTTTTTCAACTTTTTTTCAACTTAAAAATAATAACATAAATAATAATATAGAAAATTTTCTTCTCCTTTGAGATATATCCTTTGTTAATAATAATAATAATAATAATGATTAAGAGCATTAAATATAAATATAAATATAAATATAATTATAATTTTATTGCTATATAAAAATCTGATTCCTTTATTATTATTACGAAAATATACGAACTCACTATGAAAAATATGCAATTTTGCATGCTCCAAACTGTATGCAATGCATTATCGCGAAATTAATCGGCAATTAAGCTTCTCTGGCATAAAATATTTGAACGAAATTAAAAGCATAATCCCTGAGTTAATTTCGACATAATAACACGTGCAATAACGATAATTTTTCGTAAATTTTTATTTTAATATCATTTTATTTTAATATCACAAAAACTTTCTATGTGATAAAGTATGGCGATCTCTTCTTTCAACAAATCCATTATTGCCGCGAGAAACGATTCCAAGTCTTGTGGTTTTCGTAGACGATCGGTAATGTACGAACAAGGACATGTTATCGCGAAACTCTAATCACTGAGATAATTAACTTACTATTTCACTCGAACTTGAGATTTGCCTTGTTCGCGAAGCGTTATGCGGGAATAGTAATGCGTGATCACTGATCAATGATAATAAATAAACTCAATGTTATATAATATTAGCAAATTGGAGTAGGGAGAAGTTTGCATTTCTGTGGCTTTAATTAGACATCTAATCGAAGCTGATTAGAACAATTAACGTGCAATCGATAATGCAAATTTGAATAATTGCGCATTGATATTATGTAATTACATCGCATATTAAAAAATATATGTAATAAATTTAATCATTAATTAATAAATTAAATTATAAAATTATTATAATTAGTTATTAAAATATTGTTTTCTTATAAAGTATCTCGGAATTTTTTAATCAAATTGTATATTCTAGATATAAAAATATGAAAAAAATATGATATAACATCATATACATATCTAAGCTTATAAATATTTTATTATAAAATTATAACAAAAATATGTAATATAAAGAAAATAAATTTCTTAATAATGTAAGAGAGTTGGTTGACTAAATTTAATTTAATACATTTATGCGAATGTTTACTTTGAAACCGTCGAAAATTATTAACTTTTGTTAATCATTTATTATTACTCCATCATATTGTTCCATCTCAAAATATCGATCATTTTTATCAATGATTAACATCGTTAAAAAATTTATGTATACAATTCACGTAAACAAATTAAATAAATATCATCTATTTATCCTTATCTTAAAACATTCCCTCTTCATATATATGTATATTAATATATATATATATATATATATGTATATATATATATATATATATATATATATAATTCAATAATTATATGGGAATAAGTCAATTATTACTTCTTTTATATTTTTGTTGTAACATTTTGTTATAATATTTTATTTAATAAAGCATTTATGAGTATATCTCTATAGATGTGTTTTTATAATATCTTTTTCTTGCTTTATTTTTGTACAATATATTGGTATCATTATTTTAAGAAATCAGAAAATCCTACAAAAAAAGCACAATTACAATTCGTACTTTCCGTGAGAATACTTGAAACTATCGATCATATAATATATGTATATTTCACATTAAAATCGAATCGATTTATCATTCATGTATCATGTAGCATATTTGCGGGAAATTACATCATAAATATTTAATTTTTATGAGTATGGTTACGAATTATTCAACGAGTGACAATCGAAATAAAAATTCTACAATTATCGGTCCGAAAATATTTCAAAAAATTATAAAATCTCACAAAATATAATATAATATTCATTTTTAGTTATAAAACTTAAAATAAATAATTTATATATTTATAATATTGCAAAAAACATTTGTTTTAAAATAATATATTTTAATATAAAGTAAGTTATAAAATTTAATTAGAGTAATAATAGTTGAATTATATTTTCGTATAAATAATTATTAAGAAAAGAAATACAGAATAGTTATTTTCTTCAAAAAATTTGTATATGTTAATACTCTTTATTAATATAAATAACACAATAAAAATAATAGTTTATCATTTTTAATTGAAGTTGTTATAACATTAATTATGAAATAATCATAAAAATTATCGAAAGTTATCGAAAGTATTGCACGAGTTATGCTAACATCATTTGACAGATAGATAAATTATGTGAATGGGAATAAATATTTTGATGTGAAGAGTAACTAACAATGTAAGGATTTATAGCGTACTTTAATCACCGATACCTCCCTACAACGCTTAATTATAAACACACATTACGATTATCACGGAACTCACGTGAGCCGTAAATTATAGATGTCGAATTTTAATTAAATAACAACTTTTAATTGCTCAAGTGGCGATCACGTGCATAATATGACAAAATCACGTGGTTCAAAGAATAGATGAGAAATATTTGTAGTGAATCATACATATCATAAAGAGAATCAGCAAAACTTAGAAAAATAGCAAGAGCAAGCTTTACAAAAACAATTTGTTAATATTCTACAAAATTTAATTTCTTGTCTTTAAAAATTTCAAAACACATTATTTTGTGAATTCTATGATACTTTGATGACTTTTTTCTAGAAAAAATCTAGATGCACATTATATTAAATAAAATAGAAAGATAATCTCGCAAGATTTAAAATATTTTCTTAAACGCATCGTTATGCATTACGAAAAGGGAGTCTAATACGAGAGAAATTTGTTTCTTAATAAGTTTGTAACAAAATAAATTGCTTTTTGTGATACAAGTGTGTTCGCAATATAATATATATGTAACTACAGTTTATATTAATAGGTAATTTTTAATTTTTACATAATTAAAACAATT